GTTGGTACTAAAATTTCCGGTAAAATCCTGTCTGGCAATGCTTTTGTCCCAGTTTCGGGGAATTTTTCTCTTCAACCCACATTACAAAGACACTGGATACGGATCCGTGCAGTGCTGCTACCTTTGGGTGTTTCAGTGAACTACATCCACTCTCGGGGTAACGCAGCACAGTCACCACTGCTCTTTTGTGATTCGTCAGACTGAAATATTTGAATGCCAATTGCGTTCGCTGATTCGGTTGCGCGCCGGGGCTTCGCCCGCCACTGGGGAGAGCCTTGTAAAGTCGGCGCGCGCAGTCAACAAGTTAATTAAATTTATGCAATTTCACTCATATCTGTTGCTAAGTTACGTTACTCTTCCTTTTAAACAATCAAAAAACCAACAGAGATTATGTAAAAAGTTTGTTTATAATTAAGAATAGTGTGCAACAAATTCATGCAGTAAAGTTAAGACAAGAATTCTTTTATAAATGACAACAACAAATTATGCCATCAGCTGTTATAGAGAATGTAAAAGGAGTAATAGCGTTGTTTGAATTAAATTAGTTTTAAATTGATATTTTATTAGAACTTTTTTAAACATGTCTTGATAAGATAAACATTGGTGTATAGTTGGAGTTATTATTGTTTTTATAAAAATCACATACAGATAGATAGATGGGAAACTACGCACCAGAGACCTATCCTCTTATGGTGAAATGTGTTTGTCTGGACCTAAGCAATAACACTACATACCGTTTTCAGAGAGTTACGAGAGACCCTGTATATCAGTGATGGGTGAATTCCAGAAATTATTTATTCTTTGAAATTCATTCTCAATTCTGATTCCATTGGTTCCAAAAACATTTCTCTCGGTCGGGTAGACATCGTCATTGTCTCCCACGGTAAAGGCAAACCCTGGAAAACCCCCGGGGTAACAGAAACACCGGCATATTTCATGATCGCAGATTTTTTTTTTTTTAATTTATTTGTAGACATTATTGTCATCTTCAGCGAATTCCTCCGCGGCCATGTTGACATTGTCATCATCTCCCAATATATATGATGCTATTACGGCATTAGCATTAGTAATTTTACGACCGCACCGATTTTCGCAGACAAGTATCAGTATCGGATTCTACTTGTGATTGGTCAATTCTTAATTCTGATTCCAAAGCCAAGAATCGACCCATCCCTATTATATGTATACATATATACATATATATATTTGAACAAATGGTGTTTTTAGCCTATGGGGACTTAAAAACGAGTATCATAAAAATCAATCAATCTCGGAGCTAGGTCTTATCATAAGTCATACGGTAATAGCTTGTTCCATATCTTTGACTTTGACCTGTATGGACAATTTGCTAAAATTCCTCATTGGCGATCGCAGCAAAATCCTGAATATCTTCTGCGGTACCAGAAACATCATGATTCTTCGGCAATCATGGTAAAATCCTGAACCTCCTCGGATACTTTGATCTTTTCACTGTTTTAACCATGGTTCAGATCCCTTAGGTGACAGATTACCGTGGTTGTACTGTATAATATTAGTTTTTCTCACAGTAAAAGTCAACTTATCTATACATTTATTAAGCTTAAAACTCTTGCAATGCTAAAAATATATATTTGTAAAACATCACTAAGAATATGGTTAAATACGAGGGCTGTTCAGAAAGTAAGGAATGTTTTCGTCTGACGCTGAATGGCGCGCGCTGTCCGTGCACTTTCTAGTACAGACGTGTTATCTAACTCAATGACTGTCCAGCTACTGTAGTGGAAGTGTCATTGTGCTGCCTGTTGTCCCAAATATAAATTTTAAAAAGTGTGCTGCGATTGAAAATCCTACCAGCTTTGAGGTGCTGTATGTAATATGTGGCCATACACTTAAAAAGTTAAAACCTATAGAAATTTGTTGTCAAGCGTGTTAAGTGTACAGAAACAACGTAATAAATGAAAGTTTTTGTTTAAAAATGGTGCATTCAGTTTCCAAAGTCCAAAATTTGTTTTTCATTACAATGCCCGAGCTCATATCAAATCGCTCATACAATCTCTTTAATCATTCAAATTTGGGAGTTTCTCTCATCAACCCTCTCTGATGCACCAAAATGATGAACTTGTTAGCAGCACAGCACTTTGATTAAAATGAGGACCTCCAATTGCATGTCACCAGGTGGCTGAGCTCACGGGCGGTAAAATTTGTTTAGGGTCTCAATGTGTTCGGTGGATATGTGGGAAAGTAGTATTTTAGCTGTTCTTTTAAATGTATATGGTAAAAAGTTTATTTTGTAAAATTTGTACTTCATTAAATAAGTTCTTTACTTTTTGATAAGCCCTTGTATGATGTTCAAGCATTACTGAATAAAGTTTATTTTGCATGTAAGTAAATTAAAATTTGTAAATAATATTATTGATTTGGTTGATTGTTTTAGTTCTTAGTTTTTAGTAACATTACATTTTATTTTTTGATACAGGGTGACAATCAAGTCTTGAACCTCTTTTTAACATTTTTAAACCACAATAGAAAAAATATTAAAGTTCGTATGTGCTTACTGGTGATAGTAACACACACATCTGCCCAATGAATCAATGATCGACTCGATAACCCCTTTGGGTCCACAAGGAGTCAGACAAAATTCTTAAATAGCAGCATAAGTCAAGTTTGATATCAAATTAAAGGTCTTCTTTAGTAAAATACAATGCCACAAACCCGAACTCAAATGGACAATAGAGTAAAAAATGACAGCTGTTCAAATACTCCTTGAATTTGCAATGCATATTATACTGTGAGGCGCCTGCAAGAAGTCGGATGAAAATCATAAAGGAAAGCATAGGTCGATATGCACATCAAATTAAAGGTCTTTATTAGTAGAATACAATGCCGCAAATTTGAGCTCAAAATATCAGCTTTATAAAAAATGGCAGCTGTTCAAAGATTCAAAATGTCAGATTAAAGAAATATTTGAACGGCTGTCATTTTTGACTTGGTTGTCTGTTTGAGTTTGGATTTGTGGCATTGTCATTTACTAACGGAGACCTTTAATTTGATACCAGGGTGTCTACCAACCGGGGAAACCGGGAATTGTACTTAAATTTTTACTGGCCATGAAATGTACGGAATTGTCCTTAAATGCCAGACTATGTCCTTAAATTTTTAATGGGCCATAATTTTATTGATCGCTAGTTGGTTAGGAGCACATAAAAGGTTTATCAGATGTTTGTTTACATTTTCATAATTTATTACTAGAGTAGTTATGCAATAAAAATCCCATTAACAATCTCAAACCCATTAATATTTTATCACGACAATCAAGTGTCAAGTCAAGTACTTCCAAGAACTGTTGACTCAGCAGCTAGCTCATAAAAGTTGTATCACTTTTATTCCTTTACAACTTCTTTTTTTATTACTAGGGTAATTATTATTAGATCTCAAACCTATTTTATCGTGAAAATAATAGCTTTATAATGGCTGTTAAATTTCACTTCTTACTTGTACTTTCGGCTTGAAGTCAATTTGCCGCGGCCAGTGCCTACAGTGCCATAAAACTGTTTGTGGTTTCATATTAAACATGTAAATAATCTACAGTCTTATTTTGTAAGTTAACCCCTTTTTTATGGACATTTTATCTTTCAATTGACAAAACCACAAGCATTGTTGTTTGCATTAATGTTTTATCACTATGTAGGCCTGCTTGGTTTCAAATTATGTCATTGCATTTTCTGTATCTTTGTCTTATATTGTTTGCTATTCAGGTTTCAATGTTTTTTGTTTTCCATATATTTATTTATTGAGTTGTATGCTTTAAGCAATCAAAATCTTATGAACTAGAATGATGATAGTGACTTTGCTGCTATTATAACCTCATTGTTTGTTACTCAGTATAGGCCCTCCTAAATAATTAGGTCTCTAGGCCTGGGTATTTTGATTCTTGAAAGAGCTGTAAAATATATTAAGAAAATGTAATTGAGCCTAAGATAAACAACTAATGATTGCTATATGTCGATATTAACTTTGCAAATGAAAATACAATAATCTTACTCTGTGCTTATTGCTTATTAATAGCCGCTTACCATACCTTGATTTTGTACTAAGAATTGAGTAACAATATGCATTAAAGATTTTTTCAAAAGTAGTCGAGAACCTAACGTTGTGCCAGGGCGAATCATGCCAAATTAATCGGCCTGGATCGGATAAGCTATGTTATGAAGTTTACGTGACTGATGGAGATATTTGTCGCTATCGCAGGAGACAATGATTGCGTTTCTCTGTTACACTATAAAAGCTTTACCTAAAGTATAGGTAGGCGGCGGTAGGCCTATGTTTGTTTACTTTCAATAAATTTCTATTTTGTAATTTTCAACTCGTTTCTATTATTATTTACTTTTCTCCCTGGTAGAACTACAGTGAATAACAAGATTAATACAGTTTTACAAATCAGGAAAATTATTTGGTAGGCCTAATGACACCGACAAAGGTTACGGCAAAGTGTCCTTAAATGTACGGGAATTGTCCATGAATTTTTTATCCAGAATGTAGTAGACACCCTGGATACCAAACTCGACCTATGCTGCTATTTAAGAATTTTGCCTGACTCCTTGTGGACCATCCCCCAAAGGGGTTATCGGGTCGGTAATTGGGCAGATGTGTGCATTACTATCACTAGTAAGCACGTGTGAACTTTGGTATTTTTTTCTATTGTGGTTTAAAAATTAAAAAGAGGTTCCAGACTTAATTGTAACCCTGTATTTATAAAAAATATTTTACAAATAATCTGCTAAAAATGATTAGTAAATTCAACTTAGTTTTTACAAAACCATAAATAAACTCAAATTATTACCATAGTTTTTTTTTTTATATCACCATAGATGTCTTCTATTAACATTACTTTTTGGTGTTACTATGTACAAAAAAATTACTCAAAAACATTGTTTTATTAATTATGGTAGAAAATGTCCACAATAATTTGTTACATATCGCTTACTCAATTAGTTTTTAATAAATGTTTTGTCTTAAAATAGGAAGAAGAACCAGAAGAAGAAGAGGTATTTTTGCCCAAAGAAGCTTTAGACGAATTTTCAAATCAAGTTCTCAAAGTATGCCTGGAGTACATTGAAAGACTGCCAGAAACAGTATACAAAGTTTGTGATCTGTTAACGATAATTATCAGGAGAAATGGAGAAACGTACTGCAACAAACTACTAAACACACTAGCCACGGAGGTAAATGCTTTTCTATTGTATATTATGTGTTTTTAGATTGTTAAATTGTAGTTTACGCAAAAATTATGTAAAGATAGTCCTTATGACACGTAGAAAGGCAAGTACCTTAAAAATTTCTACGGGTGTCGTAATGGTTAATTACATTTGTAAAACTTAATTACAATACTCTTTCTTCAGAGAAAAGGTACTGCCATCAGCATTCTTACCATAAGTACTTTTTCAATTACAAGTAGACAAATATTACATATCTTTTAGCAATACTGAATGCATTCAAACAGTTTACCTACAACTAGAGATGTGTCAATACCAACATTTATTGATTCTCGATACCGATATCTGAAAAATCAATTCTCAATTCTTGATACGAATATTATTTTTACAGTATTTCCTAATTTTCTGAATGGATTGGATATACTACACCAATCTCCGTCTCTATGTTTTCCTGTAAAGTATTTTCGAGTTAATAGGGAGTTTTTCAATTAAATAAAATATTAATGCAGCAATGAGAAATTCTAACTAGCCAATTTGAGATTAAACCCTTCTAAACAAAATACCATATCAAATGTAAATAATGATCCAGCAAAAAAAAAAAAAAAAAAATCAAAAAGAAAATTTTATTTAAAGTTTAGGTGTGTCAGTCAGATATTTTCGGTCAAGTCAAACTCGAGGTAATATCGTGATCATCTTCTACCGTCGAAGAGACATCATTGTTGTCTTCTGGGATCCCTGCAAAATTCTGAATATCTTCCTCAGTCACAAAAACATCATCACTCTAGCGGTCGAGGCAAAATCGTGAATATCGCTCTGCTGTATTTCCAACGTCTCCCGCATTTCTTTTCAATTCCAAAAATTGAATTGAAATGGATAGTTTAAAAAACGGTCGTAGGTAAAAGACATATCTTGTTAACTATTGTGTAATGTATATTTATTGACGCTATCTCATTTCCATCTTATATTGCAGTTGCTCAGATAGTATATTGGTTGGAAACCTAAATCCAACCAAGTTTTATTGCTGTATCCAAATAAGTGTGTTTAATATTTAACAAATACCTAATCTTTGGTTGGCTCTTTTAGAAGCTTTGCCTTTTTGTCAAATTAAAAAAAATTAAAATAAACCTCTCAATACATTTTTTTTTATCCTAGAAATTTTTGTTTCACTCCCATTTCTTTACTTTTTATTAACTTAATTCATGCTTATCATTTTTATCTAACACTAATTATTTATTTATTTTCAGACGATACAGAACATTGGCCAGCTGATAGATGAGATTGACACTGCAAAGAGACATCTTGATATTAGTGAAAGTGGCAAAGTCAATGTTAGTGTTAGTGACATTGTTCTTAACTCAGTTCCCTCAACTCGAATCGCTGGAAACTTACATCTCTTCATGCTACTTTTTGAGGTATGGTTATGAAAGATAGTCAATCTACAATTTTAAAAAGTTAACCCCTCAATTATTTCTCTACAGTAAATTAAAAGCAAAAAATTAGTATAAACACAGTAGAGTCCCGATAATCCGAACTTCGGTCCTACTTTTCAAATGTATAGTACAGTAAAGACAGTGTTTGAAACTTACATACAGTGTTGGACTGAAGTCTTAAGTTGGTTTAAAAAGTCTGTTACCAACGCAAAAAAAGCATAATGAAGCCAATGCCATAGAAACAATGTATCCGCTGGGGTCGAGACGGACTGTTGTTCAACGTAGCGTAGCGCTAGATCAAAGGCAGCTAGATGCTGGAAGGCACCCTACCAACAGGGCCGGACTTAGGACTTCAGAGGTCCCGGGCAAATTTGCCGATGGGGCCCCCAGTATGATTATACGAGAACAAATATGGTACACAATATAACGCATATTACATGCACACTAATTTTAAATAGGCAATATCAAGGTGAATTAATATGTAAACCTGTTAGAATAGTATTCTGTATTTTGCATAAACTAATTTTATGTAATATTTGAAGTCTGAAAATAGCTACAATGTACGGTGTTATGTTATGATTTGTTCTTGTTGTAATTGTATTTATAAAATTTTAATATACCTAGCAGGTACCTTACACATTTTTTTTGCAATACATTAAAATTTAATATCCTTTGCAACAAATAATGAAAACTATAGATAAAATAAAAATAAAATAACACGTACTTGTAAAAGGTTTAATTTAATTTGTTTGCTGTAATACACATTCTATTTGGTGCTTGAATGAAAACACAAATAAAAAATAACACATTAATTATATTTAAACACGTGATGTAAGTCAGAGATAATGCATAAACTTTTAAAGCTTTAATATATTTTATAACTTACTATAATTTTACTAACAAACCTTTTACTAAGTTTATAAGATGCAAGTCCAAACAATGTTAAAGTTTACTTTTTATGGATTAATCATTATAAGGTTTAGAACATAGTTATTTTCTCTATAAATAAATGTCACTTCCCACTCTGATACGTTGGTCACGTTGGCATGGCAATTAAAACCCCCTTTTCCTACATTTCTTGGCTGCACTAAAACTATAAAACCATAAACTATGACTTATGTTTATTTTCATAGTGGTTTTGGTATGGAATTTTTGTTTGTATAATTTGTTAAAGTCCTAGCATGAAAAGTACCATTAAGAACTTTAACGAGTTTGAGTTTTTCTTGACGAGTAAAATGTTACAATACAAGTCTAATAACCAATCACAAGCTAACCATTTATATGAGTAACTGAAAGATGTTTAAATGTATTCAATATCTCAGATTAATACAACACAAACATAACATTCAATACAACATTAATTTGTTCTTTGTAGTGTTTGCAGAATTATTAATAAAATACAACACGAAAGTACGACAATGTCAACCGAAAACACACTGGGAGTAAAGTGATTCAAATTGTTTTGGATAGGCGATAAGGCATTGTATGTATGTGTATGCGCGTGCGTGAGACAGACAAGACTAGACAGGATCCCTTATCAGCTCATTATCATTTATTGTTGCAGCTGCTTGTTGCTTTTTTACGATTTCTGTCGACAACGCTCGCCCGCTCCCAAATAATGTAATTTTTGTTAACATATCAGACGACCCTAGTTGTCATAAAATGTCTATATAAATTTTTTTATCATACTGGCGCTGTATGATTTTGACTCTAACGACTAAATTGAAGATACAAATTTTGACGCATAACTTAATTGCTATTTTACAAAACCTTTTAATTGAATGGTTAATATAATACTTCTGCCCCTTAAAATCGAGATTGGCATATACTTAGAGGGAAAAGAATAACATCTAATAAAACATTAAAACAGAGCAATGTTTTTATTTTTCAAAAGTATTAGAACTTCATTGAATCTCCATTTAACCCAACACAATTGTACAAGTTACGTTCTACGTTAAGACAAGAGTTTTCATATTATTTATTGTATTTTTTGCCCCAAGCGAAGGGGCCCCCTTCAACTCGATCGCCGCGGCCGTACGTTTGTGTGAACGGCTTCATTGAAACTCAAAACTGGTCCGTCACAGCCTAGCAGCTATGCTCGTGTAAACTAGGTCTAAGCGCGGGGCCGAGTGCAACCCTGAGGAAAAGTCCCTTAGAGTCAAGAATTTTGGTCCTAGTAATACCTTAAAATTCACCTAACAATAACTTCTATATAACTATAGGATAATGACAATAAAGCTTTTAAAAAGAGAAGGCCATTCGGAAAGTGTCTGACTAATTTTCGAAGATATTAATAAAAACTACTGTGTAAGGGGCCCCTTTCGGGGCCCCGGGCGCTCGCCCCGTCCGCCCCTAGGTAAGTTCGGCCCTGCCTACCAAACAATATATAGCGTGTTCTGAACTGCCTCCAGCATTGTACAGTACTGTTCTGTAGCCAAACTAAATGGAATATTAATGTTTACTAATGTAATTTAGTAATAGTAGGGGTCAGGGGATGTTTTTAATCTTGTACATATAGCCATTGCTGCAGGTTACTTATTTAGTCTCTTGTATGTGACAGGAGATCAAGGTGCCGTGTGCTAAGGTAGTGCACTCTTCTAACCTGCTGAAGACACTGGTGAAGCTGCTTATGAAAGTGACAGAGGTGATGGAGGAGGATGCACCAACCCCCAAGTGGATGGCTCCCTCGTTGCTCCTCATAGATCTGCTAGAGAAAGTGTCAGTCTGTGTCAACAGAAAAGTCAACATGCACAAGGTGTGTATTTTCCTTGGTGTCAAAACGATGTCGCAACAACTGATTGCAAAATTATTGTTACTAGAAGTATTATTGAGGTCAGTTTTGAGTTTTAAGCTCATGATTGAGCACATCTCTACAAGCTATTTACTTGGAATGTAGATCATTCATTGGTAATATTACATGGACTCTCTTTTTTAGTCATCAGTAAGTTTTCAATGAGTATATTTTCTAGTGATGGTCAGATCCGGATATATCTGACTACCGAATCAGTCGGATCTGAGCTAGAACCGACGCCCGATCGGATCCACAGAAAATCAGATCTTGGGCTGGATGTGGTTAAATGGATCGGTCTTTTTTTAATAGGTCCTTCATAAAGTTGTAAAGTATTGTATTTAAAGTACAATTCATACATAAGAAAATGTGTTGTGTCATATTGATGTATTTTAAAATAAAATAATAGTGACTATCTGAATCCATGTACAAAACTATCTGTGTCCATAACTATTTGTGTCCATATACAAGACTCTCTGTGTCCATGTACAAGACTATCTGTATCCATGTACAAGACTATCTGTGTCCATGTACAAGACTATCAGAGTCCATATACAAGACTTTTTTGTCTTGAATCTTTTTGTCCAAAGATAGTCCTGTACATGACTATCTTTACATGTGTTTTTTTTTGTTTTTTATCTTTTTGTGGTCTGTACACAGACAGTCTTGTATATGGACACAGTTAGTCCTGTATATTGACACAGACAGTCTTGTACATGGGCACAGACAGTCTTGTATAATATGGACCCAGATAGTCTTGTATATGGACACAGACAGTCTTGTACAAGGACACAGACAGTTTTGTATATGGACACAGATAGTCTTTGACATAATAGTCATAATATGAGTGATTAAAAAACCCGTCTTTGAAGAAAGAAAAAAAGCAAAAAAAAAAACATAAGTGGATTCGGATCCGAAGATAGTTTAGATTTGGAGTCTTGCTTCGCTAACAAGGCAACAATGTCCATAATGAAAGAAAAATTCAACATTCCCCATTGAGACGGTAGTAATTAGCCTACCAGTATGATTAATTCAAGTCAATTAAAATGTTTATACCGGTATTTTGTTCATCAGCCTACTTAAAATTGGTTATAGGTCTTTAACACGTTCAGTGAGGCAGGCATTCCAACAGGCGCTCGCCAATGGCGGCGAGGCCCAGGCAAATCCCTGGCGCGGTTCCGTAACAGCGAACGCAATTGGCATTCAAATATTTCAATCTGACGAAAAACAAAAGAGCAGCGGCGATTGTACTACGTTACCCCGAGATTAGACGTAGTTCCCTAAAACAACCAAAGGTAGCAGCACTGCCTGGATCAGTAGTCAGTGGCTTTGTAATATGGCTTGAAGAGAGAAAATCCTAGAAACTGGGACAAAAGCAATAATTAATTAATTAATTTTATTAATGTTGTTGGATTTTACGGGAAATTTTAGTACCAACCTACACCAAAATAAATTTCACATTCTAAGCTATAGGCTAGCAACGATTTTAACGTTCCCCGGCAACGGCTGAGCTCATACTGAACTAATGTAGTGGGGATTACGCAACTACATCAATTGATGTAGTCAGCACTGAACGTGTTAAAGGAAGAAGTGTTAACTGTAACCATTTAAATTCATGTTAATCTACTTTTAATCAGATAAGCCTGCAGTTCGACTTTTTCTACATTAAAATAATAATCCTCACAATACATGGTTAGGACTCGAAAGTCAACTAAATAAAACAATAATAGCATGGTATCCGTCATTGTATTTTAGTTTCAAATAGTTCATTCTTATTAAATATTGATCTGCAAATTAAAATAGTACGGTATAAACCTAAAATAGATATGCAGGTATAAAACACATTAAATTAAGACGTTGCCTACCAGCCGTCACACTCCTCTGTATTAGAGGACTTGTGTCACTCGGTAGTAAACGTGTTAAATATGTTTTTTACAAACCTTAGACTGAGGATTATTGTTGTGTAGGTGACGACACAGGTCTGGAAATGGCTTGACTTAGCCTCAGGTAGATGGTCCTTGTACTTACCTCAGAACAACAAGTTGATCAATGAAGCGTACTGGCGAGGCGATCGAGACGTCACCATCAGTAGTGGTCGCAGACGCTACACAATCGCCTTTGCAAACATGTGCCAGGTATTCATTCAAAACTTCCTTGGCATGTTGGAATCGTTCTTACTGATTGGTGTGTTTTTCCTTTTCAACCTTTCTTCAAACTTTTCTCACACTTTTTACCTTGAACTACACATTTTTGAAAAAATAATTTATTTGTTAAATGATTTAAGTAATACAGTTATTGTGGATAAAGAGGTGTGAATTTTGTAAAATCATTCACTATGAAATTACTAAATTAATAACACTGTCATTTTTCAAAATGTGTATGTAATTTCTGTTGTTGCTTGTTTTATTTTTATTTAATTTTTCTGTAATTGTAAGCTATAATAAATTAAAATCTCTCTGTCTTTGTTATTATTTTTTTTTATTTATTTAAGGATATTGTAATGGATACGTTTAACAGCAGGCTTACCTTACTGACAAAAATAGATAAAAAAAGCGCAAATAAAAATAAATTCTAGATGATTTGGAAATTACTTTTGTTATAAAGGGTGACTTGTTACCGAGGTTAAACTGTACTATAGCTCTGTCTTCATTAGAGTCTTTGTTCTTGTAGGGTGTGTAAGAACAAAGACTCCCTACAAGAACAATGACTACTACTACCTAAGAAAGAGCCAATAGCTTAGAAAATGCTGTGTTTATTTGTGATTTTTACATCTATTTACCTCAGTAAAGCCTTCTGTTAAACATATCCATTTACATTTTGTAATTTGTGTATCTAAAGATCCCCTTGCACGTGTGTGTGCACAAGATTGTATGTATAAGTTAAGCTAGCTGCATGGTTGAATCGAATAAAAGCTTTATAAATTTGAATTTGAATTTATTGTTAAGTTAAGATAATAATAGAAAAAAATGCCAATCATTAGGTTACCATATACAAAAAACAACATCAAGACTGGTATTGAAAGATTAACGTTTGTTTTCTCATTCATATACTAAAAGAGAATCTTGAGCCATTCATAACTTAAACCAAGCAATTATGAAGCTTGGCTCTTGTGCTATATTAATTTTATTAATGTTAAACATACATAAACTGCTGTGTGAATATGCAGTAGAGTCCTGATATTCCAAAAATTTGCCTAATGGCTAAATTGAGTTCTAAAATAAAATATTTTTAACCAAAGACTTATAAAAAGAATGAGAAAATATAAGTTGTTTTCTCTTTTTTAACTTGCTTACTCATTTATTGCTACACAAATGGGTTAATAATTTATTAGAATTCATCTCAACACTGGAAACGCTTAACTTTCTAGACACAACAACATCAAGACATAACCCAATCAAACAGCATTTGAAATAAATACCCAAAAATCATAGTTAAAACTGTTATAAGCTACAAGTTGTATTACAACAAAATATTTAACTGTGTGTAAATAGACGTAACCTCATGTGTCTTCAGATTGCTTGGCTTTTTAGAGGTACTGGGTAGAGGTGTGCAGATAGTGAAATTTCATCTCGGATCGGATTTGGGTCGGATAGTTGAGGCTCGGTTCGGACATTGGGAGGTTCAGATTTGGATATTTTAAGATTTGGACATATAGTTACTCGAATTAATATCATAGTCACTCCCACCGCTACCTATTTTTAAGAGTTGTTGACAAGCTAATGTGATTAAAAGGGTGTCAGTTTGCTGATACTGTTTATTATAAAAGGTGAATATTGTCATAGTTTTGGTTAAATATGACTTACTAGCAGAGTACCCGTCCTTCGTACGGGATTGGCATATAAGTATAAAATGCTTAGTACAGTTATACTCAAGCTTTGCGTTTGCAATGGGGGAGTACACAGTTTGATAAAATTTGCTTCTTTAAATTTACGGTATTCTATAGTATTACACATCTATCATAGCCATAATGTTCTACCACTTCCCCCAAACAATAGAAAAAAAAATTATTAAATATTCGCAAAATATCACAAATTATTCATGAAATTAAAAACATAAACATATTTTTGTTGCTGCTTAAAATGAGTTCAAATTAGCTGTTTTCATAAATGAAAATAGTTATTTGTGCAACTAGTGAGCAAAGTGAGCAATTGACTCACTCGAGAGAAATACTTACTCACGAGCCGTAGGCGAGTGAGGAATGGTTTCTCGAGTGAGGCAATTGCACTTTGCACCCGAGTTGCACATTATATTTTTCCTACAGTTACCATAAAACAAATAAATTGGTAAAGAAACGTAACATATTTTTACACAGAAGTGAACTTATGATATGACATTTAATGATACAACTGTACAACAGCTGACCAGCTGATTTACAGCCAGTGTTGCCATCGGATTTCGTGCGCATACGACCTTGTCTGCATGTTACGCGCTCACTATTTCGTGCCTTCACGTTGCAAATCTTGAGTGAGACAAAGTAATTAGAGTGAGACAATGTTAACATTGTCTCACTGATGAGCGAATTGGCCACTTTGCTTTCTCAAATCAGTGAGAGAACATGATGTACATTGTTAGGTAACTGTAGGAAAAAAAATAGTGCTGCACTCTGTTGGTAAATCTTATAACTTTTAATGCTTTAGCATGTCATAGAACCAACCTTTTTTATTTGAAACAGCTGACTAAATTCTTTAATTCCATTTAAATATGAGTACTCATAAGGTTAACATTGGGAACTACAGAGCCACTGGGGCAGAGCCCGAAAGGATTTTTGAGATAAGAATATGCCTATACAGGGTGGTAAAAAAGTCCCTGGACAGTTAAATATTAAAAGAAATAATGCAGATAGAGCTACAGATAGAGCATAATACTTGGTACAAAGTTACAGGGCATAAAACTATATTTTAACACATATTCAGTGATCCAATAACTCTTCAGGGGGACGGCCCACAAGGAGTCGGAAGAAAATCTTAAATGGAAGCATAGGTCAATATGCACATCAAATTAAAGGTCTTCTTTAGTAGAATACAATGCCGCAAACCGCACTTCAAAAGGTTGTTCCTGCGCAAAATGGCAGATGTTCAAAGATTTCTTGAATCCGCCATTTTGAGTCTTTGAACGACTGCCATTTTTTACTCAGGCATTCTTTTGAGCTTGAATTTACGGCATCGTAATCTACTAGTGAAGACCTTTAATTTGATGTGCATATCGACCTATGCTTACGTTAACAATTTTCTTCCGATTCCTAGGGCTGTGCCCCCTGAGGATAAAGCGTATAATAGCAATGTAAATTAAATGAATCTTTGAACAACTGTCATTTTGTGCAGGGTCAACCTTTTGAAGTGCGGTTTGTGGCATTGTATTCTACTAAAAAAGACCTTTAATTTGATGTGCATATTGACCTATGCTTCCATTTAAGATTTTCTTCCGACTCCTTGTGGGCCGTCCCTCTGAAGAGTTATTGGATCACTGAATATGTGTTAAAATAGAGTTTTATGCCCTGTAACTTTGTACCAAGTATTGTAGCTCTATCCGCATTATTTTTTTAAATATTTAACTGTCCAGGGACTTTTTTACCACCCTGTATGTTAATCGGGAATGTGAGCTATCATCATGCCAAATTTCAGCCCAATCCGTTCAACATTATATAGGATACTGATTAACTTAGATGAGATCTGTAACTATATCTTATGTATGGTTGCACTTAACCTTGTAAACATTGAAATCCTAAAAACGATTATCAAATTTTCAATTGCACAATCTTTGCACATCACTACTGTGATTTTTTGAATATCCTGTGTAGTGATGGGTTGGTTTGGGTTGGGTATTTTATCGGTTGTTGGTTGTTGGTTTTCGATTTCCCCTTAAATCACATATTTAAATATAATTTTTCTCTCTACTTATGCAAAGGTACGCATTTCAAAAATTATTACTAGCGCTTCATAGGAGGACTATCATATCTACAACTATCTGATCTTCGACTACAACTCTTTCATTAACTTTATACAGGGTGAATTTTAAATGAGTTCCCCCCCCTACTTTTTTATACATTTCTTAAGATATCATCCCCGGACCACGTCAGATCATTGTTTAGTAGTAAGTAATTCATTTTGACTGGGTATACATTTTTGGCCGCCATCTTGGATCCGCCATATTGGATACAAAGTTTTTTTTTCAAATGTAAAGGTAGGGTTGTGACCCATTATTTCAAACTAGAATTTTACGCTGATTACAATGCCGCAATTAGTTTTTGAAAATCTTGATTCGTTCTAAAGTTATGAGGACTTTTTATAACTTTATTTTTAGCACATTTTAACATTGTGCATTTACAAACTAAGACCATAATCTCAAAATAGTGCTAGATAAAGATAAGTATACACCACCATTCATTGTCGACATATTTTCACTTGGTTATGACGGATGTAGTTTTTTCAGTCGCCATCTTGGATCCGCCATTTTGAAATGTGATCAATTAATTTAAATATGAAGGTGGTGTTGTGACCCATCATTTTGAGTAACTTTTTTATGCTGAACTCAATGCCGCAATCCGTTTTTCATTTGCATCTTTGGATTTTGAAATATTGAAATTTTAAATAAGAGTATTTTAATATTTCATCATGAAAGCTTGATAACCAAAAACGGATTGCAGCATTGAGTCCAGTGTAAAAAAGTAGTTCAAAATAATGGGCCACAACACCACCTTCATATTTAAATTAATTGATCACATTTCAAAATGGCGGATCCAAGATGGCGGCTGAAAAAACTACATCCGTCATAACCAAGTGAAAATATGTCGACAATGAATGGTGGTGTATACTTATCTTTATCTAGCACTATTTTGAGATTATGGTCTTAGTTTGTTAATACACAATGTTGAGTAGATGAGTAGATTTGAGTAGATGTCATTTTCGGATTCTACATTAAATTTTGAATAAGACTAATGTAAAATGACGGGGGATCAGTTGTAAAAACTCCTTTGTAATTAGATTCAAAGATAAAAATTAAGATGTTCGTTAAAAACTTTAAACACATTGGTCTATTGCTTTTTTCACACCCTGTATACAATAAAGTGTCGGAATATGTTAAAAACAGCGCCATTTTATAAGCTTTCCAACCATATGCTACACCATTGAGATTTATACCTGATTATGTACGCTTTAGTGGTTTGAAGACTACAAAGCATGGTGCATTAACATTAAAAACATAGAAAGTCGGCATGTATTAAGCAAAAGTTGTATATTTGTTTCAGCTTGAACAGTAAAAACAGTAAAAAAGTTCCCTGTTTTCTGGTATTCAAACCACTAAAACAAACAAAAAAATATCTAAACCTCAATAGTGTAGCATATGGTTGGAAAGCTTATAAAATGGCACAGTTTTTAACATATTCCGACACTTTCATGTATACAGGGTGTGAAGAATACAATAGACCATTGTTTTTTAAATTGTTATCAAACATCTTAATTTTTATCCTTGAATCTATTTACAATGGAGTTTTTACAACTGATCTTTCGTCATTTTCTATTAATCATATTCAAAATTTAATGTAAAATCCGAAAATGACATTATCTACTCAAATACATCTACAGGTTGAGAAATAGCTGTATTAAGTTTAAAAACATAGTTATTTTTGAAAAACATAAAATAATTCTTTGGGAAGCTAATTTTTAGACTTGGAACCTGTTATATGCATCATCACACTTCATTTACTTTGTACTTACACCAAAAAATTTTGTCACACTGAGTACCAATCACCCTGTATAATTGGAGGTCGGCACTTGGACGTCATGCAACACTCCCCATTAGGATATGGTTCATAAGATTTAGATTGCGTGTACAACACAATAAAAAATATAGGAAACAAAAAACATATCTAAACTAGTGATGGGTCGGTACCACTTTTTCTATGTCGGTACCAATTCCTATCCAAAATCGATTCCCGGTTCTCGGTTCCGATACCATCGGTACCTCATTTTAAATTAGGCTACTTAATTGTTTTATTTTTAAACAAAATACAGTATCCCTATTTCAATTTTTAAAACTGATTATTTTTCATCAGTGTAGGATCGGTAAGGGATTAAGAATCTAAAACTTAAGCCTATTTGTTGAAAAAACACTTTAACAACCAAACTCATTCAAATCAAAAAAATACATACAATTCCAAAAGCAGAGGGGCCTATCCCCCCCAAACCCAAAGGCGCAATCCCCCCCCCCCCCAAAGGAGTAGTTCCCCCCAATTGATGCTGTCCTCTATTTAAACCTACCCTCCCCCGCCAATTTACATAAAACAAGCATTTCAAGTATTTAGTAAACTTGAGGTAAAGAAAAACAAACTTGCTGATAATCAAAATTAAATGTTTAATAGGAAACGTCATTTAACAATACAAAATTATATCTAACTAATGGACGACTTAGAAGTTTTTCAATTTACAATTCAGAATCTGTATCGTCAGCCATCATGTGCTTAGTATTGCAATAGACAAAGTCTTCAAAAAGTTCAACAATATACTTGGTGAATTACTCTACTCCAACACAGTACTGTATCTGCACAATATAATAGGTGGTGTACATTTTTACATTAAGAATTCAAACAATTTTAAAAACATGAATAATACTTCAAAAGTATCTTGTTTCAAAACTAGACAGAGTCACGAAATAGGGTAGACTATAGGAGGGGTTGCTCGCCACTCCCAAGCTGCCTGCTTCTACGAAAATCTCTGGGCAAAATACCCACAACACTGTACCTCAATTACTAGAAGGATTAAACATTAAGGAGAGGGCATGCGAATAGGATTACACATGTTGCGGTGAAGTCAGCTTTAGCAGAACACTAGAGGGGCCCGGCGGAGCTGTAGAGTGGCAAAAAGCTGCAACAATAACATGGGAGGGATAGGGAAAAACGAAACGTTCGCTGTTTTGTTTTAAAAATTGCCGCTAAACTAAAACACCTGTGTTTTTCTCCGATGGCATTTTTAAAGTAAATTAAATTTCCTATCGAACGGTGTCACTCATTTCTACAAAAACTATTATTTATTATTGAAGATCAAGTTGAAAGAACTGGCCTGGACTTTAAAAAAAAATATGATGTATCCATACAAATTAATAATTTATCCGTGTTCCTTAAGAGTTTCTCAAAATGAAAAATATACATTTACCTATATTTAAAAGTCGTATTTAGAAAAATAATTATAATAAATTTTTTCCAGTTTATAAAACAATCTTACTAATTATAGGTTAAATAAAATGAAAATTTTAATTTGGGTGGTGAAATTCATTTTAAATTTGCATTTCTCATATTTTTTTCGATTTGTTAATACCATTTTTTACTAGTTCTGTTTTAAGACATTTATGTAGGAGGTTGATTTTAAATAGCCAAAGTTAAAAAAAAATTCAAAGCCGCTCTAACTTTATTTACACCAACAGCCGTTACAATTAAATTACAAACATAAAAAGTATAGTTATTTGTGCAACTAGGGAGCAATTGACTCACTCGGGAGAAATGCTTACCGAGCTAATGTGAGAGGAATGGTTTATCGAGTGAGGCAATTGCACATTATATTTTTCCTACAGTTACCATAAAACAAATAAATTGGTAAAGGAACGTGAAATATTTTTATACAGAAGTGAACTTTTAATATGACATTTAATGCTACAACAGTACAACAGCTGACCAGCTGATTTACAGCCAGTGCTGCCAACGTATTTCGCACGCATACGTCCTTGTCTGTATGTTACGCGCTCACTATTTGTGCCTTCATGTTGCAAATCTGGAGTGAGTGAGACAAAGTAATTGGAGTGAGACAATGTTAACATTGTCTCACTGATGAGCAAATTGGCCACTTTGCTTTCTCAAATCAGTGAGAGAACATGTACATTGTTAGGTAACTGTAGGAAAAAACAATTTCTTACCTACTATGTATGGTCGCCATTTCTTTGAACAGTATTAACAGAACTATATTTGATCTGTTTGCCCAAAGAAACTTTGTGTAAAAAGTGTAAACGTTCAACAATCATTGCGTCATTTATGATTTATGATTAGTTTTAAATATTGTAGTTATACAGGGTGATCAACTCAAGGAGGCCACCATTGGGATATCAAAAACGGTAAGAATTAGAGAAAACTTTAAATGGGGGACATTCCTTTATTTTTTGTGGCAGTTAAAAATATGATTTTTTTTTTTATTCAGCTGCCATTTTCCAAAATGGCGGCCAACTTTGAAATTTCTTATGGAACACCCTATATTTTATCATGTTTTCGGATAGAACAGGCAGTTTAAAAACTTTTTTATTCTTGACATTTTTTCGATAAACCCACTCGTTTAGGAGTTACAGCCTATGGAAAAATGACTTCCGGTGTACATTTTACATCATGTAGCTCCTAAACAAGTAGGTTTATAGCGAAAATGCGAAAAGTAAATGAGTCAAATAAGTCTTAAAATTGCATCCACATTCCAAAAAGACCAAAAAATACACAGTTTTCCACTTTTCAAGTTTGCCGCCATTTTTGAAATAATAGAATTAATAGTTTTTAACGAATTTTTTGGTCTTTTTGTAAAATGCGAAAAGTAAATAAGTCAAATAAGTCTTAAAATTGCATCCACATTACAAAAAGACCAAAAAATTCGTTAAAAACTATTAATTCTATTATTTCAAAAATGGCGGCCATTTTCCAAAATGGCGGCAAACTTGAAAAGTGGAAAACTGTGTATTTTTTGGTCTTTTTGGAATGTGGATGCAATTTTAAGACTTATTTGACTCATTTACTTTTCGCATTTTCGCTATAAACCTACTTGTTTAGGAGCTACATGATGTAAAATGTACACCGGAAGTCATTTTTCCATAGGCTGTAACTCCTAAACGAGTGGGTTTATCGAAAAAATGTCAAGAATAAAAAAGTTTTTAAATTGCCTGTTCTATCCGAAAACATGATAAAATATAGGGTGTTCCATAAGAAATTTCAAAGTTGGCCGCCATTTTGGAAAATGGCAGCTGAATAAAAAAAAAAAATCATATTTTTAACTGCCACAAAAAATAAAGGAATGTCCCCCATTTAAAGTTTTCTCTAATTCTTACCGTTTTCGATATCCCAATGGTGGCCTCCTTGAGTTGATCACCCTGTATATAACTTTATATTAGTTATGAATTTTAGTTACAAATTAGTTGTGAAATATTGTTTTTTCATGTACCCTATCTTGTTGCAGATCAACGATGACTCTGGAAAGGCTCGTCCTGTTATGATGACCTTGATTGATCCTAACGATCCTACAGCGAGAAGCAACTATGATAACCAACCTGTAGACCTGCCCCCCTTCGTCTCCGCACCGCCAATGCCTGAAGATAAAGACCCTAATGACACGGTCGAGTCCTTGTCAGAAGTTGAATACTACGTTGACTTCTTCCATCGTCGTGTGGGCCTACAGCCCATTGCTGGTGTGACCCCAGAAGATATTCAAATAATTCTTAGGTTGGTTTTGTATTGCCTATGAATGGACACGTTGGTGTTGGTACCTATACTATCCAATCTCTCTTGCTATTGATAATTTAAAGTCAGCCAATTCGGTTCAGAACCAAATGTGGTTTTTTTCTATGACCAGTTGGAATACAAATAGATTAAAGAAGTTGGAAATTTGTTTGGTCAGCAGGTTTGCTAAGACAAATGACATTTTCAACTCTTCAAACCTCTCAAAGGTGTTAAGGTACAGAAACAAACTACTCCTCTTGCAGTGAGGTCTAAAAACCAGTTGCTATCATACTATTCATAAATTTTGCCTTTTTAAATTAGGATATTTACCATTAAGGTGTCGTTGGGTTGTCATAAAATTTCCTTACAGTTCATATTCCTAATAGTTTTTTGTATAGTCACTTATTTTTTCAATATATAAGATGGAAAATGTTTAATGGCTGCCATTTTAAATTGGTAAAATGATCATGTAGAATTCTGATACCTTGTACAGAAGGTGGTCATATTTGTCACTACTTATGCACCAAGTTTGAAATCAACAAGTTTGTTTAAGGGGTTAAAAAATAAAGTTATGGATACATAAAATTTGTGAAAATAACATACATACAGACAGGCAGAAAACCAGTCATTTAAGACCTATGTTTATACCGTAGTATGCTTTTATGTTGTTTTGGAGTAATAAATTAATAAATATAATACAAAAACGTCCCAGGGAGTTTCCTTAGACATTGTATATATTATGTAATAGGCCTATATTATTATATAAAGAGAAAAAAAGTTTTTTGGCCTCTAAAGGCATCAAAATAAAAAAAGTAAGTCAGTCCTGGGTCTAGGTTTTTCCATGCCGCTTACCATAATAGCTTCTTCCCTTTAGGGAAATTTGCTAAAATTCAATCAAGCAAATAAAAATCACATTGCAGTTTTGCTGCGAACAGGGTCCTTTTTACTCAGAATAGTAATTCTATTTTGATGTGTATCTTTGCAGGTGTTGCATGGAGCTGATCTCTAAGCCTGTGGACCCAGATACCCTCCACGCAGTCATGCAGGTTTGCGTTCGGTTCACTAGAGATTACGAAAATGCTCGGCTCATCGCAGATATGAATGCTGTTCAACGATTGCTTCAGCTGAGACAAGTTTCCTCCTTCACTGGCTTTGTTGGGCTCTCTACTATGTTAATCCGCCATGTTCTTGAAGAGCCTGCTAACATCACTGCTGCCATTGAACGAGTAAGCTATAATGCATATTATTTAGTTTCCTTTTCTGTAGTTTTTTTATTATTTTTAATTGGCATGCATGACACAGGACTGTAAGTTAAGATTTATGGAGACACAGTGGGAATTTTGATTTACTCTGCGGGCACTGTAAAATCGAGAACATCTTCCTCGGCCACAGCGAAATCGTGAACATCTTGGTGGCATCATCGTTTCCTACAATCCTAAATTTTTCATTGCACATCTTCGCAAATGCATGAATTTAATTTGCTTTTTGTCTTGATTCATAATTGGTTATTCTTCTGTTCAGCGTCCTCAGGTCGAATGTAATTTACAAATCCAAAGCCGAAGCTGTAGTAAGACTTATTCAAGACCCTACAATTTTAGATATGCCCAAAGATCATGAACGTGTTGCATACTATAATTCATGTTCTGTGAATGTTTGAGTAAAGTAATTGACAATCAAATTACAAGTTACAAATCCAAATACAAATTACCTTACCCATTTTGCTCTATTTACAAGTTTGTGTCCTTGATATTTTTACTCGATTGTATGATGTACGAAACCTTTGTTCTTTAGTTCTTATAAATTTAGCCCCGTTTAACTGGTACAGTAGAACCTCGCTAATCCCACCTCCTATGGTCTGACTCCTCGCTTGGTCTGACCGTGCCGCCGACACAATAGACTTCTGCTAACGTAACCTCATTGTCAAAGAGAAATATCTAGAACAATCTAGAATTAGTAGAATTGTGTTTTTTTAGTCTAATGTGTTAAAAATTTGTGGTATATTTAACTATTTCTGCCCATTATTTATATGCAGTAGGCTCACAAATTATTGTTTTTGAAAAATCACAGTTCATTTGACAAAAATAAAATGGAAGCAAAACAAAGAAATGTTGAACAAACTTCAAGGTCAAGCTATCCGTTTGCACTGACAATCGTCTGCTCCTTAGGCCTACACATGACGCATCTTTCTGCTGTGCGCTTGCTGTCACAATATTTTTTGATTGATTATTTTTGGTAGGGATGGGTTGATTCTAGGGGTGTGCAAATATTCAAACATTTTAAAATTGAATATCGGCATATTCTATTTGATTCAAAATTTTTTAAATAGGTTCGAAGTTTGAATTGAATATTTAAATTAACCACCTACCATTTAAAAGTAGGTTATAATCAATTATTGTTCCAAATTAAATGATAATTTATAGGGATAGGCGAGTAGTGTTTTTTTGAGTTAAGTCGAGTAATTAGCCCTAATACTCGAGTATAGAGTCGAGTCGAGTAGTTCACGAGAAAATCAACAATTATATTTGACATATATTCCTACATTTTCTTGGATCCGCCCATCACTACATGGAACTGCACAAGTTTGCTTCCAGAATTCAGTTGACATGATTTGTTCTAACTTCTTTTCAGGTCATTCGCTTCAAAACCTTGCCCAATATACCACCCACTTTCAAAGAGCTGCACTATATACTGCGGGAGTGCGCGCCTGCAATATGTCGAGATCCGGAGATCTTTAAGTCTGTTGCCAAGGAGATCATGAGAGTAGACGTATCTGTACTCAACAAAAGAGGTAGGCCTACCAAATAAATTCTATAATAAATTAAGTAATGTGTTTATTTTTCACATAATATACAGATTTACAAAATAAATAATTTTTATACGTAACGATTACAAAATATAAACTTAAACTCAAATAAAAAGAATTGTATTAACTTATTGATTTTATTTATATAAAAAAAAAAAAAAAAAAATCATCAGACATAGGCAATTGCTGCCAGTGCGTCTGCTGGGTTGCTATTTAAAAAAATAATAAACCAAATCATAATGGAACTATTTGATAATTGAAATAACTGTTGCTTAAAAAATATTAGTTTAGGTAAAAGACTTAAAATCAAATCCATTTAAAACATAATAACAAAATGAAATGTTTTAATCAGGTGGGGACAACGATTCCTGCAGGCTCAGGGTGGAGGGGGTAAGGGTCGGGTCAAACATGCTGGTAATCAGCTGAGATGATAATGTCGGCCTCATCTATACCGAGCCTGAAAGAAATTCTTTAACTCTTTGATTTGAAAACATTAAGGGGAGGTGATTCAAAAAGGTCATCGTTACTAAAATGAGAACATATATTTTGATATAGTATATTAGAAATATAGAAAGAGCTTGTTTTAGAGAAAGTATAATTTATCTGACGTGAAGATATGCCAATTCGTGTGGAATAATGGGTACTATGAGAGTGAGTTATTCCTTAAAATATATTAGTATGATTTTTAAAGATGTTTATTAATAGGCTTTTAATAAATAGTTTTCAAATAGTGAGGATTGGCGATTCCTCAAACAATTGTAATAATAATTATATTTATATAATTATTATGTTTTAATAATCAATAATATAAACTTTTTTGAGACCAGCTAAAGTTTTAACTAAATATTATTGACGTCGTAATATACAGTACTGTGACATTGCCTAACCATAGAGATTATTGACGTCGGCAATATAGAGTACTGTGACTTTGCCTAACCTTAGAGGTTGTTGACGTCGTAATATACAGTACTGTGACATTGACTAACCATAGAGATTATTGACATCGTAATATACAGTACTGTGACATTGACTGACCATAGAGATTGTTGACGTCGGCAATATACAGTACTGTGACATTAGAGATTGTTGACGTCGGCAATATACAGTACTGTGACATTAGAGATTGTTGACGTCGGCAATATACAGTACTGTGATATTGACATTAGTCTTCTTGTACACAGACACAGATAGTCTTCTTGTGCAAAGTCACAGATAGTATTGTGCATGGATAAAGACAGCTTTGTGTTAGTAAAAAATCGGTCTTGTACATGGATACAGACAGCTTTTTGTAAATAAAAAAATCGGGGGAAATCGGATCCATCAAAACTGGATCCAGCCCAAGATCCAGAATTTTGTGGATCCTATCGGGTGCCGGTTCTAGCTTGGATCCGGTAGTCCGATATCCGGATCCGACCATCACTAACTGAAACAAAAGGTAAAATTTTAACTGTGCATGTTTGGATTGACCTAATTATAGTGAACTAGAATCCCTTCCGAAGAAGTAAATGTATTAAGTTCTGTTTGACTGTATTTGTGTATAACAGTTAGGTAGTGTACAGTAGAACTCATACCATCCAGATAAATCAACACTATAGTTGGAGTTTTCAAGAAGAGAGTTTATAAGACGGTGGCATTAGGCCCATGACTCATGACTCAACGCCCACCGGTCAATACAGCACTGCAAGAGACTCGCTGCGTGATGTACACAATTTTGATGTTTACTTTTACTAGTTCAAGTTTTGATGGTTGGAGTTCTACTGTTTGTAGATATTTGATTGTGTCCCAACAACAAAATTTTAGGGTCCATTGATTTCCCATAGTACAAATCTATATCTCACTGGCTTCAGTCACTTCTTGTGTGACAGGTTGCCGAATGAAACAACGAAAATTCGCTACGAATAAATAATTCATTAGAATTATAATAAACACAATGTAACTTGGCTTCCGACTTGCTGTATAATTTATAAACACAAATAATTTATGAACAAAAAGTACTAGCTGGTGAGAAAGAGAAAATACAATTCCGAATTAAGTTGTTACAGATTTACAATGTTAAGGTAAAGATTGACATGGTTAATTATTACATTTTAGACAAAGGGGGGACATAGCCTCCTGAAGAGGCTATGGGGAAAGGCGACGCGGAAATTTAGCCGACCGACCGAGATCAATTTAGACTCCCCCAACTGAGTGTTCCCCGTCCATAGCCAAGTTGGCCGTGGAGGGGCACCAGCCAATCAACGTTGCGGCTATGCCGCGTGATGTCAGAGCAACGCTGGATAGTGCTGCTGCCTAACGATCACTCGGGACGTTAGACAAACTGTAGTTGCGCAGTTACTGAGTTCAGCAAGCGATTTGCTGAACTGAGCTCAGTAATCAGTAATTTGCTGAGCTCAGCAAATTCCAGCCATGCGCGTTACACTTCTGGGAACATTGGCCTGGCCTAGCGCTGAGCCATGGCTGACGGAATATTCCATGGTGAGGCAACTGGCTGATGCAAAAGCTGGGAGGTTAACACAGTTCAATATTACAGACCCTCCTTTTAAATTTGAAATAAAGCAAAGCTTTTGTGACGGTATTGACAGGCTTTCTTGAAGGTGTAGAAATAACCTCCCCAGCTGATATAATGGGTCTAGGAATTTTTGGGGCCGTCACACTTGTGAGCACAGATGTCATCATTGTAACAGGTTCTTTTTACTTTTAACAGTTTTAACTATGTCTCATTGTAGGTGAAGAGGATGATCCAAGACTACTCATGAAGTGTTTACCATCAGAAAATCAAAAGAACAACAGAGAAGCGGATCACCTTGTGAAGAATACCATAACTCAGCTCTTGAACTTCCTAGTGGAAGCAAGACAGGAAGAGATTGGAATCAACGATATCATTTATGATGATGATCAGTCTTTTGATGGAACACTGCCACCACCAGGTATCCCAAACTGTATATAAGTTAAATGTATCATATCTGAAAACTCGTTGGTTTCAGCCAACAGACAATTAGTACTCTTAGCACTTTGGAAGTAAGAAGTGTAGCCATCCAGAAAATATTTTATTTGGTAAAAGGTTCTTATTTAAAATTTTGCCAGTGTGAATAAGTTATATAGCCTACTAATAAAAAAAGAAATATTAAGAAATTCTATTCTTTGAAATAGGCCTACATCAAAGAATTTTTTTTACAAATTAATTGTTAATTTATCTGACAATTTCAACATTTGAATTTAAGAAAGTAAATATATGTTATTCTTATTTTTTTTTTATTTGATCTTCTGTAGGCCTACTTGAGTAGTGTGCGTTTCCTTAATCAAATATTGTGTATTTGGTTTCGTTAGTAACCAGGTAAAGATAAGTTTCAAGTCAGCTCTTTTTTTCTTATGTTCATTCACTTTTATAACCTAAATGTGCTCGGTATTAAAAAAGTGCTCAAATGTCATTCAAATTCAATAACAAGTTATTACAGTACACTCCTGATTAACCGAAGTCGTTGGAACTGAGACTGCCTCGGTGACACACTGGAAACACGGAGGTCTCTTAGATTTTGAGGTTACGGTGCCAGATTAGGAAGTCAAAGACTTGTAAAGTATATGTTTTATTTAACAGCAATGCATATTAAATGATAAATAATTGGCATTTTCATGGAAAATATTTATTGAATAAGGCAGTGTCTTAAATTGTTTTGGAAAGCATTAAGGCCAACTACAAGAGCGTAAAAACCGTGTTGGGATTCGCGCGTTAACGTGACAAATTTTTTGCAAACTACACATAGGCGGGATCCCCGTTGCCTGGAGTCCGCTTGAAACCCGTTGGACCATTACACAAGGCGGTTCAGACGCAGGATGGACACGGTGGAGCTCGGTTGTATATAGCTGTAGTCGTTCAATAACATAGTTGTTGGACTAAGTTATTCGTTTATTCACATCATTTAGTAATATAACTTACTTAAACTTTGATGAATACAAAATCGCTAATCTCCGACGAATGAGTTTCAAATTGATTTTATAAAATAAATTCTGGCTGTCGTATCATGATTTTTGTTTGTATTAACTTTGTCATGATTTGAAATGCATATCTATTGTAATTTACGTTAATAAATAAAATACACTATTACTAACTTACTAGCTGGCCTATTATTTTTATAGGTTAAATAAAAATAATTTTGACTAAAGGAATACAAAATGTATAACAAATAAACACAAATTGAATGCTACATTTATGATCGAACGTCACACCGCAGTGTTTTGGACCAACTTAAACGCAACTGGACAATATGCACCGCATGTGAATATTCACTACTTGATTAAGGAAAAATCTATTGTGAGACAACAAATTTTAACTATAAGAACCTAAATGTTTCTAATTGTCAGGTGGCCAACCTGCAGACACTTTACATTTTGATGAGAATATCAGCTCTTGCTCCACGGCGAGAAATGACAGAGACGACATTGACTTGGATACATTTAATGCTTCCAATCTGCCTATGTACATAGCAGCATCTGGACCAATCTCCAGCTCAGGGGTCAATAAGAAGGTAACTATCCTGAAAATATCAAATGATTCTGTACTTATTTTAAATAAAATTTGTGCTTTCATTACTATGCCTATTTTTGTTTATTAAAAATCTTGTAAACCGTGTTCTAAATGGATTGCTAAACTATGGTCTACCAAATCAATGCGATGACATTAAAATATGATATTGATATATATTCAAGTGCAGAAGAGATCCACGGTGCGGGGGAGATGGATCTTATTAATCTTTGTGCAAACTCGCAACAATGTCTATTAAGACCAGCATAAATCCCGGTTTTCCCGGTCGGTGGACACCCTGATTTAACCTCAACCGTACTTAAGAAATTTCCGGTTCCCTTCCCTTGATATAACAAACACTCCCACATTTTTGTTTTTGAAAAATCACTGTTTCTTGATGAAAATTAAATGGAAAGTGATGTCAACACTTGCGGTAATATTCGTCTGCTTAGTTTTACACATCTCTGTATGAAAAATTCACCAAACAAATATTTGTTTTAGGCCTACATTATCACATTTAATAAAATTGTTAGTTAATCTATGATGAACTTAACATTCCCAATTTTTAAGACCGAGTCAAACCTTAGTCAATATAAGGCAAAATAGCAAGCCATTGTTCCAATAAGGAATTAGTTTTGCCTAATACTTTGTAACAATGACTGTGATGTAAGATTTATACGTCTAGCATTTTTCATAACTGTTGATTCTTATTCTGTATTACCTCACCATTTGTACTTGGATTATTTTTTCACAGATAAGCTTGGGGCTGATATGAAGGAACATAATAACATCAGTGAGAGGGCATTATACTCTTTGAAATATAATCAATTTATTGCAATAATTTGCTGAAGGTGTGAAATAACACCTCTTGGGAAATGGCCATATAAATTTGTATAGGCCTATAACTAACTAATTTCACTATTTTAAATAATTCTCGCCTCAGTTGACGGCCTATTAATCCTTCAATCGTTAATGTTTTCAGTTTTATTAATATTAAGTGGATTTTTTTTCTTCTGCAGAGCACAAATAATGGGCAGCAAAAAGAACAGAAAGTGGATAACCTCTATGAAAGAAAAAAGAAGTTACCACTTCTTCTCATTTCCTACGTTCTGAAGATCTTGGGCGATGCAGTTCGTTCGTATACTTGTATTGCAAAAATGATTACTGACCACAAGTACTCAACAAAGCAAGCAGAGATTCTGAAAGAGGTAAGAAAGAGGCTTTAGTAAAAAGAAATAAAATAGAAATTCCAACTAAGTTCGGACATTGCCTGTACCTTCTCAAATGCTAATATGAGACACTAGTCAAGTCCTCAGAAAAATTGTTCCATCTTTTCTTATTTTTACCATTTTTTTTTTAATTTTTAAGGAGGGTAAATGTTTTTAAATCCTTACGAGATCCGTAGTATCAGCCATCATTAATTTACCATATCGATAATCTTTTGTCAGGGATATCGCCGGTGAATTGCCGATGGCTCGTGCCATTTGTCTAATTGTTGTCTAGTCTGCAGAATAATTGTTTCACCTTCTCTTAATTTCCCACCAATTTTACTGAGGGGTGAATTTTCTAAATTTTTTATGAGGACCGCTGTATACCATTCAGCAAAGACAGCTCTTAGGCTTTACTAATGATCTACCCATACTTTACAAGGTTCAACATAAACTTTATTCCTAGTTGTAATAATAATTTTTATGTTCATAGGATTGCTCTGCTGTCGCCTTTGTTTTGGACAATCTGATGCCTTATAGAGAACTGAACATACAATTAGACCCTGATAGACCCAACATGGCTCGTAACCTGATAGCTGCTCTGGCATCTTGTAATCATTCACCTGAAGCTCAATGTGCTCTTGTTTCTGAGGTAAAACAAAACAGTACTTGTAATCTGTGTATTCGATTAGTCACAACACAATATTCAACAATTTTCCTATAATTGTCTTTGAATAAGATTTTTGAAGGGAAAAACGACATCGCTTTAAGAGGATACAAAACTAACTTAGCCTACCAAAGAGTCCCAGGATGAACCGGGCCAGGGGGGAATAGTTAAAAGAACACAAAAAAGTGAAACATTTAAACTAACATTTCGCCCCTTTCAGGGCCTTCTGTTACTTTTTGTATTCTTTTAACTTTGTGGGACAATTTCTTCAGGTGAGTTAGTTGTGTATCCTTCCTTTCACCTTAACAAGTCCTTGAATAAAATTTTAATTTCATGAGATGCTTGACACCCTGTAGTAAAGATTAACAAAATCAGTGTGAAACAATTTGTTGGTAAGACTCTTAATTGTAATTATTGTGTTTCACGTTGTTATCTTTTATATATAGACTGAGATCATTGTTCATTTTCTTAAATTCTATAGTTTGAATATAAAGTTTTGATTGTTGAATTTTGTGACAGGTGAAAGCAGCTCTGCAGAGAGCACTAGCCTGGCCGGAGTCCTCCAAGAAGCATGTTCACATCCAAGACCTAGTAGGAGTGGTAACTACTATGATAGACAACTGTCCTCCTGTGCCAATCAGTAGTACACCACTGAGTCCAGCACTCAAACTCAACCAATATAGGTAGGATTTGCACATTTCAATCATGTCAATTTTTATTACCGGTACAAGAGTCTCAATTATCCAGCCTAAATTAGCCATGGTGTAGTCAGATAAGTGGAAAGGTCACGGAACTTAATAAAATACCCATGTGTCAGCTAAACAACCTGTTCCCATGACCCGATCTTAAAGTTCCGATCTTGTTACTAATTGTCCTGTTGCTGTTAACAGTGTTAACAACATGGTGAGGTTCATGATGCGCAAGGGCATTGTAACAGACCTAGCCCGCATACCACACAGTCTAGACTTGTCAAGCCCCAAGATGGCAACAACTATCAATGCTTCTTTGAAGCCCCTGGAGACTCTGAGCCGTATCATGGGTCAACCCTCAGCAGGGCCTACCCCCAGCAAGACTAAACCTAAGGGTTCTACGGCCACTGCTACTACAGATGATCCTGGAAGTACCCTTGCTGGTAAACCTCATACCTACATACAATTTTTTGATGATTAAATTTGTTACTGGTCCCTCATCATTTGAGTTATCCAAGTTCCACTGTGTTGATATAAACTTAAAAGTTTATTTTTATTTTATACGTTAGGTCAAGTACAGTATATGTAACTCCAGTTTATTTTATTGGTATAACTTATATAGTAATACACTTTTAACCACACATTGGGGGTTAAACCAAACTTGGGTTTGCTGAAACCATAATACAAAATTGATATTAATTGGAAAATAAGCTAAGCAACTGAAATTGTCTGCTTTGTCACGGGTAGTTTGCCCAGCGAGGAAGTAAATGATTACATAGATTGATTGCCAATCATTTTGAGAAATAAATTGTTTTATTAATTGGTAGGGTTTAAAATATTATTAATTAAAGCACTTTTAAAAAGTACTCTGAACCTTTTTTGAGATTTCTATGAACCAGTATAGTCTTTGAATTCCAACCATTGATTATCCAAAGAAATATGTTGTCGGTAAAAGTCTTGCTCTCTTTATTTTAATTATTTGGGGTTTTGCTGTAAGCTCAGGTTGATTATACTTTTTTGTTAGTAAAAAAAAACCTTAATGAAATTTTATTTACAATCTACAATTTTATAAACTTTACAGCAAGTGCTCAATCAGATGGCAACCAGCCCACACAGATGGACCAATCAGGGAGTGCCCCGAATGTAGAAGAAGACCACACCGATATGATAGAAGACCATCCTACCCTCAATGAAGTAATGAACAGTGTAGTTGAGAGGGTAAATGAAATGGAAGACCTCATGCAAGATGTCATCGAACGCAGAAGGATGCCCAACCTTAATAATTCTAGGTACACTTCTAGGTAACATTTTGTTACATTATGATTACTAAACGCTTATACTCTAGCAGAGAAAAATGAAAAAGACCTAATTATTTTTCATCCTTTTATAATAATTATTTTTGTTAATCTCCCATTTAAGCTGCAGTTCTTTGATCATCTAGGGTGTCTACCAACCGGGAATTGTACTCAATTTTCGGGATTTAGCTGTGATCGAGGATGAGGATTATAACATTTCTGTGACCACACAACCACAGAGATATTCAGGATTTGGCCACAATCTCGGGTGAAGATAAAAACGCTCCCGTGACTGCGGTAGACGATGATGATGACCATATGACTGCCTGAGATATTCAAAATTATGTTGCAACTGCGGAAGACTTTGATAATGTTTCCATGACGAATGGAGATATCCAGGATTTTGTCACTATCATGGGAGACGATGATTGCGTTTCTGTTACACTATAAAGCTGTACCTAAAGTCATAAACGTCTCATTTCAATAAATCTCTATTCTGAAACTTAGCTCTTGTCTATTAATACTTGATTTTTCCTCTGCTACAACTACAGTGAAAAAAACAAAAGATTAATACAGTAATAAGGCAAATATATTTGGTAATAACACCGACAAAAGGTAACGACAATGTGTGCTTAAATATATGGAGATTGTTCATGCATTTTTCATCCAGAATGTAGTAGACACCCTGTATAATGGATTTTAATTTAATTTGCTTTTTGTTTTAAATTTATTTTAAGAGATAAGATTAACTTGATGTCTTCTATTTGTTTTCACAGGCGCAACAGACGTTCTCGAGGGCAGAGACGAGTAATCAGTGAACTTTCCAGATTTACTCAAATGTTGACCAATGATTTGAGCTTTGCCACAACTGAAGAGGTATATATATACATATATAAACTTGTCTCATGAAGATACTAAGGTGTACTGTCTTGTACTACAGTACTTTGTCATTAAAAATACTGTATCAACTGGTTTGATTTTTACCATGATTTAAATAGTACATTATATGTTCGCTATTACCAAAAATGTTGGATATACTGAGTGCTAGTTTTGCAATGATATAAAAATTAATTAATAAACAGATCAACTAAATAAGAGTATGGTATTAGACTGTTTCAGTACCTCAAAAGCTTGCTCCCAAACACTGCCGAAGGCGCCTGACCTTTTTTTTCGAAGCCGGGATGTTTTAGCGAATTACCCGATACTTTATACTTTTATACTTTCTTATGAAATGGCGACCATACTATGTAGGTATTTTAAGCCAAGTATGAATGGAGATGAGTGTAGGATGAGTGGCGCGATCTTGTAGTCTTGTTAGTGACTAAGGCCGACATTCCTTAGACACAGCTGTTAATTAATAGCCCAAACAGCTAATGGCAACTAAGGGACCTACAGTTTATAGTGGAATCCGAACCACATTTTTTCCTTGGTATATACGAATTGGTCGAATTATCAGGATAGTACTGCGGATAGTAGTAGTACTCTCTAGTGCGGACGTTAATCCACACCAGGGAGTATCCCATCCACAGTGCATGCCTATACATATCCACAATCCGTGACCTCCAAGTAGCTGGATTACAGGACGACGCCACCCGTCCCAGTCTATAGGTTGTATATTAACTATAGGAAAGTAGCTATTACCATAGGTGGTAAAACTTAGGCCCGGGACCGATTTACTTTTTTCATTTTGATGTCCCCAGAGGCTAAAAACCCCATTCGTTACAATTTTTATATATATGTGTCCATGAACGCGATAACTTAAGTAATTTTTTCCGATTTTGATAAAATTTGGTTTAAAGGTGTAAGGCGGGATAAACTTGAATCAGTTTGTGAACCAGCATGATCGGACCATGGGAACGGGGTTTTACAAAGGGTTTTTTGGGGTACTTGGATACTTGGAGAATTCCCACTGGTATCGCATCAGCGACGTGGTCGTCAGGTTTTTATACTTTTCTTGTTATTAATTTATGTATGGATTCATTTCCTCTTCAGGGATGCACATGGCCTGGACATATATTTCATCAACGCTGTAGTAGGCCGCTTGACTTAAATATGTTTTAAGCAGGTTCATGAAATTGTTGGTAGAAGGCTCTTGCATGATATACTGAGGCAATTTATTGTAAATCTTTAAAAATATGGTTTTTCTCATTGTTGACTAAAGTACATTGTTAATTAAATAATCAAATATCACTGAATTCATCAGATGCTGGATTATTGATGTTTAACTGAAATGAGTGATAAAAGAACAGCCATTTGTTTCTATTTATTTTTATTGTTTTTAAGAAAATAAGCTTGATTATTAAAACAGTAGTAAACTAAATATAGTTTGTCCTAGTAGTTGCACTCAATACAGACTTTTCATCCACCTCTAAAAAAACACATCAATATTTACAACTTTGTTGATTCAGACGAGCCAAGACAGCAGCAGTGAAGAGTCGGAATTCAACCCGACAGATGAGGATAGACATATGGAAGACGCTGCCACAGACATTGATGACCATGTAGAAGACGACGACGATGACGATGATGAAGAAGAGGAGGATGATGATGACGATGAAGATGACGATGACGACGATGATGATGAGCAAGAAGGTAGGATTGTTTGATCTTGATTTATCTTTGTATGGCAATTTGTTAGCAAGAGATAAGTCAATAGATTGCTTAAATAATAAGTAGCACAAGCATGCGATCTGTTCAATTTGAACCTTTTTCTGCTACTTTATCATTCTGGCTGAGAGTTCCGACTTCACTGCATTGGTTGAAGATTCTAAAATGGAGATATCTCCAAATCAACATAAAATACCCTCAATATTTTATCCCTCACTGTTTTACAAATGGGTTTACAAAACACTGAAATCCATTCAAATGTTGATAGTCCTGCTTTATTATAGCTTCATGTAATCCTTTTGCTTCATTGTTTTACTGAACACATGACTTGATATAATCTGCTATTATGTAAATTTTGGAAACAACTTTCGTTATATCCTCTTATCGAATTTCCCTATAGGGAAGTAGCTATTACCGTAGGTGCCACGCTAAGACCTGGAGCCGGGACCAATATTTTTTTTCATTTTGATGTCCTTAGAGGCCAAAAACACTATTTGTTCAAATTTTTTATTTATGTGTATATATCTTGATAGATATATAGATAGATTTATATATATATATATATTATATATATGTATATATATATATTATATATGTATATATATATATATATATATATATACGTCCGTGAACGTGATAACTCGAGTAGGGTCAAGTGGGGTAAGTAGAACCAGGAGGCAAGTGTAACCGCAGCTTATCAATTCACTGATAAGAGAAGTTTCAGCTTAATTGCCATCATATTGTGTTCTCTGGACCTCGTTTTAAGGTTCTTAACCTTAAAAAGCTAAATATCATATGAAAAACTGTCCTTTTTTAGTTTTAAAAAAAGCTTACATACATGCAATGTAAATTCAAAGGTCAAACTTTGACATTTTTTTATAGTTACATTGTTAAAGTAAATGTAACAATATTTTGTGCACCAACTATTGTTTGCATGTAGATTCAGAATATCACTTCAAATTTATTACATTTCTTACAACTTAGATTTTCCAACCGTGGTTACACTTGCCCTCTAAAATTTTGCTTGTGGGGCAAGTAAAATATAAGTAACAGTTCTAGAAGCTGAAAAGACAGGTTTTTCATCAATTGACCATAACAATATGAGCTAGATTTATAAAACTATGTATTAAAACTATTTTTTTCAAGTGAGTTAGTGCCTAGAGAGTTATACACACAATGCAAGCACCACTTTTTGTTATAATTTTCTATTTTTACAAGATTTTGCAATTTTACATTTCTTTGCATTTTACGATGTTTTCTGCAAAGGTCTACGGAAAAGTTCGTAACTTAAAAACGGATAGAGATATTTTGATCATTCAAAAAGTCCCAGAATTACAGACAATTTCCCTACTGACCCTCTTGCCCCTCATTCCTCTCAATGCGATATATTTTAATTCAGATGTGGGTGGTTCCACTTGCCCTCATGGTGGGGAAACTGGAACCACAAAGACAATTTTTTTATTTATGTTTATTTTTAAGAAAAAACCATTATTTTTTTAGTTATTCTAAAAGCTAATTAGTTGTAGTTATGGTACAAAAAATCACAATTACAAGTATAATATTAGGCCTACCTGAGCAATGTAAGGTCAAAGTTGAACAATACTAAAACCTGGTTCCACTTACCTTGACCCTAATTTTGTCAGATTTTGATGAAATTTGCTTTGAAGGTGTAAGACAGGATTAACTTAAATGAGTTTGCGAAAAAGCATGATCAGACCATGGGAACAGGGTTTTACGTGGGGTTTTATGCGGTAAAAATTGGTTTTTCTAATTTTTGACCCTCAAAACACAAAATTTCCCAATTTCTCTCTAGACTATTTTAAAGAACCTAAAAAAAAACAAATAATTTAGTACATCAAAGTGTTTTTGTACGGTTATTTGTTATGGAGAAAATTTAAAAAAATGCAAATTCAAAATTCCCATGTCGTTATTCTTATGGAGTATATTGTAAAATATTGTAGTTTGCTTGTTTATGGAAATATTTTGATAAAACAAGGAATTTTTTTCTTTTTTATACTAAGCTACTAATATTTTACAAAAAAAAAACACACTTTTATTAGCCTCCCTTAGCAGCAAACCTACAGGTTAAGTGTAAGAAAGGGCCATGTGGCCCTAACTTTGCCTGTGTAAATAAATGACTTTTCATTTAATTCCATTTCAAACCTAGGTACTTGTTAAACCTAATGTCATTTAAGTAGATTTAATTTTAAATCAATTCATGCAAATGTAAATTCTAGTCTGCAGGTTTGCTGCGGGGGGTATTTAATCTAAATGTGAGACCAAGTTCATCTCTTTTGACTTAACAAATCAACTTGATTTAGTATGATTACTGTCCAGCCTTCTTTATAAATGCAGTAACTTAACCTACTATTGTATTACCAAAATTTCAAGAGTGGGATGGAATTACAAAATCATTCCAGTATGGTCAAACTCAATCAGACATTTTTTCCATATTCACCTTTAGCGTTGCCTGCTTGTTGCATAAAACTGAATTACTAATGCAGTTGTCTTAGTTGACTGTCAATTTGAACAGTTGGATACAAGGTTTTTTTCCTATTCCATATATTTTTATAAAAATATAAAAGCACCCATATTTTTTAAGGGATGGACGGGATTGAATTTTTAGTTCGGGACGGGACAGGACGGGATTTTTATTTCCTTCCCGATTTTCGGGACGGGACGGGATTTTTTTCTGTGCATAAAAAGAAAGTGTGGAGTATTGCAGTTACCAAAAAAGACATATGAAATTAATTTTTACCGTTTGTGGCACTGATCTATAAAAAAACCATAAAATGGGTAACAATTTACAGGTACCTATAGAAACTTGTGACTCGCTGTCGAAATGACTGGCGGTCACGGTGCGATCGTCAAAATGACTGCGGTCAAGGGGTGATCGTCGGTATGACTCGCGGTCACAGCATGATCGTCGGTATGACTCCGCGGTCACGGCGTGATTGTCGGTATGACTCCGTGGTCAAGGTGTCATGGTCGGTATGACTCCGCGGTCACGGGGTGATCGTCGGTATGACTCCGCGGTCACGGGGTGATCGTCGGTATGACTCGTGGTCGCGACATGATCGTCAGTATGACTCGCGATCATGGCACGATCGTCGGCATGACTCCGCGGTCACGGCGCAATCGTCGGTATGACTCCGCGGTTACGGGGTGATCGTCGGTATGACTCGCGGTCACGGCACGATCTTCGGCAAGACTCCGCGGTCACTGCACGATCGTCGGCATGACTCCGCGATCACGGCGCGATCTTCGGCAAGACGCCACGGTCATGGTAACATGCAGTACTTAATGGTAACAGCGGTCACTGCACGATCGTCGGCATGACTCCGCGGTTACGGCGCGATCGTTGGTATGACTCGCGGTCGCGACATGATCGTCAGTATGACTCGCAATCATGGCACGATCGTCAGCATGACTCCGCGGTCACGGCGCAATCGTCGGTATGACTCCGCGGTTACGGGGTGATCGTTGGAATGACTCGCGGTCACGGCACAATCGTCGGCATGACTCCGTGGTCACGGCGCGATCATCGGTAGGATTCCGCAGTCACGTCGTGATCGTCGGTATGACTCCGTGGTCACGGGGTGATCGTCGGTATGACTCGCGATCACGGCACGATCTTCGGCAAGACTCCGCGGTCACTGCACGATCGTCGGCATGACTCCGCGATCACGGCGCGATCTTTGGCAAGTCTTCGCGGTCATGGTAACATGCAGTACTTAATGGTAACAGCGGTCACTGTACGATCGTCAGCATGATTCGCGGTCACGGCGCGATCGTCGGTATGACTTGCGGTTACGACGTGATCGTCGGTATGACTTGTGGTCACGGCGCGATCGTTGTTATGACTCGTGGTCATGGTGCGATTGTCTGTATGACTCCGCGGTCACGGAACACGGCGCAATCGTGGAAATGACTTTGTCTCCTGCGTTCGGGGACCTATCGCTCACAATAGCGGCATTGGCACTCGCGAAGCGGCAAAATCGCCAACGATCGGACCAAATCCCGTCCCGAAAAATTCCCAAATCAAATGTAATCCCGTCCCGATAATCGGGAATATTTTTTTCCCGAAAAATTCCCCAAATTTCGGGACCCGTCCATCCCTAATATTTTTTCTGAAAATATATTTCTAATGATTAAAGTTAAACACTAATATTTATGAAATATTCTAACTGAATGGATTATTATTGAATTACACCATAATAATCTTGTCACAACAAAACAGATTTTGTAACTATTGATCTTAAAATGTTTGTCGACTGGCGTTGATTGTTGTGGTTTTTCTTGACATACTGTTTTTGTTGGTGACTCACTTGGGTTTTATTTAACATGGGCTGTTGGATTTGCGGTTATTACCAATTATAATCTATCAAGTAGTTACAAAAATCATATACGAGGGCTATCCAGAAAGTAGATTATGTTTTTGTCTGTATCAGCTAGGGGCTGGGCTAGCGCGATCATCTTGGTGGTAGTTTGTTATGCAGCTCAGTCGGCATCTAGCCGTGCTAGTAAGAGGTTTCTGCTGTACTCCGTTGTGTTACTGTGACAGTTTAAAATTTCTGTATTAATTGAAAATGCCGCGAACTGTGAAGTGCGTGCAGTTATAAGGTTTTTGACTGCAAAAAACTGTAAACCGGTAGAAATCTATCGGCAACTTTGTGAAGTTTATGGGGAAAACATTATTAAGGTGGAGTTCGTCAGTGGGTCATCAAATTTAAAAATGGCCGAACTGACGTTCACGACGAAGAACGAAGTGGAAGACCCAGCATTGTGACTGCCGAACTTGTTGAAAAAGTCGATGCCGATGTCTGTAAAACTCGAAAGCCATTATACAATAACAGAACACTCTATGGGTTTTCCACAAATTTCGTGAAGTTTGTTGCACAAGATCATAACCGAAATGAAAAGCTTGGTTACCAAACTGTAACCAAACCAAAGAGTCCATTCATTTTTTTGCACGCACTTCACAGTTCGCGGCATTTTCAATTAACACAGAAATTTTAAACTGTCACAGTAACTCAACGGGGTACAGCAGAAACCTCTTACTAGCACGGCTAGATGCCGACTGAGCTGCATAACGAACTAACACCAAGATGGTCGCACTACTAAAAACTACCATATTAAAGATAAATGAAGGTCTAAAAACACAAAAAAAAAATCTAATCGAGGTGTGCTAGCCTGACATTTTAGTCAAGCCAAACTCGAGGTAATAGTGATCATCGCCAGCGGTAGTGGAGATATCACATTCATCTTTCCCCCATCATAGTGTTATTTGACTGTCGTTATACATACCACTATGTCAATGTTGATAGGCAGTAGAATTTTTCAGTGCAATTTAAAAATTATTTTCTGGTGATGCCAAATTTATTGATGTGTGGGTACCAGGTAATTTCGGGTTCCTGACTTATGCCAGTTCTCAAGTATTAGCCTCTTTAATCATTGCCTAAACTGTCTGTTATCTGATGTAAATACAAATCCCAGGGTGTTCACCCAACTTAAATTAGAAGAATTGTGGGGCTATACAGAATATGTCATACCGGTAGGAATTATACGGGAATTTTGAAGAGTCAATTTTGTGGACACTCTAAAACCACCTGCTCTAACTCTAACAAGATATTACTACTGATTCTCTATCACTGATGACTAAGACTCAACAACTGCCAACAGGCTGTCAAAGTTTTTAGCTTTAAAAGATTTGTATTCTAAATTAAAATAGTTTTAGAGTTTACAAGTTAAAACATTCCAGGAGAGGAAAACGAAGGAGAGGAAAGCAACGGTGGCTATGATGAAGATGGTTTGGAGTTGTTTGAGCCTGATGAAGGTTTATTCCGTATCCCTGGGCTTGACAGAGATTCTGACGATTTTCTCATGATTGAGTATTCTGAACCCGATCCCTCAGCTTCTGTAGGTCAACTGTGGTCGCGTGACAACTTCTTACCCTTCACTCTTTTTGAAGAAGGCAACAATGCATCAGACAATACAGGTACATGTTGACTGGTATATGAGCTGGTAAGATTTTGCTGGCCTGAAGTGGCATGTCTGCATTGTGTGATCCCCATAGTCAGATGTTTCTAGCCCTTAGTAGTGGTGGATACTATACTACAGTAGTTTGTACCCTAAGGTTGTTGGTTTTTTTCTTTTTTTTCACCTTAAGTAGTTGGTCAAGGATAAAAATTGAATAAAGATTTGCTTTTGTATTAGTTTTGAAAAGAACTTTTATTTTTGCAATAATTCCTTGGCATGCATTTAAACAAAATCGGTTCCATCCTCTTGCTTGTCACTTATTTTATTCAACCTTGTTGACACATTCTTTGTTATTGCTGAGTCACTGTTTACCATTTGATTTTAAAATGGGAATGAGTTTTTAATATTAAAAGTCTTTGTTTTTATTAATGGTGTTGGTTCTTGCTTTTTAGTGTATCCATTAAGTTTTATTTTTTTCATTCTATTTCTATTAATATTAGCCAAATGGTGTTGGTTTTTTGCAGTAGTAAATTAAATGGTTTTAACACATAACAAAGTATTATTAAACCAGTACTTTTATTTCTAATAAAAGTTTTTTTTTGTTTTTGCATGAACCCTAATACATCTTTAGATGATGATTTTCTTTTTTAGCAAATAAGCCATTACTGTAGTTGTCACAATACTCTTTTATTTTAAGGAACTTGAGGCAAACAATCCCTCACTGTTCAATTTGTTAGGCTGGGCGCACACTGATCCAGCATTTCACCTGAAGCAAAATGTTGCACAACGATTTGCTTGAAGCGTTTTGTTAATTTGCTTCGCCAGTGTGCGGGAGGTTCAAACATGATTCAGCATTTGGTTTCAATCAAAATTAAGAAAAATAAATATTAGAATTACATATTATGTCTACTGGTCTTATACTACAGTATTGTTTTAACACATATGTGACGAGGAAGTCAACTATTGCTGTATGTCAGTTTTTGAAAAATGCTGGACTAAATAGAAAGACAACATTGGGTTCACCCAATCAATCTGATGATAGACAGCTTTCCCCTCAGAAATTAAATCAGATCCAGGGAAATTTTACAATCATTGTCGAATAAATGCTATAGTATTTTATAGGAAGGGTTTTAAATACCGTAAGAAATTATTATTAGATAGCGCCGTGATGGTTATATAAATAGGTAATGATTAATGAACTAAGTAACCTTGGTAATTTCTTAATTATTTTACTACTTTGCATGGGCTGTATGACTACCAAAATGGTAGCAAGAAAAATCAAACAACAGTATTGTTCAATAGAAATTCAAAATTATAAATGTATAATTGTTAAAGTTTCAACGCAATTTCAAAATTCATTTTTCAAAGAAGAGTTAATTTTAAACAACAAACGGTCAATTGAATTTTGAAAGCCATTAAGCTTTACTAGCTAGAAGGGATTTGGCGCATGCGCAGAACGTTTTGCTCCTTGAAACATCAAACATCGTGCTGTATGGGATCCATTCGTCGAGCAACTGCTCAAATGTTTCAAGGCGTTGCAAGGCGCCTTGCAACGTTTGCTTGTTGAGTGTGTGGCCTTTCATTGAAATTTAAATAGTTAAAACTATCGACGAGGCCGATTATTATCACGGCGGACTACCGGCGCACTTGATCCGACCTTTGCATTGACTGACCTTGGCACTTTGAACTGTCTGCAGTCGAATTTACTACTTTCCACTCCACTCATTACCCTACAATCCACTCATCACTCTCCACTCTCCTCACTACCCCCATTACACACGTAAACTCACACACACAGTCTCTCTCTCTCTCCCTCTCCCGGCCACCACGAAAATCTATTAAAGCGCTATATTTTACCAGCATTGTGTTCATGGAAATAACATTACTAATTTCAGTAATAATAATGACCTATTGTCTATTTAATTTCCATTCCACTAAATCAATAATTTTTCTTTTTTTCTACATAACAGCAACTTAGCAGACGCACAGGTAGCACTGCCTATGTCTGCTAGTTCCTTTGTTTTGTTTTTAAATTTTTAAGCTATTAAAACTAAAACTCTTATGTATTTTTAGTGACTAAAGTTTCTGTCTTATATATACAGAATTTACTTTATTATAGCTTCATGTAATCCTGTTGCTTCATTGTTATACTGAACACATGACTTTTTTGTATATATATATATATATATTATTTTATGAGTACAGTTTGTAGCCAATGTTTTTTGGAATAAATTATATATTCATTCATTTATTCATTCATTCATTCTTATTGTAGGTGATGATTTAATTTTATTACCTCATGTAGCAGTTGCTGACCTCATTTTGAGAGGTCTAGTCTTGTTGTACTCAAGTTTTTTAATATTGATGTTGATAGCTTTAATTTATATTTAGTTGTTCATGTTTATATTTCCTGTTGTGTAAAATGAAGGCAGTAAAGTACAGAAAGTGAACACACTAAAAGAATAATTCAGTTAAAAACAAAAGTTTAATAACATTTCATTAAAAATATTGTGAACATTAAACATGGCCTTGGCTCTAATTTTGTAATACTCTGCGAATGTTATGACTAATACACAACTTGGGCTTGTCAATGTTTAGGCTCTCGCAGTGTGATCCCTGCACAGCATCCTCTGATGGCTCGTAATGTCGACAACCAACCCACCACCTCATCTACTAACCGCACCCAGCGTATGAGTCGCACTCGTCGCTACCAATATGTCCAGATGAACCGAGCTGCTGTTGCTGCACCTGTATTTTTACAGAGGTATACTTAAATATACTTAAATTTATAGTAATCAACTTCTAGTTAACTGAATAGATTAATTATTTTAAAAATCTATAGGCCATTTATACTGTGAAGTTGTGACATTGCTATTTAGAGCCTCTAAAATGACACATTCAGGTGTGTGAGTTGAGTTACCCAATAAAAAATTAGGGCTATATAAAAATTAAATCACTATGTATGTAGCTCAATTTTAAGCATCAAATCATAAGGGATAACTGCTATCCTATGTTTATATGACCTTTCAACCCATCAGAGTTTTTCTTGTTTGCTAATTAACTCTCTAAATTTAACTGTTCCATTTATTAATATTATTATTTGTGTTTCAACACTATTGGCATTTTTTTTATATTTTGTAAAGGAACTTCAACCCTGGTCTTGTTACTACTAACAATCAACATTTTGTAGGAGGTAGCATCATGATAGCCCAATGACAAACAAAAACGTAGTTGTTTTACATTTTAGGATGAATGAAAAGAAAATACTTGTTTACTTGATGTGAATACAACATTCTACCACAGACAGTCAATCACACACTTAACATTCAATCTATCTTAGCAAAAATCTTCATTAATTTTGTAAATTCTAGCACACAAGGAGATCTTTATTATTTTCTTTGTTTAGTTAATTTTTGGTCATGTTATTTAAAAGAATATTGTAGACATTTTCCATCTCGATTAATAAAAAAAAAACAAAGTTTTCTTGATGTTTTGGGATCTGGAATCAAGTGAAAGCAAACAACTCTGGTTTGACGGACCAAGCACAAAAAGCCCATCTTTGGCTGACGTGCCCCAGGACAAGGTTGGCCCCTAAAGAGTCAATCAAGTGAAACCACTATTTTGTACAGAGGTGATAGATGTAATCTTCAATTTTTATTCAATTACTATACAGTTATCTGGGTTTTTAAATGTGATTTTCCAGCTTTCCTGAGCTTGTGAACTAATTTTATGTTTTGAGCACTTTCCCACTTGCTCAGAGGTGGACGGCATCATCGTGGACACTTTTTTTTATTGTTAGTTTGGCAATAAATCTGTCAATTAAATCTGTTAATCTGTTAAAATGATAAGGTTGTATCTAACATAGGAGGATCGGTCTAGCTGTTGTCCTGTTGTATCCTCTGGTGAGGTAGCCTGTCTCAACTAAACATGAAACGACCTCTAAGATTACTTAACTTGCAAATTTGATTGTAGGTTGATGGGTCAAGGAAACACAGATCCCCCAAATTATCTTAACATCCCAGGCCATCCTGGCAACACCTACGGAGAGATGATAGCTTCCACCTTTCCCAACACTCGACTAATCGTAATGGACAATGGCCTAGGGATCCTTACCAATGCCGAGGAGGAGCAAATCAATTTTGTGGTAAGTTGTACTATGATTAGATATGCCTTTCCCAATTATTATCCAAACTCCAACCATCCAGATCGCTAATTGTCCGGACCTCAAGGAGATTAAAAATTACGATTTTCGACGACGCTACTCCAGCTGAACTTCTACGTCTGATGATAATCTTTACATACCATGGGAGATGCCCTGGATTTTGCCACAATCGCGGATGACGATTATAATGTTTCAGTGACCGCAAGAAACGACGATAATGTCTACAAATCGTTGGAGACGTTCAGGAATTAAAATTTTTAGAAAACAGGCCTACATATTCATTTGAGGTTATAACTTAGTTTAAGGTGCAGGCTTGTTGAAAAAATATTTAACAAAGGCTTAGATTGGTGACTGTGACGGTTTTTTTTTTTTAGGCCTAGTGCCTGTATCAATATTGTGGGTTTTTAGGTATTTCATTAGGTTAAAAGTCCTTTTGGATCCCCACCTCTAGAGATTATTAAATTTATGTTGCATTTCGCAAATCTGTTGTTTGCTTCATCAATTTTAAAATACTTTCAAACTTGGGATACAATTATCAAAAATTGATCACAAATTAGTCTATAAAACAACATCTTAAGGTAGCCCTACTTCAACATCCCTGTAATAAACTAATCCACTTTCACTTATTATTAACAGACAAAACAAGTTTAATTATTCACATCAACATACAAATTATTTAAGAAATACGACGCAAACAAAGGCCAATTCTTCAATTTCAAAGAAACTTGGCAGACGAACGACGCTAAACTACATTTTAAACTTTCTCACCTCGCTAGAGAAAGAGAAGACAAAACAAAATTAAGTACAAACCACTGAACAAAGCATACAAACAATATCAAATAAAAGCCCTTTTAGGTTTGATGAATGACGGCTTGGCTGTTTGTCATGCAAGTCTTAAATTGGTTATAGTTTGAGTGAAACTAAACATGTACAGGGGCGGGGGAGTTAATATAATGTTAACGTGGAAAACATTCATGCAGGTACCTGGATAAACTTTGAAAAATCAGGAATTTCACTAAAAAAAAACAGTATACGCCCCCCGCGGTTGTATTAGCATTTGTGGTACATGTTGTAGTTCAGAATATAATTTACTGTTTCATCAGGGATCACCATCTGTTAGTTACATTGCTGCCCCTGTGTAAACAGTAAACGGTGTTATTCAAAATTATAAATGACAGCATAAATCTTCAATTTCAAAACTTTTGAATCTCAAAACTAGTAGATTGAATCTCAAAACCGAATTCTTAGCAAAGTTTTGGTGGTTTTTATATTAGAGATTCAGTTTTGAAAGATCACTAGTATCAATCGACTCGTATTTTAAATCCATCATGCAGCGAGTGAGTATTATAACGTGGTACCGGTATCGTTCAAAGGGCTGAATCATATTATGCAATGTTTTCATTTGTACTGTTATGCCAAAATGCACTTTACTAAACTAGGTTTTAAACTACTTTTTGTTTATTTTAAATAATTTTTTTCTTTTGTACAGTGTTTGTACTTGTATTTGTTCCTTTCACTACTAAAATGTCAAGTATCACCATTACAAAGTTCACTATATACATGCCATACAGCGAAAACTGACACTTTACCAATATTTGTGATTCTAATTAATTTTACTCTTTACATTTCAGGATCAGTCTGGATATCTGTTGGGGCCCAGCTTGGCCGCAACCCTCAACAATGTGCCCACATCAATGTATTGGTGGAATGAGGAACTTAAATTGCTCGACCGGGACTCCATTTGTGACTGTGCTATCTGTAAGTCAATTTCATTACTATATCAAACTTATCTGTTATACTTTCAATTCACGTAAATTTTGTTTTATAATCCTGTTTATTCTTGAGTAGCATGCCAGTAGATGCAAGTTGCCGACAGTTCATTTTTTTTTTAACTTTAGTATGCGTAGTTTTGTTGGTGCTCTTTCTTGTTCTCTTATAATACTCTAGTTATCTTGTACAAATTAGTAAGTCTTTTATGTTCATAGGTGTTGGATTTGAACTGGTTCCAATATTTGAACGCTACCGCAATGAAGAGTTTGCTGAAAGAAAAGAAAAGCGCAAAAAGATGGATGAAGAAGAAGACAACAATAAAAAAACTAATACCACTAACGGGGAAACAGAGAAGAAGAAACTGTATGATGGTAATAAATAAGTACATTTCTTTATTTAACACGTTCGCTACCGAGCGTCGCATATATGCGACGCCGCGATCATTGCCATGGACCGAGGTATACAATTCAATCTTAGACATAGACTGGCTGTCACTTGGTTAACAACAATATACACAGACCATTATTATAAATTTATTATTATTATTATTAAATTATTATAATTTTCTTGGAATAGCCCAATCACCGCATATAATACGACAGTTAATTTTTGTTTTTAGATCAAAGTAAGTAAAAAAACCCATATTTTTAAAGAACAGTTAATAATTGAACAAATATAAAAGCTACATAGGATAATGCATCATACATACATACAGTGATGCAGCAAAGTAAAGAACAGTTATTACAACTAACATATGACGTCACCAATCATCATATCCACAGACCAAGCGATGCAGTTGTGCGACAGACATCCCTGTAGACCACTGCAGAGAATTTGAATGTGAGCGAAGGCAGTCTATAGGTAAAAACCAGCCGTGTATACGTTTTGCACAGCTGTTGGAACATCTTGAGCTGGTCCATATAAATGAACAATTTTGTACTATTGCGGTAGCAAACGTGTTAAGGAGATATATTTTTATTAGGGATGGGTCAATTCCAAAAGTCGATTCTCAATTCCACTGATTCTTGGCTTTGGAATCGGAATCGAAAATCAGCCGCTCAAAGTCAATTAGGCAGACATAGACATAAATTACAATTAATTCATACAAAAGAACAGTTTTTCTTCATATCGATGTATTTTTTTTTTTTTTTTTTTTTTTTTTTTAATAGTTAGCCCATAGCCTAAAATAAACTCAACATTTTAGTTGATCAAACTTCTATTTAGTACAGCTCTGAATGAGGTCAGGGAAAGCACGCTTGGAACAATGATAATGGGCAGAAACCTAATCACCTATAGAACCTGTACACCTATAGAATGCTGTTAGTTCATCAAGCAACTCAGGTTTGACCGGTTCTGACACACCTAGATGGGAGCACAAAAAGCCCATCTGCGACTGACGTGCACCGGGACAAGTTCCACCCCAACTCAATCAATCAATCAAGTGTTGATATCAGCAGTGCTCAATTTTTGCCTCGGAAAGATAAAAATGTTGGCATGAATAGGAGCTAATCACATTAAATAGGTTACAGTTCTGGCAACTAATTTTTTACAAATCAAGCACTGGATAACAGTATTTTTATATAGCCTCTAAGCTGTGTGTGTGTTGTTGCAGGTATAATGGATATGTTTGACTCACCGCGTCCACCAGCCAGATTGCCTACGCGGCGCATTGCTATGTTGGCTGCAGCACAGGAGGTAGCACATGCTACGGAGAGCCTGGCTGGCTCCATTGTAGAGTCAGTGTTACATCCACGTGTTGTCCAATCTCAAAACACTCGACCTCTCCCAATACAACCTCCAGCCGGACCCTCGTCTCCACAAGAGCCTCCTGATACTCAGCACAATACAGAAGATCAGGAACACAACGACCTACTTGTTGTGCCATTCGTCCACCGCCGACCTCAGGCATCCAGCATTCCTGAAGCAGTTGAGCTCATCCCTGTAACTCCTCCCGCGTCAGAAATATCAGATCCAATGGGATTGATTCCGGGCAGTGTTCCATACCCCCCACCTAGTGACCCCGAAGATGGATTCTTCCGTGTCAACCCAACTTTTATCAACCAAACCGAGAACAACAGCGGGTCTGTAAATAGTGAGATTACGGATGAATCACAGTCACAAGTGAGTGTGGAAAACAGTGATCCCAGGAATTACGATGGAAGTGGACAGGAACAGAGACCTCTTGGGTCGTTGCCAGTTGATATGAGCCCATCAAACAACCCCCAGTCCCTCTTTGTTGACTCACCAACAGGTTTGCCTTCCTCCACTCAATCGTCCAACAACAGTGCTCAGTCGTTGTTTGTACTAACACAACCCGATGAGACCCAAGAGGCTCGATTGCCTTCATCTCAATCAAGTTCAGACCCCTTTTTCCCACTGACACAGCGTCTCCCGCTAGAACAAGAGATGCAAATTTCATCAAATCAACCGTCACAGAGCAGTGAAGGGTCTTTGTTTGTTTTATCTCAACCGAGTACAACTGGTGAAATACAAATTCCGTTCAGTCAGACGTCACAAGGCATTGGAGATTCTGAAACCTCGTCAGCCATCTCAAACCAAAATGACGAAGGGCTCGAAATTGAAACTAGTCATTGTTCCCAAAATTCTCAGTTATCTGTTGACATGTTTGCCCCTAATCAGCCCTCGCAAGATGGTTCACAATCTTCTGTAGATATAAGTGACCTGCCAACCCAACCGAATTTGGCGCTGCTGAACCGTCCACCCCCCAATAATACTCTAGAAATCCAAAATCGCCAACCACCGTCTATTCACAGTTCACAATCATCGGTAGACTTCCATGATTTACCAACTCAGCCAAACATGGCTCTGATCAACCGTACAGCTCAAAACTTGGATATGGCTAACATTCAAGCGATCCAGAATAGTTCTCAAGATTTAGCTGCACAACCCAACAGATTTCTAGAAATCCGCATGTCAGCTGATTGGTTGCAGACAGTCGAAGGGCAAGGTATTCCGATCGAAGAGGATAGGCTAGACAACCAAGCCTTTAGCCAACAACTTGCGCAATCAGTCCAACCTGAAATTCAGCGTCAACTATCAGTTCAGAATGTGTAAGTTTAATTTAGTTTTTATTAGGGATGGACGAGATTGGATTTTTAGTTCGAGACGAGACGAGACGAGATTTTTTATTTCTCATAAAATTTCGAGACAAGATCGAGACGGGATTTCCCTTCTCATACACAACGGGAAATGCACGTTAAGAATTTTTACCTGATTTTGTAACATTGTTAGATGACTGTTTAAATACAAAAATAATGATAATAGGCAAGAATATTTACAATCTTTTATTAAAAAACATCAGCATAACATTTTTTTATTAATCACGCCTAACTTAAATGCCTACGATTAGGAAACATGGTGATATCAGTTAGGATAGAGTTCAACTTATCCTAAAGAAAATAAAACATAAAATAAAATATTAATTTTTATAAAATAGTTACTTGTTTTGACTTTTTTATAGTAATAAAACATTCCTCACACTGTTAACACTTAACAAAACTTCTCAAATGTTATTAAAATAATTAAAGTAATATTTACATTTGAAGAATTAATTAAATAAGAACCCCTTCGTAAAGGAAACGCAACTACAACACGCTCCTGTATTGCGGGTATTGCATTGACTTTCTGCAGGCGTTTTGAAATTTTTTTTAATTTTTTTTTATTCTCGTCTCGATAAAAATCTCGGCCAAAAAGAAATCTCGTCTCGTGTAACGAGATTAAAAATTTCCCAAAAATTTCCCGAAATTTCGAGACTTGACCATCCCTAGTTTTTATATATTTTTTTGAATGCTACAAATCTAATCTGGATTTGAAATTTTCCTTGTACCTACACTATTTGTTTTAAGATAATGAAAAACATATTCCAATTTTCTTTTTCCCCTTTTGGTCCATGATCTTTTTGAAATTTCAAACAACAACTGATTTTTTAAACTTCAACATCAAGATTGTTGTAACAGGTTAAACAATTTCAAAAGACTAAATCTTCTAGTGTCTTAGATGTATCTCTACTTCTAAAACTTTATCTTTAGTTGAAACAATATTCAAAGCATTATACTAATTCAATACTATCAGTCTAAATATTGAATGTATTCAAAATCATTAATATTCAACTCTGTGAAACAAACACTCACCTAAGATATAAAAGCGTTAGAGTGGGTCCGCGGAATTGGCTAACTCTGGAACTCGCTAACCCCATGGTAAATGCCCTATCTTCAGATTTGGTCGATGAGAGGAACTCGTTAACTTGTTTGGTTACGGAATTGGCTAACTCCGGAACCCACTAACCCGCTCTAGAGCCGGGTTAGCGAATTCCGTCCTCGTACGGAAGTCGCTAACTCGGTCCCACGGCGGAACTCGCTAACTCCCAATCAGAAGCCTCGCGGGGCCGTCCAATGGGAGCCAGGCACGAATATTTTTGGCTAGTGTTGCCGAAAGTGTAGTACCTATATCGTATCGGTACCATAATGTCATATCCTACGATTAATTAGGAGTAAGAGCAACGTAGTCGATAAAATAAATATATTTAGAAGTATGTTATTTGTTCTTTACTGTTTTGTTATTTAACTAGGGAACGTGTTATTAGTTGTGATTAGAACGTTTTATTTGGTTAAACGAGGTTTTAAATTACTGAAAACAAGAAACAATTGTAAACTAAACACGACCTCTAAAGACAGTGCACCGGACAGAACTAATAATAAAACTATCTTCATCTGATCCATAAGGATGAGAAATGTACTAATATAAGGGAGTATGTTTTATATGTGGGTTTCTTACTTAAATAGTAGCTTATTGGTATGCAAAAAGATAAAAATGCACATTTAATTTGGATCTATTACATGTTATGAAATATCTATTTTCATAGTCCGCCATTTGTTTCTTTTATTCAAACAAATATAGCATTTTGTGAACTTCTGCAAATAAAAATTATTGAGTTCGTATTTTATATACTGGGCTTGTAACCTTGAATCATAAATCATAATAAAATTTACACGTTAAACGTCATTACAGAATTACATTGTAGTGGTAATGTATTTTAAATGGAGCTATTGAATTTAAATAAATATTTATCAATACATTATAAAGTGGTAGGCCTAATGTATTCATGGATTGCATTAAAAATTAGTCTATGCATAAATACAACTTGTAAATTTCTTTTATCGTAGGCTATTAGTGTAGAACCCGGGTCATCCTCTTAATTTTGTTGAATTAATATTAATTTTACGTCTTTCAGTAGGCCTACTTTTTAAAATTCTGGAGTTTTTCTCCAGGCTGGTTCTAAATGGACCTAGGCATTCTTGTTTGTAACAATTCTTATGAATGGTGGCCATAGCTAAAATTACTTGATCTTATCCAAAAACAAAGCTATTGTCTATTGTGTAGCTCAGTACCGGGAACGGTGAACCGAGCAATGGCTTGGTATAGTTTATATCGATTATGAAAGCAATATAAAGGAAACCCAACACTCAAATCAGGAAAATCCGTCAATTTGTTTATTAAGAATCGTGAATTAAAATAACCCTGTCACGTTTTATTGTATGAATATTATACAGGGTGACACAAAGGAACCGGACGTTTTTTAAACAAGTAGTACACAGTAGTTAAATGGAATAAAATGGTTTTAATAATGTATATAGTGAGATAAACATTTGCCATTTGTTACAAAAAGTAATTTTTTTTAATGACGTCATGCATATGGGGGCCATGTACTTATCTACAAATGTTCATTCTGGTCTGAAAATCATCTGAAACTCGGGTCAGGAGGTCTTGTTCAATGCCATTGATATCTTCTGTAATTGCAAACTTAAAATCCTCTAGAGTACGTGATTGTAAGCATAAACACGCTCCTTAAGAAACCCCAAAAGTAAGTAATCACTAGTGGACAAGTCAGGTAATCTTGGCGGCCACGGTATGTCACTAAAGCGAGAAATCACCTTTTATGAAACGTTCATTCAATACTGCGATGTTTTCGGGTGTTCTCGAAGTTCTAACAAGGCCTAGTGGTTTCTTCTTTGTTATATTACCAGTTGTTCGGAACCCTGAAACCCATCTTAATAGCGTATTTCGGCTTGGAACCGTTCTCCATGGCGTTCAATATTAAAATATAGACTCAAATCCCACTAGATTTGACGACGGATTCACAATTTCGGACCAAAGTATCGTGTGCGAAAACGCGATGGCCTAGGGTCCACTGAGTCATTTAAACAAAAATGGCAAGCCTCACTGAAGGTTATGACATAACTTCAATCTTCCTACCACGTTCGACAACAATAGAACAGCTGTTTAAAAAACGTCCGGTTCCTTTGTGTCACCCTTTATCTTCTCCTATTATTTACTAGTGGTGCTGGTGTACAATCTAAAAACTAAAAACCGTTTTAAAACATGTAACATTATTGCTAAAAAGTCAACACATTTTAGAATTAGGCAACTATTTACTAGTAGGCCTACAATGCTTTGGTTTAAACTATTAGGCCTGGATAAAAACTTAGTCAATGTCATCAAATCTACACGTAAATTGGACGGTTCAACGACGAACATTTAATTTCAAATTATGAATTAGTTATGAAAGTTACGATGGTTGATGACTGTATTAATTAATGGTTTTAGTTTATTACGACATTACGATTAAATTTGTTATCTGTGTTTGAGAACTTAGCTTAATTTTGTATAGGTTTAATTATTTAGTACCAATTAAACTGAATTTTCAATATTTTTCATATTCTATTATTTTATTTTATACTGATGGCATTTATATTTAAGATTGAAATCATAAACATTTAACTGGCCATTGTACAGTTAAATAAAAAAACACTTTTTCATGATTTTTTAATTGTCTTTGAATTACTTTGGGCTAGTTATCTGTTAAAAGTGGAATTGATAACAAAAAACAATAAAATTTACTGTATCTTCATTGACACTGACATTTTGAAATACGGCAGTGTACGATTATTTTGTCGTACAAGGTTGGCAACGCTCCGTGCAGTGGGCGCGTCCGGGTTAGCTACTTCCAGAGTTAGCGAATTCCGCCGCGAGACAAAATTGATTTAGCTGGTTCCGGAGTTAGCCAATTCCTGACAGAGACGGTTAGCCAGTTCCGACACACGACCGAGTTAGCGAGTTCCTGAGTTAGCAAATTCCTACGTCTCGTTAGAGTTGAACAATGAATCAACAGCAATAGGTGTTATTTGTATGTAAATACAAAAATATCTTTTTTGAACTCTGAAAGTAAGTTCTATAGAATTTGCTAAATCCATCAGAAAATGTTTCAACATTCACATGCAATTAACTATGAAATCAATTTTCAGGGAAAGATCAGAGTACATTCCCCCACCACCCCCTCCGTTGCCTGTCAGTGCAGCTCTCACTGTTGAGCCTTCTCAATCATCCATGTCGTCCAACAGCTCAATAATCCCTGAAGAATTACCCGAAGGTGTGGATCCATCATTCCTAGCAGCTCTTCCTGAAGACATGAGAGCTGAAGTTATTTCTGAACATCTGAGGTGAGTTGCCTTCTTATTTAGTTTTAAAATATAATTTTTTGTTCAAGTACAAGGTCATGTACTTTAAATTTAATATTGCTCTAGTTTAACCATCACTCATCTCAGTCAGATTTGGCGAGCTCTGCTCAATACAACACTTTTGTCACAGGCTACAGCGACTGCAGAATCGAGTGCAGCAGATCTCCTCTCAGAGCAGTGCAGGTTCTGAGGATACGTTGAGCACACCTGGACCAAGTGGCATGGAAGTGAACGCAGACTTTCTGGCGGCTTTGCCCCCTGCTATACAGGAGGAGGTACTAGCTCAACAGAGACTTGAACAACAACGCCAAGCTGCCGCTGCAGCCAACCCTAATGAACCAGTGGATGCTGCTGCATTCTTCCAAGATCTACCTCATGCCCTCCGACAATCTGTGAGTGAAATAGGGTCATTGATACATTGCATCTGCAACATAACTGTACCGGTCCCAAATAAAGTCCAAGGGTCTACAGGAGGTATCGCTGCCACCACCACTCTAAAAAGGGAGAGTAGGCTTAATGAGAACGGGAAGATAAAAATAAAATAATAGCTTTGATGCTGAAAACTTGAGTTTAAGGTTTATTCGAATATTAGGTAACAATGTGTGTGTATATATTGACTTTCAGAAATGATGTAAACAGTATGATGGGTGAAGCGCAACTAATACCTAGATGATAATGTCGGCGTGCTCCCTCCCTATTCCAATACGGGATCAAGTAACTTCAACGCGTCTCTTTCTTCTTACACTTGCATTTAAATCACGTGATTTGTCATTAGATAAGCCTAAAAGGCTGAAAAGATCTAAGGAAACTGTTACAACTTAACTTAAATACAAAAAGAAAAAAAAAAACAACTTAATATTACACTTAATTTTAGGGAGGGTGACACGCTACATAACTAACTAGGAAAGTGTCGATTCTCGATACCACCAATACTTGGCCGTTGGTATCGGTATCGAGAATAATCGATCGTCAAAAGTCGATTCCGATACTGGTACCCATCAAGCCCGCATGATCGAAAAATTATCACCGCTATTGCCACGAACGTGCAAGACGACGACGTTTCTTTGACTGCGAGGGACATTGATGACGTTTATATGGCCTTGGGAGATTTTAATGATTCTGTCGCGATCGGGGAGGACAACGATGACGTTTCTGTGACCGCAGGAGTTGATGATGCCTAAAATAATAGGCCTTTTATTTAGTTTCCGTGAAATGTTTTTTGTAAATGTACTAAAGAGTTTTTTCTCAAAACTTATGGTTTGAGTGACAATGTGGTAAAATCGACCCCTGGATATTATTGCTCTGTTGACTTAATCAATGCCACTATACTGTACGTAAACAGATCACTGTCATTGATTTTATCTGAAACGAACAGCATGAATAAGCCTAATTAATAATGTCAATTAAATATGATGAAAATTAAGGCATTTAATTTAGCAGTTGGTTTTTAGAGACAATTTCACAAGGTTTTAATGAGGTCAAACGTAACTGTGATAGTCTATGAATCTTGATGTACCAGTAGCCAAATTGTCAGCTTACCTAACTTCAATGTAATGAAACTTCATTGTAATGAAATACTCAATATAAACAACTTCCTGGCTCATTGAAATTCGTTACATCATAGCTGCACTGTATAATCATTTTCAGACACATACATATGCATTTCAATCTAATTTTACATGAAGATTGTTACAAAGTACAATATAGGAATCTGGACCCTTCAAAACACAAGTAGGATAACCATTGTGTCGTATTTTAGATACTGACTGACATTGAAGAGTCCCAGATCTCCGTGCTGCCCCCAGAGTTGGCTGCCGAGGCCCAGAACCTGCGCAGGGAGTGGGAAGCTCGCAACCGACAGCTCATGCAGGAGAGGTTCCTGTCTCACGTCACACACAGTACAAGTGCCTTGTCCTCCATACTGCGCCACACCAGCACACCTCGTAATCTCCGTATGTAACCCATCATAATACAGTAAAGGGGAGATCTACAACAACCAAACCAACATTCCCTCACAACACGCATATTACAAATATAATGAGTGTTTTGTTGTCATTAATTGCCAATTAGCTGCCATTGATTCCAATTTTAATGTTTAATGTGTGTACTGAGGTAGGCCTATTTTGTTCGTCAGTTTAACCTTTGCATGGTTTGCTTGCTGTGTTAGGTTTGGTTTTTGTTTGTAGTGGATTGTTAAAATAGTTTCTTTTTTTTTAGGAAAAGACTGATGTGTGTATATAAGAATAATGTGTGACATAGCCTATTGTGAAAAATTGAATGGCCAAAATAAATCTTGAATCTTCATCACTTTCCACCTGGGTTGGCTTTTGTTTGTCTGGGTGTGGAAATTACCAACACCATGGCAAACGATTCTCGTTCTTATCTAATTTAACAACCAAAAACACTGTTTATTGTAATTGATTTAATTTAAATATGTTTTCATGGTTTTAGTTAATCCAGGTTTTGATTTAACAGAGGAACTTTACTAAACAGGTTTTTAGTTGGTAATAATTGCTTTGTTTCTTTGCTCTAATTTTATTTCAAAGTAAGGTAGAACCTCTCTTTACCAGAATAAATGGGGGGTTAAAAAGGTATTAAAGTGATAGGAATTAAACAATTATGTTACTGAAATAGATGGTAGGGTTAGACAGCACTCTTAACAAACAAAGGCCTACTTATTTATAACTAAGAACTTAAATATATGTCATAGAATATAAATCTTAGCAAGTTTCCATTTTTATCGTTTTTATGTGGAAAAAGCTTTATAAAAATGCCTGCAGTTATGCTGATTTTTTTATGTTTCCATGTTGTCTTGCAATGTTTTTGCAATGACACCACACCACCACGACACTGACAGACCGGTGTTTGTTTTTGTCTACTTCTAGTACAAAGATGTAATCAACAACCCTAATCCCAAACTCTGTGCCATCCCTTTTGGTCCAAGACACATTTTGTTGTTTTTATTTTGTTAGGCAATTTCAGTTTACTAAACAATGTTTTGGTTCAGAAAGGTACTATTCTAGAAACTTAACATATTACAGTAGTAGTTTTACTTACCCTCTTTTAAGTCATTAGCTCACTATGTCAGCAATTTGTATCCATTGTTTTTATATTTTATGTTTGCTTTTTGTGTAAAGGGCGACCCACTGGTCCCAGATATACCATTCAAAATATGGGGCCAGGAAACAGAACACATTGGTTGAGTTCTTGGAACTTGGGTGCCCGGTTGCTGGACTCAACCCAATCAGGCTCGCAGACTGGCAACTTAACAGGTGCTAACCTGGCTTCTGCTAGCGGTATCATCGGCAGGTAAGCTAACCTTGGAGTGAAAAATTTTGTGATGTGTTAGTCGCAATGTTTTATTGGTGCGGTTTCTTTTTTAATCGTTCACGTTTTGGTTATTTCCCGTTTTAAATGGATAAAACTTCCATCCACTTATTTGCCTACTCTACAATAAAGATAATTTTCTTTGATATAGCTTATTGTTGATGACAGTAGTTTCATGTTGGTCCAGGGAGTATTGCAGATAAATAAGTTTTACTAATACAAGGTATCCTACCTGACAGGGAACATGGAAAACCGGATTTGTATGTGAATTTTGATGTCCAGGGAAAATCTGTGAATCGTGACTAGGGGTGTGCGATGCATCGAAAATGCATCGAAATTTCGATTCGATTCGATTCGATGCATCGAATCGCGATTCGATTCAGCATGCATCGAAATCACGATGCATCGATTTAGCCTCGATGCATCAAAAAAGACCGATGCATCGGTTAACTCCCGATGCAACGATTACGTCCCGATGCATATTTAAAACTAATTTAGGACTCCAAAATAAGTTTTAGATTGGGAAGTGTCAATTATCGCTACCACCGATACTCGGACATTGCCGATACTAGGATTATCGGTATCAAGAATCGTTTGCCAAACATCGATTTCGCCCGATTCCGCCGATACCGGCAGCCGACAGGGATGGATAGATATTTTATTTTAACATTTACTTATTTGATATCTATTAGTTTTCTAATCACGCTAACAACTTTAGTAACCAACTTAGCACACTATTTAGTTCAAAACAGCTAAAGTTATTTTTAGTTGTTCTCTCTGCAGGCAGATGATATTGCACAACACAATACAATCTACATTTCAAGATGTCAGACAGTCAGAATTCAGTCTCAGACAGCCGGCGCGCGAGTGTCCTCAACACGAAATTATACTAAAAAATGTCTGTATCAATAAGTCAGACCTTTAAATGTATTATTTTTATTTTTAGAACAAAATAAATAACCTAAACTTGTCTAAATGTTCAGTTTCATCCCTGCATTACGCATCATTAGAAAAATATTCAATTACAACATTGAAGTCAGAGGGTTAGGCTTGGACTTGCCTATTGCACCAAAAAGTAGGTCCGTATTATATCTGTACTATCTACCTAGTTTAAGAGTTTAAGTGAAGTTTTAAGTGCTACAATAACATAAGCTTTGATTGAAAAACACCATACGCATAGTCCATGTCGATTTTGTAATATTATAATGAATGGTAAATGTTGACTATCTAAGATAAATCAAAGTATGTAACAAGAGTTCTCATTGGCCGAGAGGCCACGCTGCACTGTCATGTCAGCCAATCGACGTTCGTGTTTCAACGGAGCAAGTGACGATTGCTTTGATGTCGTTATTTGTGTGTGAGTCTATTATTGTGGGAAGGGTTTAGATAAGAAGATACATTGATAATATCAAGAACCGTTATGTAGGGCGTGTTTGTTTGTAAAGAGTATAAAATTAGGTTAAAGTTTAAAACGGTGTGATTTTCTTTTGTCTCACAAAGACCTAGATTTGACGTTCAATTATGTCAGTTAACTAAATCTTGACATATTATGGCTTTATATAATATTTTAATAAAACATCAATTTTTCCGATTATATATCAATATGAATATTTTGGCTCAAAACATCAATTGTTCCAATCGATCGTTGTAGCATAGACTAACCAACACAAGGGAGTAGGCTATGTTTTATCTATGGTTGTAGTTAGGCCTACGTGTCGTACCCGGCTGGAGATTATACCAACAAACTATTTCAGGAATTTCATTTTGGGACGGATGAAAGATAAGGAATAAACAAAAAGTGGTCACGTGTGCAAATGTAGTGGTCGAGACAATAAGGCTATAAACGAGTATTGTCGCGTCGTTGTTCCTTGTTTGTTTACTTTTTCAGATTCCCTATCAAACGCCCCTATCTGCTATCTCTATCTCCCCCCCCCTCTCTCTCTAATGATGTACTGATTAAACAGATTGTGGTTGACGACTTTTCTACTTAAGATTCCCTGTGGTTATTTTTGTTCAATCAATCCCATAACCTTTCTATCGTTTATCAAAATAATTAATTAATCTGTTTTTTTATTTTATTTCCTTTAAACCAACCCCTATTTGCCATCTGTATTTTATATAATAAAATGTTTGTTTATAAAGCTTGACTGGCCACACAATTTTGTAAGGAACTATTTTATTTTGTATAAAGTAACAGATACTTTGATGATTATATATATATATAGATAGATATATATATATATATATATAAGTGCTGCGTGCTGTAATGAATCCTTTTTATTATCAAAATAAGTAATGAATTATAAATTTTTGATAATACATGGGCCAACATGGGTCATTGAATAGGTACCATAATGTCATGTAGTTTCCTATTTGTAACTTGCAAATAATAATAATTGATAGTTAATTCTGGAAAATGAAAAATAGTGAACGCATTCATAAACCTGTTGTCAAAACAGCAACGCTGGTGTAAGGGTTTATTGTTTCAGAGGCTAGGGTGTTTCAAGGACAAAGTGTTGGGCCTCCCGGCTTAGGGGGGAGGGGTGGTGGTTAGAGGGGGAGGAAACTGGTTTTGGCTATTTATTGATTAGTTCACCGACCCTTCTAGACAACAAAATTGAGTGACAGTGACAGTGTTAAATCACCGTGTTCTGTATTTAATTTCTTGTTTACTTTGTATGTTATTCTGTGTTTTGTTCTATTTCCTCCTGGTCCCTTGCAAATTGTATTATCAATGCTAAATAATTGTGGTCAATTCAAATTATATTTTTGATTATTCAAATCTCCTACACAAAAAGACAAAAGTCAAACCAGGCAAGGAAAAAACCTGCTATTGTAATCCCCGTACCCAGCCATTTGGGAAGTGGTGAAAGTCTAGTCTAAATATAGCTCAAAGGTCTCACCCTCCCTTCCCTCCCCCTTCCAACCCCCTACTCAATGTTACTATTCCGCTCATTTCGAGGTCATTGCACAACGCTTCCTCCCTTCTATTGTTTTGCCTTTATAGTGTCTCTATTCTAACTTTTAGAAACATAAATTTATTGCTTACTAACAGTTCAGTAGTGGAATTTTCTATTGTGAAACAGTAGGCCTACTTTAAAACAAAATCACTACCGATCATGTCGATCATGTCGATCATGTCATTCTATTCTGTGTCAAGTCAGTATACCATTGCCTTGCCAGTCAGTCGCCGGCGACTGCTTTGAGTTGACCTATTCTGTCGTGACAGCTATAAAAATAGGTTAGGACAACTAACTCTTGCTTATTTCTATATTTGTATGACTGTAGAATCTACATTAATACAAATTATCCATCATTTTATGTAAACACAAGTTACATTTCAACAAATATTGATCTTTTACAATTTTATACCAAACTAGGAGTTCAAAGATAAGCTCAAGTTTCAAGGCTGTACTCTACTCAAACTCAAAATCTCGAATACTCGCCCATTTTGTGTTAATAGTATAAATAAAATCGGGTCCATTAAAACCGGATCCAGCCCAAGATCCGATTTTTTGTGGATCCAATCGGGCGTCGGTCTAGCTCAGACCCGGCGGATCCGGTAGTCCGATATCCGGATCCGACCATCACTAATAGACAGTAAGAGTAAACACTGATTATCAACTTTTTGGTTCGTGCTGATTTAAGAATGAACCAGAAGTATTGAAAGCCAACAGATATAAATGTGAAAACTAAGTAACAATACTACCGTGCATCATAAAATTAACTCTATTTTATTTAATACAGGTCAATAATAATAAACTTAACGATTGCTTTATTGATATATAGGCTTATTCTAATTGTTAGTGAAGGGTGAATTTCCTTAGGCCAACCATAAAATTAGCAGTGTCCATTAATGAGGTTAGGTCAGCAACTATCCTGTTGTTCATAATTTTGTTTAGTACACTTTTTACTTTTACTTTTTTAAGGTAAAGGATCCATCAGAAACACATGTTGTATTTAATTTTTGAAGAAAATCATGCCGTGCTGCATCGAATCGAATCGCATCGATTCGAATCGAAATTCTTTGAATCGCATCGATGCATCGAATAAAAAAAAATATGCTGCATCGCACACCCCTAATCGTGACAAGTAAATTTTGTATGGGACCAGGAAATCTCAGATTTAAAATAATCGCCATTGAAACCTGCTAATGGTCGCTGGTTGTTCTGTTAAGTAATTGCATCGTCACGTCAAGTAAGAAAATATGGGTATTGCAGTTGCGGATGTCAGGAGGATCGTAACAAATTATTATGGACTTAGTTGCGAAAAGTTTCACAATTTGTGGAGTGGAAGAAGCTGTTACTGCAAGTTACTTCCAGTAAAGTAAATCTCCCATTCTGAAAGATTCCTTACTTTTAGTAGAAAAGCTCTCAGATACTTAGTTCTTTTGTGACTTACCTAAAAATTGTTTAAGGAGCGCCAATGTATTTGCTTGAATACGTAAAAATTATTTTATTGTAAGCCTAGAGTTCAAAATCATTAGATAATAGTTTAAACAATTGACTTTTGCTTTCCCTACTATAACCTAGTTGTTTTTATATATTTTTAGACCAAAAGGCAGACAGGTTTTGGACTATGAGAGTATTTGCTGCTTGCTCGTCCTTCTGTTTGTCGACGACGTTAGGATCAACACTGCTAGACTCCATCGGGTATTCCGAAACCTGTGCTACCATCCTCCTACCCGAGAATGGGTTATTCGGGTAAGATTTATGTTTTTTTTTATTATTCTAACTTAATCTAACTTTATTCTAACTCTTAAATCTACCAGATTTTACAATAATCCCTTGTGAACTCTTAAAACACTGAAAAATTTGAATAACTCACTAATGTAACTGTAAACTGCCTGTATTAAAAATAATACTATGAAGTAAGTGTAAGGTCTGATGTATTATTAATGTTCAACAAATATAATTAAATATTTTTTTCAAACAAGAATACGAGTTCATGTTTTTGAAAACATTTTATTTTTTATAGTGAATTCAACCCTAAACTGTGCTTTTTACTTCAGGCTATCCTATCAATAATGGAGAAAAGCAATGAAGGCCAGTCACCAGTAGGAGAAGCCAGCTCTGCTGCTGTTACATCCAATCGTAGAGTCACCCGCAGTCAGTCTCAAGCTAGCCCTGAACACTTGACAAGCGCTCCTGCCCCTACACCTTCCTCTACACCTGCTGCTTCCACAAGCTCTGGTACCGGCCGGTCAGGTTCCTCTTGGCTCAATATCAGTATGGATGCCGCTCTCGGTTGTAGAGCCACTGTCTTTCATGTACATAAAAACCCTGGCCGTCGCAACGATCGTACCATCACAATAAACCCTCAAGCAGCACCGTTTGTATATAGGTATGAACCATTTTGTATTTAGTTTTATGAGTTTTTGTTAGTTATATTTTTTTATGTTAAAACCAATAAGCTTAACAAGGATTGTCTGCAGCTGGAAAAGTTAGCTCAGTCAGCAGCTCTTTAATTCTTTCACAACATGTGCATGTTTGAAAACAATGACAATCATGGAAGAATGATTTGAAGAAGATTTAGTTGAGTAATGTTTTCAATTGTAAAAACTAGGGATGGACGAGATTGGATTTTTAGTTCGAGACGAGACGAGACGAGATTTTTTTATTTCTCATAAAATTTCGAGACGAGATCGAGACGGGATTTCCCTTCTCACACACAACGGGAAATGCACGTTCAAAATTTTTACCTGATTTTGTAACATTGTTAGATGACTGTTTAAATACAAAAATAATGATAATAGGCAAGAATATTTACAATCTTTTATTAAAAAACATCAGCATAACATTTTTTTATTAATCACGCCTAACTTATTAAAAATGCCTACAATTAGGAAACATAGTGATATCAGTTAGGATAGAGTTCAACTTATCCTAAAATAAAAAAAAATCATAAAATAAAAGCAATATTAATTTTTATAAAATAGTTAGGTACTTGTTTTGACTTTTTATAGTAATAAAACATTCCTCACACTGCTTACACTGAACAAAACTTCTCAAATGTTATTAAAGTAATATTATTAAAATAATTAAAGTAATATTTACATTTAAAGAATTAATTCAATAAGAACGCCTTCGCAAAGGAAACGCATCTACAACACGCTCCTGTATTGCGGGAATTGCATTGACTTTCTGCAGGCGTTTTTAATTTTTTTTTTTTATTCTCGTCTCGATAAAAATCTCGGCCAAAAAGAAATCTCATCTCGTGTAACGAGATTTAAAATTTCCCGAAATTTCGAGACTTGACCATCCCTAGTAAAAACATAAACAAACAGGTGTTGTGTATCCTGATTTTTGGGTATCTGTTCACAGGTGTTTTTGAATATATTAAGTACCCTACTAAGTTTTTTCCCTAGGATGCTAGGCATGAGCCAGGGATTGTTTTTCACATTACTTCAGGCTAGACCTAGGGGTTGCGGCATTATCACTTTGATAAAATAGGTACATTGGTGATTTGGCGGGATTTGAACCCGGGACCTCAGGTATCGAAGTCCTGTGCTCTAACCACTAAACCAGCTCGCTCCCCCACCCTACTACGTATTAGACCATATATTAGTCCAATACATATTTTGTCAAAAATCATTAAATACATTACGGCAATAGATATAATTTCTAAATATTAAATCTTTGAGAATTGTGTGATTTGTTGTATCAGAGAACAAAATGGGTGTGTTGCTAGCCTAAGTGGTTAGTGTATCAGACTTAGGTACGAGAAAGACAAGTTTGATCCTAAACACAGGGTGTCTAGTAGTCAGGAAAAACGGGAAAGTTGGGAATTAGTATTGATTTTCAAAACGGTCTTGAAAAGATGGGATTTAGTCTTTATATTGATATCATCTTTTTTTTTCATGATTTTAACGCGATCGCGCACAATCATTGGTTTACGTGACCGCGAAAGGCAATGATGATGATGTCTACATGGCCGCGGAAGATGTTAACGATTTTGCCGCGATTGCGGACGACGACGATAACGTTTCCGTGACCGCGGGAGTCAATGATTATTTTGTCGCTATCGTGGACAACAACGATGACGTTTCCGAAACCGCGGGAGACGACGATGGCATTTCTGTGACGACGGGAGACGTCGATGAAGTCTACACAGCCGCAGGAAATGTTCATTTTTGCCACGATCGTGAACGACGATGATGACAATTCCGTGACCGCGGGAGTCAATGATGATGTCTACACAGCCGCGGGAAATGTTCATGTTTGCCACGATCGTGGACGACGATTTTTCTGCGATCGCAGACGACGACGATGACGTTTCCGTGACCGCGGGAGTCAATGATGGTGTCTACACGGCTGCGGGAAATGTTCATGTTTGCCACAATCGTGGACCACGATGATGTCTACACGGCTGCAGGAAATGTACTTGATTTTTCCACTATCGCAAACGACAAAGATGATGTTTCCGTGACCGCGGGAGTCAATGATGATGTCTACACGGTCGCGGGAAATGTTCATGATTTTGCCACGATGGCGGACCACGACGATGATGGTGATGTCTACACAACCGTGGGAAATGTTCATGATTATCCCGCGATCCTGGACGACTACTATGACGTCCACATGGACTTGGGAAATGTTAATGATTTGGCGCAATTGCGGACAATGACCATGAGGTTTCCGTAACCATGGGTCATTGATGATGTCTACACGGCCATGGGAAATGTTCATAATATTGTCGCGATCACGGAAGACATTTCTGAGACCTCGGGAGGCGACGATGATGTCTACACGGGTGGGGAAAATGTTCTTGATTTTGCCGTGATCGCGGACGACGGCGATGACGTTTCCGTATCCGTGGCAGTCAATGATGATGTCTACCTGTCCGTGGAATATATCATAATCCAAAACAACCCAAATTGGCTAGTTAGAATTTTTTATTGCTGTATTTTTTTCTTTACTTGAAAATACCACATCTTAATACTACTTTATGACAAAGACAGGGGTTGGTGTAGTATGTAGTATAACCAAATTATTTAGAAAATTTGGTTAAGCTATAAAAATTGGTATTGGTATCGAGAATCGATACATTTTGGTATGGACACTAACTAAATTGATGAAAAAAATTAGTCTTGAAAAATCTGGAATTAGTATTGAAAAGTCTGGAATTAGTCTTGAATTTTATAATGGAAATAAACTAGACACCCTGTTAACATACTCACAAAGATATTATAGGCTTGGGCAGATTTCCATCCTCCAAAGTGTTTGCTCAATTTAAATTCCACTGATGTTTTTCAATTTACTTATTTTTTCAACTTATTTTTTGAATGTTGAAAGGTTAGGTATCCAGGCCAAACCTTTAATTAAATATTTCCCACTTGTAAATGTGCTCATGTTCTTTGCTATTCATACATTTGTTTGTTTTTTTCAGGCACGCTTTAGATATACTGATCTCACTAGCCAAAATCTTTCCAAGTCACTTTGTACCCGGTAAACCTCCGACCACGTCTAGTTCAGGCAATGCTGGTCCCTCCTCAGTAACTGCCTCACCTCCCAAAGCTGCTAAGAGCCCTCGGACTGACAACTCTCCCAACTTCTGGGACATGCTTATTCGCCTTGACTCTCTGAGTACCTCCAAAAAGGGCAAGGTGTGTTGAAAACGGCTCTTTTTACATTTAGTCCTGTGTTCTTATAGAATTATGTTCAGGGGTATAGAAATCTAGAGACGTAGGAATTGGCTAACTCAGGAACTCGCTAACTCGGTCGTGTGTCGGAACTGGCTAACTCTGGAACCGGCTAACCGTCTCCAGCGAGTTTTAACAAGTTTATTGGCAACAGAAATCATACGTATAAGGAGCGTTCTGATTTGCGTGAAAAAGGGCCATTCCAATTGAAGCAAAGATTTCCCAACTATCTGAATCTAATACTGCTTGATAAAAGTTCCTTGGATACTTTTTTCTTTGTGTTTTCATGAAATAATTTGCCTTGACACCCCTCTAAGGACAAAGTAATTAACTTAGCAGTTAAAACCTTTTAAAAGTGATGGCCTAGACTACATGATTTGATATCCAAATATTTTAAGACATTCTAAGTAGTTCCTTCTACAAGTGGCCGCAACTCAGAGGCGTTCCGGTCTTCACCCTCTTCCTGGAAGTCTAGGCACACTCACATCTACAAGTAGCCTCTCTGCATCCCGAAACCGTTATTCCACGCTCTTCCAATGCTTACAATATGAACACTTAGTTTATACAATTTGAATAATATTTTTTATCCTGAGTCTGATATTATAAATTATTCTTTATTCTGTGTGTAATTATACTGAAATATTTTAGCTCTGATCTGATAAATCTTTATGTTCTCATTAAATTTAATGAGATCAAAACTTTAAAAATTTAGTGGAATTATTATCTATCATGTCTCAAACCAGAATGCTGTTATTTAAGTTTTATTGATGCCTTAGCTGTATTCATGGCATTCCATTGAAAGATATGTTTTGTCCAACGCAGAGACATGGGAGATAAAAGAATGTATTACAGCCATGAAGCTGATTTATTAATTTATATTATAGAATTCAGCTATCGTTCTTGAGAAAATAATACGCCCAAACGTAATTATAGATATTAAAAAACAACATATAAATGATATTTTAGGCATAGACTACTACAAAGAAGAGATTGGTTAAAAACTTGTGTGATTTGCAGGCGGTGCCGCGACAGAGTGTGTCGGCGCCCTTGGACTCGGAAAGCTTGAGTCTGGATTGTTCTCCATTCGGACAATTGCTCAAGATGCTGGAGTCACCAGTGGTACACAGAAGCCCATTGCTGATGGACAAGCTACTTAGGTTGTTGTCCCTCATCTCCATCAGTCTGCAGATCCATCGGCAGCGTCTCTGGGATCGGGTAAGTCAATTATTGCATTTGATATACTTGACAGTTCCTAAGGCCTAAGTTGATTGAGTTGGTTTGGTAGGGTTGCTCATTTCAAGGTCTCCATAAGGTTTAATGACTGAACATTATATTTGTATGATACATTATTCTACATGAGGTGTTGAAGAGTAAACCATCAGTGTCAAGTGCCAAAAAGCAGAGTAAATGTGTTGTGTCAAGTGGTGAGAGCAATCAGGTGATAGATGTAGATTCCTCCTTAGATAATAGCTTACATTTGTCTTTAAACTAAGATATCCTGACAAAGACCAAATGCCTGCTAAACTAGTTCTAGACAAATTTTATAATCTCAACAGTGTAAAAGCTCAGAGTAATATTAGCTCAGATTCATTAAAAAACAGCGATACTTACAGTAAATTTAATTTAGTAATGCACTACAATTGTCAAGGGTTAAATTCTACTAAAATATCAGAGCTCAATTTATTTTTATCACAGTCCAAATTAAATATTAAAGTCATGTCATTAAATGAACTTTGGTTGGATAATGATTCTATTTCTTTACTCAATACAATAGATAATTTTAGAATTGCTGACTCTTATGTAAGAAATAGTAGCCTAAGGGGTGGTTCATGTATATTAGTTGATAATAATTGTAAATACTTAACTGTACAGGAGTTTTCTTATTTAAATGAAGATTTTATTTTTGAATGTTCTGCTATCGAACTTGTAGATTTCAATTCAGTATTTTTTTCCATTTATACAGTGCCAAATTATAATTCAAGTAAATTGTTTTTGGACAAACTTGAAAAGCTACTTGTTAGTTTACAAAAAAAAGCCAAAAGGAAAAATGTTTTTATAACAGGGGATTTTAATATAAACATTTTAAAGGATGATGCAATCACAAGTAGGTTTAAGGAAATTGTTGAATGTAATGGTTTCTGTTTGCAGTTTAATGAGCCAACTAGAATAACTGCCAATTCATTTACTTGTATAGATAACATGATTACAAAAAAAAATGTATAAAGTAGACCATAAACTGAATACTGATTTAGGTTTATCTGACCATAACGCCATATTCCTGAGCCTCCCTGGGCAATATAAGAATATTTTGACTACTGGTAATAATAATAATACAAGTTCCTATACCAAAAGAATAATTTCAAATAGAAAAATTGATGAATTTTGTACATATCTAAACCAAAATATTAATTTTACATTTGATCCATTCCTGAACCCAAATGAAAACTTTAGTAACTTTTTAAGTGATTTTCTTTTGGCTTTTAATTCTATATTTCCTCCAAAGTTTCTTAAAAATAATAGTAATAATTCTAAAACCAAGTCTTTCTCTGTAAACTGGATTACTCAAGGTATAAAAATTTCAAGTAAAACAAAACGACAATTGCACATGCAAGCCAAGCTCAGTAATGACCAACAGTTTATTACATATGTTAAGCATTATAAAAACATATTTAACAAAGTTGTAAAAAAAGCAAAATTACTAGCGAATAGCAATTTTATAAAAACATCAGAAAACAAAACTAAGGCAGCTTGGCAAATTGTAAATCAAGAGCTTGGCAATACAAACCAAAAACCAAAAGAAAGAATAGTTTTGAAAGATACAAATGGTTATGAGCTTGGTAATCCTGGAAGTATTGCTAAAGTTTTTAACAATTTTTTTTCGAATACAGTAAGTAACTTAAATGTTCAAAAGGCTACTGTCAATGGAGTCCATGCTTCAGTGAAACATATCTGTAATGATAATGGGATATCATTGTGCAGCCTCAGGCTAACTAATGTGGAGGAAATCAAAAAGATTGTTTTGTCACTAAAAAACAAATCATCCGTTGGCTGGGATGAGATCCCAATTAAATTGATAAAAGCCACTGTTAATATCATTGCTGAACCTTTATCTCAAATTATTAACCAGTGTTTAATACATGGAATTTTTCCGGATAAACTAAAACTTTCCCAAATCTCACCAATATTTAAAAAGGGCCTAAAATCGGATATTAACAATTACCGTCCAATTTCTGTATTGAGTAATTTTTCTAAAATATTTGAGAAGGTCATAAATTTGAGATTGGTTAGTTATTTTGAAAGCAATCATCTATTTTATAACAAACAATTTGGATTCAGGAAAAATTTAAGCACAGGTTCTGCACTAACACAGTTTATAAATGAGGTTACCCAGGCTTTGGACAGGTCTCAGGCTACAGCTGGTGTTTTCTGTGACCTGTCCAAAGCTTTTGACTGTGTTGATCACTCAGTCCTTCAGCTCAAGCTGAGTGATTATGGTATTAGGGGAAGTTGTCACTCTCTATTGAGTTCTTACCTTTCTAATAGAAAACAAAGAACTCTAATAACACTGGATAAGATCAAGTACTATTCGCCATGGGAAAACCTATCGGCAGGTGTGCCCCAAGGTTCAATCTTAGGTCCTCTATTCTTTCTAATTTACTATGAGTATTTTTACCTTTTTTTGGTAGCCTAAGGTGTCCAAAATCCTTATCTCCTGCGAGACGCGTTTCGCATTAATTACAATGCATCTTCAGTCGCTGTCATTGTCAGGTTTCAACATTGCCCACAGAAGTGGTTGTCACGATTTACAAAACATATAACACAGTTCACGAAACACATATTTATATACAGTTTTACAACCATGGTCACACACGTACTGTACATCAAGCGAGCGGGAGACGACACGCGATACCGCACAAGGTTGTAGGCCTACTGGTCATTCCTCCCTTATCTTGTCTTAATCAGCTGTTGTGTTATCCGTGGTAACCTCTTCCCCCTCTAGTCTACTGTACAGACGATAGGTAACTTTATCAGAAAAGTCTTCTTTAACATTTAACAAGCAATGTTTACCCATTGAAGTGGCCTTTTTGAAAATAAAATACTCCTCCCATATTTTCGACCTTTGAGCGTTATCACAGGCTTTTAGCACATTTAGCGATTTATCAAAACTTATATTGTGGGAAGGATGTTCTTTCAGGTGTTGGGCAACTTTGAGTTTTGATAAATCGCTAAATGTGCTAAAAGCCTGTGATAACGCTCAAAGGTCGAAAATATGGGAGGAGTATTTTATTTTCAAAAAGGCCACTTCAATGGGTAAACATTGCTTGTTAAATGTTAAAGAAGACTTTTCTGATAAAGTTACCTATCGTCTGTACAGTAGACTAGAGGGGGAAGAGGTTACCACGGATAACACAACAGCTGATTAAGACAAGATAAGGGAGGAATGACCAGTAGGCCTACAACCTTGTGCGGTATCGCGTGTCGTCTCCCGCTCGCTTGATGTACAGTACGTGTGTGACCATGGTTGTAAAACTGTATATAAATATGTGTTTCGTGAACTGTGTTATATGTTTTGTAAATCGTGACAACCACTTCTGTGGGCAATGTTGAAACCTGACAATGACAGCGACTGAAGATGCATTGTAATTAATGCGAAACGCGTCTCGCAGGAGATAAGGATTTTGGACACCTTAGGCTACCAAAAAAAAGGTAAAAATACTCATAATAAATAGGTGTCTAGGCTAATATCTACAAATTCTAATTTACATTAATGACCTCCCTAAAGCTATTGATCAGGAACTAATTCTTTTTGCAGATGATACAACAGCTTTGATAAAAAATAATAGTACTTCTGAAATGCTATCTTCTCTTGAAAATGTGGTTCATGACATGGAAGGTTGGTTCTTGAACAATGGATTAAAACTTAATCTTGAAAAAACGCAAACAATAAAATTTTCTGTCAGAAACAATGGTAATAAAATTGAATCCCTTAAATTGGCAACGTCTCATAAATTTCTAGGTGTTTACATAGACGAATCACTTAAATGGGATGTACATCTGAATCAATTAAAAAGTAAACTTAGATCCATGTCAATTGTATTTCTGCACTTAAGGGACTGTGTTCCTAAAGAAACTCTGAAAATGGTTTATCATGCTTATGTAGAATCAGTATTGAGGTATGGTATACTCTTATGGGGTCAGGCTACCAGAGTCAAATCAATATTCAGGCTACAAAAACGCATTATCCGTATTATGACCAGCTCTCATCCACGTAGTTCATGCAAAAACCTTTTTCGAAATTTAAAAATCCACACCCTAACAGGACTGTACATCTTGGAATCACTAAACTACATTCATTCAGCTAAAAACGACCTCCCAGAATCAATTCAAATCAACCATAGATATAATACTCGAAATGAAAACATTTTTAGATTTCCAAGGCACCATTTGACCCTTTATGAAAAAAGTCCACTATATGCTGGGCTGAGGCTGTACAATGTGCTGCCTGCAAACTATAAATTGCTAAATGAAAATAATTTTAAAGATAAAATAGGTGAACTCTTAATTGACAGAGCCTTTTATTTAATTGCAGATTTTCACAATGCCCCTTTAGTTTAGAATAGTTTTATCATTCAATTTTGTTAATTATATTATCATCTTGATTACTATTTTATTTTTTATATTCTGACAATTCGAACTCTGACAATGCACCTATTCTGTATGTAACACATGTAAAGAATGTTATGTGCAAATAAAATATGTCTATGTCTATGTCTATGTCTACACACCAACATTATATTGCATACGATTTTCATAAGTGTCACTATTCTTAACTGAACATATTAGTTCTCGAATGGATTTATGCTAACATTTCCATCACTGATTGTAAAACGGAAAATTTACCACAATTCAGGATCTGTAAGCTAACCTAGTTTTCAGGTGGGAAGGACATATTCCAAACAGTTTTAGGAATATGTATATTTTTAAGGATTATATACAACATAGGCCTGCATTTTTGTTTAATCAGTTATAAGTAAGGTACGGTATGTGGTTACCACCATTTTTGGTGTTTTCTTCGAAGGATTGATTTCAAACCATTATTTTTAATTTAGATGAATTGACATTACTATGAAGATTGATATTATCCAACATTCATGGCTTTCTATAAATAATTATCCTACATTATCAAAACCTTTTACTCCTTAACAGGTTTGTGTAAAGAAGAAAAACAATTCAGATGAAATTTTACCCATAAAACATTGTAGTTACTGCAACGCTTACCCATTATAACCAGCGAATGGTAGACAGAACAAAACAAGTGTATTTAATTGTTATGTACCTTGCATATTTAGTAGGGGTGTGCGAAGCAGCAAAAAATTTTCGATTCGAAGCAACGATTCGATTCAAAATATTTTCGATTCGATTCGATGCAACTCGATTCGAAGCAATACGGTATTTTTCTATTCATAATTGTCAATTGAGTGGATTAACAATAATTAAAATGTATCACATTTGTGTAATACAAATTTTTGTTGATGTGGTATTAGGCCTATTTCATACTTTACATATGAATTTTAGGTGAAAAAATATTTATTTTCAATCATATGTATTAGAATAACTGCTGGAAATACCAGTGAGCTGCTTTACTTGCCTATTTCATAATTTTTACTTGAATTGGCTCAACTGCAAGAAAGAAGAAAATATTTTTTTTATCAAGACATTCATTCTCATTTTAATAACTGTTTAAATAACTAAATAGGTGCCGGTAGCTAAATTACAACAAATTTGAATGGAACTTAATATAAAAAGACCATTAAGAAATAAATTTACATATCACAAGTTTAGGGCCTGTGGACCGGCTTCAGGACTGCAAGCAAGAAGAAAATAAAAATAATATGTTTCCACCATGCAATATGTATCATTCATTCCCTGCCTCCTAACCTCCTTAGTATAATAACCTCACACTTACATTATTTGTTACATCATCATAAATAAAGAATTATTATTGGCATCAGTAGGCCTACAGCTTTACCTAGGCATTATTTTTATAGGGCCTAAAATAGTAATAGGCTAGAAGCAACATGTCAAGTGGAGAACTCATTGAAGAAAAGATATTGTGTAAACTAATTTCCTATAAAACTCAAAAACAGTAAATAACATACAAACATTGTTTATGGTATAATTAATAAGGACTAAAAAATGCATATCATGTCATACAGTAGTATAGACCTACTGCAAGAGATTAAAATCCTAAAACAACTGATTTTGATAGCTAATGAATGAAAAGAATTAAAAATCCATAAAATAAAGCCAAACAATATCACAACTAATTAGGTACCCGAAAAGTAACTCTTAAATAATATATAGAAGATTAAAATAATATTAAATCAAGAGACAAGAAAGTTAAATGCTATCTTCTAGCCTAGTGCCCTTGGCAACACAGGTCAATGTTTTTAAACTACCCTCAATGTTTTTGGAACAGCAGGGCCTTTTTCTCTTAAGGAAGGGTAGTAGTATGTCAACAAAAACAATGAATCAGTCTCACCAGCCAGGCCCGGGCAACGATGTGTGAATTCAAGGTCATAGACCCTCCCCCTCCCCTCTTACACCACCCGGTTGCTACCCAGTTGCTTCAATTGCTGACAAAATGCAAGTGATGAAACAAGGGAGTAGAGACAAAGAAATATATTTCTTTATTCAAAAACACAAAACTGTTAGAGATTATTTTCAAAGAAATTAATTCAATGTAATTTGTGAGTTGTAAATATTGTATTGGATCTTAGAAATATATTTTTTTAACCCCATCTAACCAAGATACAGATCTGTTCACTATATCAGATATTTCTTTTGTTTATAATTTATTATGTAAAATAATAAAATATATTTTTAATTAGGTATTGAATAAACAATAAATGATTATACTAGTATGTCTGGATAAATAGTCTTTCTATTCTTTTGACTTTGTTTTCTTTGCACTGTTAGTGTTGCGTCACGGCTTTTGTCTTGTTACTCTTATCAGTAGACGACTAGACCTGGCTCTGGCTAGTGGCAGTGCGGCAATTGCTCTGTTGTGTCTTTATTCTTAAAGGTCGTGAGCCAACTTAATTTTTAATTCTCATTTGAACATTTTAATTCCTCTGTAATAATAGATATAATAATATAAGAGTGTTTCTTTGGAAATAAATTATTCTTTTTTTTTTCTTTTGCCCCAACAAAAATTCGGGGACGGGGACCGGCAGACACCTAACAAAAATACCAAATGAATCAGTCTATAACATTAATTTTACTAGTTAAGTATTAAGTAACAATTTTTCAGACTTATTTTTAAAATGATTTTGGAGTAACCTACCTTGTTTTGGCTAGGTTCACAGTAGTAAAATATTTCACACACTGCTTACATCAAGACAAAAAACAAACCTCTAATCATTTGCAATGTCAAAACAAAAGAATATAAAACAATTAAAGCTATATTTAATGCAAAGAATGTATTAAATAAGAACGCCTTCGTAAAGGAAACGCAACAGCAACGCGCTCCTGTATTGCGGGTATTGCATTGACTTTCTGCAGGCGTTTTTCGTATATGGATACTGACTCCCTCGTGAATCGAATCGTTTTTTGACCACCACTGAATCGAATCGCGATTCGATGCATCGAATCGAATCGAATCGAAATTTCGATGCATTTTCGATGCATCGCACACCCCTAATATTTAGGTACCTATTTCCCAAATGTAGCTCTTGAATGAATGACGATGTAACTGTCTAATTCATACTTGATTTATAAACATACCGAATTTAGAATAACACTCTTTTATGTTACCCAAGCCTTATATAACAAATGTTGTAATATTTTAATATTAATATATATTTGTATGGTTTCGTTACAGTTGGGAGTGCAAGTGGAGGTAAACTCTAACACCTTGCACCATCTTGGACTGGCTATTGACGTGCTCACGTCCAACTGTTGCTCAGATGAAGGACTAGAGGATGCTAAAGGTCTCCTGCTCAACATGACCATCAATCTTCCCAACACCAGGGAAAGTGTAAGTGCAGCCTGATCTTGTTACTACAGTCCAACCTCAGTATAACGAATCTGAAGGGACCGAACTGAATATTCGTTATATCAAGGATTTTGTTAAAACGAGGTTCGTTATATAGAGGTTAGGTTTGCAGGAATTTCGCTAAGTCGAGGTTCAGAACCAGCGTCGGTCAATATAGGTCGGGATTTGACTTCATTAAAATACAATTAAAGTAGCATAGACTACGCTACAATACTTTACAGTACAGTGTTTACATTGTACAGTAGAACCTAAATTATCCGGAAAATTAAAGGGAAGGGATCTTGAATATTGTGCAATCATGACAACGGCATTGACCTTGGTACAGGTTAAAAACTGTAAGTTTAAGATCACAGCTTGTTCTAACCCTCCTAAAACCTATCCAAACACTGTATTGCGTAGTCATAAACCATGTAAAGAACAAAACAAAACAGTAGAAAGTTTTGTAAGCTACTGCTCGTGATAGGCCGGTAGGCTACTTACAGTACAGTACTGATTTATCACAACAGAGAAATGTCAATAATAATCATTAACTATAGCATTGGTGTTGCTAGTTGAAACAAATCGTATTGAAAACAATAAATTATTAGATAAGTCATTATAAAAGTGTATAATCATAGCCAACTTTAGGATAATAAAAACACTCGTAAAAGGAATGTTAAGATAACGATGTTGCTATTCTTTCTCTTTGGTTTTGTTTTTATATTCTATCTTAGTTTTCTCTTTATCCAAAAATTTTACAATTCACCATAGTTATCCCATATTGCCCAATCACAGCTTACTAAACATTACGTCGTCATGAGTCCTCAGTGAATGAAATCAGTTCAGTTCTCACTCGTTCTCAGTGTTGCAACATAGCGCGCGCAGCGACAGCAGACAAAGATGTAAAACGGAGCAGACGAATGTTAGCGCAAGCGATGACGTGACCTTTCCATTTCATTTGATAAAGAAACAGATTTTCCCAAAACAATAATTGGGTGGGGGATTTGTTATATCGAGGGAAAGACGTAGACAATTCGTTATGCAGAGGTTAAATTCGCAATGTAGAGGTTCTGACAATGATAAATTCGTTATATTGAGGTGTCTTATTTAAGCCGAAATCACGAAAAATTCGTTAAATCAAGGTCGTTGTTATGGTTTGTTCGTTATGTAGAGGTAAAATATACATTGTGTCTTATGGAGAGTTCTAGGGGATTAAAAAGAAATTCGTTATATCAAGGAATTCGTTATATCGAGGTTCGTTATATCAAGGTTAGACTGTATCTAACATAGACCTTTTGTTATACAGGGTGTTTTTTTTTTAAGTGTGCCACCATTTGGATCTCAGTAACTAATGATTTTACAGCAAACTTTAAATGGGGAACATTCCCTTGTTTTTAAAGAGGTTCAAAAATAATTAAATACAATTTTTGTAAATAGCCGCCGGGTCCGCGGAATTGGCTAACTCTGGAACTCGCTAACCCCATGTTAAATGCCCTATCTTCAAATTTGGTCGATGAGAGGAACTCGCTAACTTGTTCGGTTTCGGAATTGGCTAACTCCGGAACCCGCTAACCCGCTCTAGAGCCGGGTTAGCGAATTCCGTCCTCGTACGGAAGTCGCTAACTCGGTCCCTCGGCGGAACTCGCTAACTCCCAATCAGAAGCCTCGCGGGCCGTCCAATGGGAGCCAAGCACGAATATTTTTGGCCAGTGTTGCCGAAAGTGTAGTACCTATATCGTATCGGTACCATAATGTCGTATCCTACGATTAATTAGGAGTAAGAGCAACGTAGTCGATAAATTAATATATTTGGAAGTATGTTTAACATTATTCTTATGATTTAGGTTGGAAAATGCGTTAGACTAACCAACACACAAGTAAACTTTACATCCCATTGTAAACTTTGAAGCTCGTTTTTCGTGTCTAGTTCATGTTCGGTGACACTGATCGCAAGTGTCGACAAAATTGTGTTTCCATTATTTGATAGTTAACTTCATGGTTTGTTCTTTACTGTTTGGTTATATAACTAGGGGACGTGTTATTAGTTGTGATTAGAATGTTTTATTTGGTTAAACGAAGTTTTTAATGACTGAAAACAGGACACAATTGTAAACAAAACACGACCTCTAAAGACAGTGCACCGGACAGAACTAACAATAAAACTGTCTTCAGCTGATCTATAAGGATGAGAACTAATATATACTAATATTATAAATGTGAACGTTTGTGTGTTTGTTTGTTTGAAGTTCAATTACGCTTTAACTACTGGACGGATTGGGCTGAAATTTGGCATACTGATAGCTCACATTCCCGATTAACATATAAGCCTATTCTTATCTCAAAAGTCCTTCCGGGCTCCGCCCCAGTGGCTCTATGGATCCCAATGTTAACCTTATGAGTATTCACATTTAAAAGGAATTAAAGAATTTAGTCAGCTGTTTCAACTAAACAAGTTGGTTCTATGATATGCAATAGCATTAAAACGTTAAGGTTTACCAACAGGGTACAACACGATTAGGCCATTTTTTTTTTTTTAATGTTTGACAATAGCTAATTGAACTAAGCAGCAACAAAAGCTGTGATACGCAATGAGAACTATCAAAGTAGGATTGTTTACAGTTTTTTAGGCCTATATGCCCATTTAATGAATCATTTGTGATATTGTGCAAAGGTTTGATAATTTGTTTTCTATTGTTTAGGTGCAGTAGTAGAGCATTATGGCTATGGTAAATGTGTTATACTATAGCATACCGTAAACTTCAAGAACCAAATTTTATCAAACTGTGTCGTCCCCCATTGCAAACACAAAGCTTGATTATGACTGCAATAAACATTTTACTCTTATATGCCAACCCCGTACGAAGGACGGGTACTCTGCTAGTGTACTCATATAAGGGAGTATGTGTTATATGTGGGTTTCTTACTTAAATAGTAGCTTTTTGGTATGCAAAAAGATCAAAATGCACATTTACATTGTAATTTTGATCTATTACATGTTATGAAATATCTATTTTCGTAGTCCGCCACTTGTTTCTTTTATTCGAATAAATACCATTTTGTGAACTTCTGCAAATAAAATTATTGAGTTGCATTTTATATACTGGGCTTGTAACCTTGAATCATAAATTATAATAAAATTTGCACGTTAAACGTCATTACAGAATTACATTGTAGTGGTAATGCATTTTTAAATAGAGCTATTGAATTTAAATAAATAGGCTATTTATCAATACATTATAAAGTGGTAGGCTTAAAATGTATTCATGGATTGCATTAAAAATGAATCTATGCAAAAATACAACTTGCAAATTTCTTTATCATAGGCTATTACCATGTAGAACCCGGGTCATCCTCTTAATTTTGTTGAATTAATATTAATTTTACGTCTTTCAGTAGGCCTATTTTTCAAAAGTCTAGAGTTTTTCTCCAGGCTGGTTCTAAATGGACCCAGGCGTTCTTGTTTGTTACAATTCTTATGAATGGTGGTCATAGCTAAAATTACTTGATCTTATCCAAAAACAAAGCTGTCTATTGTGTAGCTCAGTACCGGTGAACGGTGAGCCGAGCAATGGCTTGGTATCGTTTACATAGTTTGTGAAAGCAATATAAAGGAAACCCAACACTCAAATCAGGAAAATCAGTCAATTCGTTGTTTAACAATCGTGAATTAAAATAACCCTGTCACGTTTTATTATATGAATCCTTATATATAATTCTGTAAGACAAAATTTTTACCAGAAAATAGTGGACGTCTGGTAAGTCACAGAAAGGTGGGAGAGGTCTTAAATTAAAGGTCTTGACCCCAGGGACTCGGGAAAATAGCAGAATTCCCACAAAGTTAACAGAAAACGAGGTATAACGTAAAATATCCACCATAAGAAATGCATGGGGACTGAAAAACGTCTGCATTCTATCAGCTGTTACTTATTTATTTGCAATGTTTACATTTATTACGAAAGTCAATGTTGGTAAATAATGTTTCAAAATGAATTGTGTTTATTTTTTTTGTTTTCCGTTTTTATAATGAGTGAAGTAACTAGACAAGCTAGGGGAAGACCTGCAGACGTGGATGAGTGTCCAGGAATTCAACAGACTAAAGAAATGCAAAAGAGAACGTCATGTAGGGCCTAACTGTGAAAGAAATCCAGAAGCTGTTTTACAACCTGTCTTTAGAAGAACGCTGGAAAATGAGTTGAGTGTTGTTTCTCACAATCTAGGTCCTCTTAAAGCACTTACATGCATTGTGGCACATTTCACTTCGCAGAGGAGGCCACAAAAGGACATTTCAACGCATGTTGCCACAATGGACATGCCACAACCACAAGTAAATGACGAACTAAAAGAACTGTTTTTACATGATTCGAACTTCATAAAAAACATAAGGCAATACAACAGTGCAATGGCTTTTGCGTCGCTTTCCGGGAAATAGGCATTTACTGTCTTAAAATTCAGGGACAAATGCATAGATATATTTCTGACTTACTACCGCAAAATGGGGAGTTGCCTTCATAATAATTAATAATATTTTTAACCTTTACTTTTGGTTCTCAAAATGGAAACTATAACCATGCAGAATTCGTAAGATTACAAAACAAATCTTCAATTTTAAACTAGAAAAGCTGTGCAATGTTTGGCTGTACGATTTCAGCTCTGATTCGTCGTTCTCCGGGCTCAGGCCAAACCGTGTGCACGTTTCCATTTGTTAATAGGTTGTGTTATTGAATTAATCATTATTTTACAATTGTATTTTATTGACAAATCAGAAGCAACTAATATACGACTCCAACGGAAGGAAAACCAAGATATAAAACAAGAAACACTGTTAATTTTAAATAACACAAAATTGATAATTTTGAAAAATATTTCGAATATTTGTCTTATATATATGTTTTTTTTATTGTAGTCTAAATTAGGGGCTATGGCCCCTACAGGCCACTAGTATTATATATTCTCCTATTTTTTACTAGTAGGTGTACAATCTAAAAACGGGTTTAAAACATGTAACATTATTGCTAAAAATTCAACACATTTTAGAATTAGGCAACTATTTACTAGTAGGCCTACAATGCTTTGGTTCAAACTATTAGGCCTAGATAAAAACTTAGTCTATGTCATCGTATTTGTACACGTAAGTTGGACGGTTCAACGACGAACATTTCATTTTAAATCTATGAATTAGTTATGAAAGTTACGATAGTTGATGACTGTATTAATTAATGGTTTTGGTTTATTACGACATAACGATTAAATCTGTTTTCCGTGTTTGAGAACTTGCGTGTATTTTAGCTTAATTTCGTAGGGGTCTAATTATTTAGTACCAATTAAACTGAATTTTCAATATTTTTCATATTCTATTATTTTATTTTGTACTGATGGCATTTATTTTTAAGATCGAAATCATAAACATTTAACTAGCCATTGTACAGTTAAATAAATAAACACTTTTTCATGGTTTTTCAATTGTCTTTGAATTACTTTGGGCTAGTTATCTGTTAAAAGTGGAATTGATAACAAAAAACAATAACATTTACTGTATCTCCATTGACACTGACATTTTGAAATACGGCAGTGTACGATTATTTTGTCGAACAAGGTTGGCAACGCTCCGTGCAGTGGGCGCGGCCGGGTTAGCGACTTCCAGAGTTAGCGAATTCCGCCGCGAGACAAAATCGAGTTAGCGGGTTCCGGAGTTAGCCAATTCCTGTCTGAGACGGTTAGCCAGTTCCAGAGTTAGCCAGTTCCAACACACGACCGAGTTAGCGAGTTCCTGAGTTAGCCAATTCCTACGTCTCTAGCCGCCATTTTCCAATATGACGGTCAACTTTGAAATTTCTTATGCAATGCCCTATATTTTCATGTTTTCGGATAGAACATGCAATTTAAAAACTTTTTTATTCTTGACATTTTTTTGATAAACCCACTCGTTTAGGAGTTACAGCCTATGGAAAAATTACTTCCGGTGTACATTTTACATAATGTAGCTCCTAAACAAGTAGGTTTATAGCGAAATGCGAAGAGTAAATAAGTCAAATAAGTCTTAAAATTGCATCCACATTCCAAAAAGACTGTAAAATTCGTTAAAAATATTAATTCTATTATTTCAAAAATGGCGGCCATTTTCCAAAATGGTGGCAAACTTGAAAAGTGGAAAACTGAGTATTTTATGGTCTTTTTGGAATGTGGATGCAATTTTAAGACTTATTTGACTAATAATTCTTTTTAACTACGGGAATATCAATTTATAATTTATCAACGTGCTTCTCTTCTGAAACAGCAATACCGGATGCATGATGAAGGTCAATGACCTAAAATATCACCATTGTGCAATATTGTATTTTGATGTTGAAATTAAAATCACGTTTGTATTAATTAATTAAAAAAGTTTGTATATATCCATGGTCCCTATCGTTTAATCATTTAATATGTACACAATCAATGCTAAATAATCGTGGTTAGTTCTAACTTTATTTTTTATTATTCAAAGTTTCTACACAGTAAGACAATCCAAAGTTAAACCGGGCAATGAATACCCAAAAAACAACGTATCTTGTCCTGTGATTGGAATACCACTCGCCGGCCAGTCTTTTAGGTTTAGGGAAGTAGTGCAAGTCTATATATAGCTTCAAGGTCTTACCCACCCCTTCCCCCTCCGGTCCTACTTGACTCACTACCCGCGCTCCTTTCGAGGTCATTGCCCAACCCCTCCCACCCTTCTATTGTGTTGCCTTTCTATTGTTTCTATTCTGACTTTTTTTTGGGAAACATTAAATTTATTGTTTACGTAACATCACAGTAGTAGGCTAGATTTTTCTACTTTGAAACAGTACTGTAAAAAAACCTATTACGCAGCGCCCCTAGTATCAGGAGCGAGACAAGCACGAGTTGACTTTCATTTGACCATGGTAGTTCTTTTCTGCTTTATGTCTGTTCGTTCCAGATGAATCTAATCGTAAAGCAAAACAGCCGATAACGACTAAACTAGTTATTGGTATTGCATCATACGGCTTCTTTGTCGTTTGCTGTTAGGTCGTTGGAAACGTATTGCTGTAATTTGTCCTGGGAAACTAATGATGGTTATGGAGATTTAGTTTTCTGTCCAAAACTTCAAAATATATTGTCTATCCGAAAAAGTCGGATATATAACGGATAGTGTCGGATATCGAATTTGGGCTCGGTTCGGATATACCGAACCGAATCCGACCCGATTTTTCGGATATCCGCACACCTCTAGTTCAAGGTACCCCGGTCCTACGCAGCGCGTCATATACTATAGGGTCGGTCTCTAAGGGTTAATATATCGATATGAATATTTTATACATATATCTGTAATGGAGAATAATTTCTTTGTCTTAGTTTTACCCTCTAAATTAGTTAGTTGAGATTAGTTCTCTCAATTCACGTCATGTTTGTGCAAGTTTCAATTAGGGATGACTTCATTTCACAAACCAAAATTTTTTTTGTTTTACTCGGAGGAATTAAAATTATGAAGTTACTTTTGTTTTTTATCAGAGTGTAACGGTATTAACGTTAAATAATTAAACTTCAATTTACCTTATTATGAGTTTAAGAGAGGTAAAAAACAAGCAATGGGCTTTAACGGAATCACTGCAATTAGTGTACATGTATTAATTCAGATTCTCTGCTGTAGGTGATGAATTTATTGTTGAGTGGTGCTCGTCAGATGGCATCAATGGTCTGTGTTCACATCGAGCAGATGCTTCAGGAGTTGCGAGTTTTGAACAAGCAACATGCTCAAAACGAAGATCTAGATGATAGCTCAGTAGAGAGTAGAATAACCAGCCTCAAAGGCATACTTAGCAATAGGTAAGAGTTTTTGGAAATGCCATGCAACTGTGTTATTCCTTTTTAAGGTACAGTTAACTTACCAGATAGAAATATTGTCCTAAGGCTTTAGATGTGTATAAGAAAGTCTCTTGTAGTGATGGGTACTTGACGTCTAATGTCGGTTCCATCGGTTCTTGGGAAAAGTACCAGGAAATTTGTCATTTTTGGTTGGTTAAGTTGTTGTCACTATCGTCAGCTGATGGAGTTGTGCAATGCAAACATTGACTGCATTAATTGCTCACCAACCTCACCTTGGTCCCTAAAGGTAACATCCTAGGATAACTATTAATGGTGTGTATCACATTTTTTCTTTGTATAACCAAGACATGCATTGTTTTTGTGAATGCTCATTTTTTTAACTGCTGGTTGTGTTATTTCAGGTTTACCAAAGACACAGTTGTTGTTACTGCACCTAAGAAGGTTAAGGCAGGATTGGATCTCCAATTGAATTCAATGGCACCACTCATTTCTAAAACATCCAGCCAAGCATTCTTCCTACGTATCCTCAAAGTGATAGTACAGTTAAGAGAATCCGTCCGTAACCATGATAGGAAGAAACGAAAAGCTGGTGAGTGTTTTCAAGTATCAAATGAATATGCACATGGGACAGTGTCAAACTAAGTAGTGTAGATTTAAAATAAAAGATCCAAAACAATTTTCTAAATCTTGGCAACAAATTTCTTATACATTGCCCTTCCACAAATTTCCTTATACGAATCTATAAGTCCAGACTTTGCTTTTTATTTAGCTTTTTTGTAATTTATTTAATTTTACCATTAGTTTATGATTAGTATCCATTACAAGCCCTGTATTTCGTTGAAAAGTTACATTGCAGATCTGACAATGATTAATATTTACAGCTGAAGCCCAACAGAGTGAGCAAGCCACACTTCAGCCTGATTCTGAGGGTACAGAATCGGCACCCTCTACACAGCCCAGCACCAGCTCGTCGGCTAACACTGGAGACACGGCTATGGACACAACACAGGCAGGAGGTGAAACTAACAACCAACAAACCACTACTGCTATGGACACCAGTCAGTGGCGACCCACGTCTCCAACCCATCCACCACCACCTCACGCGCAGAGGCTCGATCCTCACACTGCTAGAATGTTGTCCAGAATATTCAGAGCTAATACTGAGGCCCTGCAAGCTACTAGAGGTGTTCCCCAATCTCCTACTAGTAAGTATGAGTTGTGGACATAAAATGACGAGACTAGTTTTCCAAGAGACAAACTGTGTGAACCCCAAGGTCAAATGCCATATTTCCGAGTTGCCTGACTTGCCCCCTTTCCCTTCCACATTCCATTCCATTTGACGACTCTAGGCTGTTTAGTTCAGCCACAGTCTTAGTTTGTGTTAGATCAAGTGTTTGATTCTTGTTGAAAAATTGTATAGGCCCTAATTGAGAAATGTGCCATCAGGGCCGAGCTTACCTATGGGCGGACAGGGGCCCCTCTGCGCCAAAAAATTAATTAGGCGCTTACCGAATGGCCTATCTAGTTTAGTGGTGGCATAGTTGAAAATTACAATGGTGGGAAACTATTACGAATACCGCAAATTACCGCGATCGCAAGAAATTATGAGAGCCGTTGCCACAATTGGGGGAAATCATCACAAATTTTGCCACGATTGAATTGAAATATGATCCAAGATAATGGCCGCGATCGCAAAAGATTGTCACGAGCATTGAGATAATGGTGGATGTTGCCGCAATCGTGTAAGACACTTACAACCTTACTGCAATTCTGGCGTTGCCACGATCATGTGGATTCATCATGAACCACGCCGAGATCCCAAAAAATAGTCACAGGTTTGAACAAATCGCTGGAGACGATCGCGGGTTTTGCCGCAATCGTGTGAAATCATCACAGGTCTTGTCCTTATTGCCGCGGTTGTGTAAAATAAAGGGGTCCACATGGTCGCTTGGAAGATAAAACGAATGCTGCTACCATCAGAAGACATTATCACATGACATTTTTGTGGATTTGGTTGTGATAGTAAGTACAGTAATGATTACAGAACTGCTGTGATCGCGGGTAATCATCACAGATTGTTGAGACGATTGTAGGAAATTCCCACTTTTTCTGGTGAATTTTATTTTAGAGCACGGGCACTGTCTTTAATCTGTATTGCCACAGATTAAGGAACGATAATATCTATGGTATTACGGTTAAAAATAAATTTTAAATAATCCTTATAGGCGTACTACGTGCTATTTTATTTTCATTTTGACAGATTTTTTGAATTAGGCTATTTGTTGCAAAGGATATTACACTTTAATCTTTGACTATTGATACAATTAGAGTTCAGTATACAATAGTCAATGGAATTAGTAGATTTCTCATCCTTATGTAACAGCTGAAGCCAATTTTATTGTTAGTTCTGTCCGGTACACTGTAGAGGTCGTGTTTAGTTTACAATTTGTTTCTTGTTATTTCAGTAATTTAAAACCTCGTTTAACCAAATAAAACGATCCAATCATAATCAATAACTCGTACCCTAGTTATATAACCAAACAGTAAATCACAAATCATGAAATTAACCCTAAAATAACAGAAACACAATTTCGTAAACACTTGAGATCAGTGTCACTGGACATGAACTTGACACAAAAAACGAGCTTCAAAATTTTCAATGGGATGAGAAGTCTACTTGTGAATACATGCCTAGTAGACACTCAGCACTGCACGATGAAATTGGAATGAAGTGTAGTTGAAGACTAAAATTTTTTGTGGATTTAACGATAATTTATGTAAACAATTCTCAAAAACACAAATCCTTTGTGACAATGAAATAATTAAATACTCTGATGTCTTTGGAAACAGTCAGTTTTGATTTACAAAATGGTAAATGGTGGTACAAATTGGAGTGTTTCACCACAAATCTGTTAACTATTGGGAACCTACCTGTAGTGACTAGCCGTGTAGTATTAACCATATGTTCATGTTTATAGCCTCAGAAAACGTGGTGGTGATCAATATGTGTGAGGAAGAAACACCTCTACCTCCACTTAGTGAACAGCTTAACCTGGATATTCTGTGGAACACTCTCAGTGAATGTCTCACAGAGTTGCAACACACCAATGACAGCCATGCTGTATTGGTGCTACAGGTTTGTCATTTTCTCAAGTACTATTAGTTTGAAATTTGAATTGATTTAATTGAAATCTGTAACCAACATTAAAATCAACTGATTTAATTTTTTTTTTATGTTTGATAATAATTAGAGAAAATTTGGGTTCAGTACTGTTATAGTTGTTTACGCAACGATCACGTAAATATAGTGTTAACAACATAAATAGAAAATTTAAGGTACGAGCCTTGGCAAGTGCCCTAAAAACGTGTTGTTAAAACTATTTATGCGAGTTGCCTACACTACTTTACCTAAAACAATCGCTACCCATAACTTCTAAGAGAGGTTATGTTTTCGTTTATAACCTCTAAGTGCAACTGACAGTGTGCAACCAATCATTGTACCAAACACTGTACCAACATTGTAATGTCACCATTCATTAAAAATTGGTCTAAACAGCTGATTAGTTGACATTCGATGCATTACAATTTTAATTCTTTTCTTTCAATCCTTGACCCTCATTGGTTCATTAACTGTATTGTAAAGTAAAACAACAATGCTGTTAAGAACTGAAACGGTCGTAGGTGAAATATATTTCATATAAATATGAAATATATCTCCCGTGAAATATATAGGACCACGGGAGATGATTATGAGGTCTACACGACCGCCGGAGATGATCAGAATTTGGCCACGATGGCGGAAAACGATGATAATGTCCACATGGCTAAAGTAGATGTTCGTGATTTCACAGCAATCTCGGGAGACGATGATGGTGTTTCTGATACCGCTGAGTGATATTCAGGATTTTTTCGCGACCGCGAAAGACCGTGATTATGTTTCCATGACTGAGGAAGATATTCAGGATTTTGCAGGGATCCCAGAAGACGACAGTTAATCTCAATGTTGGCGATGATCAAACAAATTATTTTATATTTTCTTTGTCTTTACTATTTACTGAAATTATACTTGGATTACAGCCTGCTGTTGAAGCGTTTTTCCTGGTACATGCGAGTGGTATGGATAAGACTGACCAAAGGGGAGACACCAGGAATAGCAGTGAGCAGCCCATTGTGATAGAGGAGACGCCCGCCACCTCCCAACAGTCGCAGCAAGGCTTGGGTCTAGACGGACTGACACAAGCCCCTCCACCAGTTTCCCCCCTCCCCACTGAGCCTACCAATGACCCTTCTTCGTCTCAGGCGTACAACTACTTCCCGACGACTCAATCTTCACAAGAGTCTGGCCCACCTGTCCCTCCGCATCAACTCAAGTTCCTCAAGTTCGCAGGTAACTGTTTGTAACTGTCAGTAATTAATCAGCTACTTTTGCCTATTGTTGTAGACATCCATACTCATGTTTCAGCTGTCACCAGTTTTAGAATAAATATTAAGGTTGTTGAATTAAGCCACTGATAAAGTTTGCTGGTGTAAATAACAGATTTCTGTTTAAAACATTTATTTTTTTAAATCAAGTCAAACTGATAGACCTGTCTAAATTAAACTGTAGTATCTTGATGCAACATCAACTAGGCCCAGATCAGTTACAAAAGTTAAAGAAGAAAATAAATTTTGTTTACTTTGTAGGTCCATAACAATGAAAAACATTACTAGAACATGGTGTCTCCTCTCTGGGAAATTCGGGAAAACCGGGAAACCTCCGGGAATTTTATCTTACCTTGAAATGTCCTGGAAAACTCCAGGAATCCACCCAAACCTCCGGGAATCCGGAGCCGAGTCATCGGAATCGTCGCCTAACCGAAACACTATCGCTTTTGTTGCCACGATCGCGGGAAACGATTATCGGTGTTGCCGAAACCGCAAGATATGCTCACGGGTATTGCCGCGATCGCGAGTGACGATTATCGGTGTCGCCGAAACCACGTGAGATGCCTACGGGCGTTGCCGCGATCGCGGGAAACGATTATTGGTGTTGCTAAAACCGCAAGATATGCTCACGGGTATTGCCGCGATCGCGAGAGACGATTATCGGTGTTGCCGAAACCACGTGAGATGCCTACGGGTGTTGCCGCGATCGCGGGAAACGATTATTGGTGTTGCCGAAACCGCAAGATATGCTCACGGGTATTGCCGCGATCGCGAGAGACGATTATCGGTGTCGCCGAAACCGCAAGATATGCTCACGAGTATTGCCGCAATCGCGAGAGACGCGTGAGATGCCTACGGTTGTACCGCGATCGCGGGAAACGATTATCGGTGTTGCTAAAACCGCAAGATATGCTCACCATGGGTATTGCCGCGATCGCGGGAGATGATAACTGGTGTCGCCTTACCTACCAGTTATAGTGTTTTATTATGTTGTATAAAATATTATTCTTTGGAAATGTTTTGTTTCAAATAATAATAATCATTATTAATAATAATAATAGCCTACTAATAATAATTTTCATTTATTAGCGGGTTGCGATTAGTTAAACGGGTTCCGATAGTAGCTCCTTAAAATTCAGGAATTTGTCTTGAATTCTCCTGGAAAACTCCTTGAATTTTACAAACCAGGTTTAGTAGACACCATGTAGAAATATTTGATAAGATGATATTAATACCAAAAGACAGTTAATAAATTTAAGAATAAACTTAAAAATCAATCGTGTGTTCTGTAGTCTGTAATGTGTGAGTAGTAAATCAAATCTCAAATTTGAGAAAACTAAAATAATAAAATTTGCAAGACATTAACTCTTCCCTGATATTAACTATTCATAATATACATACCATAACACCTTAATTAGGCTTTCCAATGAATAATTTTGTTCATATTTGTTTATAGAAACACACAGGACTGTGCTTAACCAGATCCTACGACAGACGACTACACCACTGCTTGAGGGACCCTTCGCAGTTCTCGTCAATCATACACGAGTACTTGACTTTGATGTCAAGCGACGCTACTTCCGTGGAGAGCTCGAACGTGCAGACGAAGGCCATCGCCGCGAGGAGTTGGCGGTTCACGTTAGAAGGACCCAAGTGTTTGAAGACTCTTTTAGAGAATTACATAGAAGGACTCCTGAGGAATGGAAAAACAGATTTTACATAGTTTTTGAAGGTGAGTTGAATTTCAGCCTTGGCAGCGGGATAGATAATTACAGTCATCCCCTTCACATGACGTCACCACGTTCAGCGTTTGCTGCACTCTTTGCATGGGGCAAATCAACGTATTTGGGATAACCGGAAAAATTCCACCCCCCCCCCCCTCACCATTAAAATTAGGCCCGTTACATTTTTGTCTTAGGAATAATATAAAACTGTTTATTTTGTATGTAGCCTACATTGTTTTTACCAAATTTCCCGTATAGGGAATAAGCTATTACTGTTGGACTCATAGTAAGACCTGGACCCAGGGCCCATTTACTTTTTCGTTTTGAGGTTCCCAGAGGCCATTAACCCGCTCCGTTAAATTCATGTTAAATTCTGTTAGCGCGGTAACTCAAGCAAAAATAATCCGATTTTGATTAAATTTTGTACATAGGCCTACATGTAAACCTACGTTTATTCAAACAAGTTCGGGAACCAGGATGATCGGACTATAGGAATCAACATTTTTTGGGGCTTTTCCAATTTTCGGCCATATAAAGATTAAATTTCAAAATTTATTTTAAAACTATTTTGTTGATTTTAATTAAAGAAATAATTTTATATATTGAAGCGGTATTGTATGCCTAATGGTTGTGGGGAAAACACAAAAGAGTGTTAATTAAAAATGTCCATGTCATTCTTATGGGGAATAAATAAACTGTTGTAGTTTGCTTGTTTATGAATTCATACTAAGCTATCAACATTTCAATAAAAAAAACCTCATTAACTTTCCTTTGGCAGCAAACCTAAGTACTCATTAAAATGACTGACAATTTTAAAGGAATATGTTAGTTGAAATCTAGCCCGGAAAATGTGAATTCGCTTAGCCTGCAGGTTTGCTGCAATGGGGGTATTTTTATTTGCACTGAAAACTGATGTACTTTGTTACACTTTTGTGCTGATATTCTTATTGTGCATTTCAGGTGAAGAGGGACAAGACGCAGGTGGTTTACTTAGAGAATGGTATATGATAATATCTCGTGAGATCTTCAACCCTATGTACGCTCTATTTACCACGTCACCCGGGGACAGAGTTACCTATATGATCAACCCCTCCTCACACTGCAATCCTAACCATCTCTGCTACTTCAAGTTTGTTGGCAGAGTTATCGGTAAGTATCAATTCAGCTCATCGGTACAACAAAATGTATAACTAGTAGACTCCCTCTAGTTCGGCCACCTCGGGACCGGACCACTGGCTGAGGGCCATCAATAATCCGGATAACTGAAAACCATGGTTAATCCAACATGGCATAAACATTACATACCCATAAAACACCTAATACTGTATAAAATGGACGTTAATGTGATAATTAATTTGCATTTTACATAATCAAAATACAAATAATAGTATTGCGCAATCGTGATATGTTAAGTCATTAAACTTGGTTCAGTAATAAAAACTGTAACGGTTAAAATAACGCTTACTCAAGCAAAACAAAAATTACACAACACTGTATGTACAGCAATCAATCACGTAAAGAACAGAACAATTGAGTCAGCATAGGCTACTTCTACATGTTGTTTCGGAACATAAGAATGTCGATAAAAACATTACATAACTCATAAAACAGCATAAAATCATAGTACTTAAGTCTTAAAGATAATAACGGCAATCCTAAAATAGGATAAAGATAACAATGGATGACGTAAAACACCGCTTATTCTTTCTTCTTTGTTCTTCTATTTATTCTTTGGTTTCTCTTCATCCACACATTCAACAAGTTGCCATGGTTACTAATCACCCAATCACAAACTGTTGTGAGATAGCAAGCGCACAGAAGTAGTAGACAGTTAAGTGTAAAGAGCAGATGATTGTCAGTGCAAGCGGATAGCTTGACCTTGAAGATAACGATGGCTATTTCTTTGTTTTGCTTTAATTTATTTTTGTCAAATAAACCGTGGTGTTTAAAAACAATAATGGGGGAACCTCAGGGACATATTTCCAAATAGGCGGACTAGGCAAATTTTAGAGGCGGCACAATTTTGGAGGTTAAAAAATTAAAAAGGGAGGTTTTAATCTAAAAAAACAAACGTTTAGCAAATAATTCTGGCAACAGAAAAACATCCATTTGAAATATTTGAATTATGTATAAAATTATTTCAGAAGTATTTAAGTCAAACAAAAGTCAATAGTTTATTACACGGCTGTGCTGAGTTTTCTGTGCTGCCCTATTAATTGGTCTGGCGGACACGCGCGCTATGTCAGCGTAGTGGGGAACAAAGAAAACACTTCCCTCTGTTTACTTCATACTTCATACGGCACTAACTAGTCACTACGGCAGCGCTAGCTGAAAGGTTGAAAAATTTGAAATAAGGAAAGTGTGAACAAAATACTTACTACTGTACTAACTTAACTCATTTAAAATTATATATTAGTCTAATATTCTATTAAGAAAAAGTACGTACTTTTTTCTTTTCGATTCATGCTTTTTTTATTTTTATAAAACTGTTATGAGGAAACATATTTGTTTCATTTAAAAGCCAATAGCATGTCTCTCTGGTGGATCTGACTAAAAGTATCCAATGAAAAGCCTTATAAGAGCCCTTGTATACAGATGATTTTGTGTGCCGTTTGACGCCGCAAAACGTGATTATAATTACTGATTGCATTCCATGTATCCAAGCCAGGATCACGTTTTGCATAAAAACGGCACAAAAACGTCTGTTAAAAGGGCTCAAAAAGTTATTATTTTTTTTATGCAGCATGCAATATTGCCGTTTATTTTTCTACAAAATCAACTGACAGGGCATGTATTGGCCATTGGGGTGATAATAGTGAGGTCGGGGAGTGCGCTGAAAAGTGGTGGGGGGGGGAGGCACACTTCGTTGCCTAGAGGCGGCAGATACTTAAATACGTCCCTGGGGAACCTACCGAGTAAAAAATGGTCTGAAATATTTAATTATGCACTCCATTTCAACATATAAGACTGAAGAAAAACTATTTATAAAATGTTCTTGGTATTTTGAGGTTATGTAACATAGTTTTACATAGGTAATATCCAACAATTCACCCATAGAAGCACCCGCCAACTAAAATGACATGAATTGTTTACTTCTATGGCCAGAAACGAAACATTTAAGTTGAATCCTGTCGAAGGTCATTCGCCCGTAACGATATGACTTGTCCCCCTGAGACCGGGCCGGACCATCCAGTGGCCGATCCAACCGAAGCCGAACTAGAGGGAGTCTTCTGTGTTTGACTAACTTTAATCAGACTTTAAATTTGAAAAATATGATATTAACTTAATCTAGTAGGCAGAAAATCATAATATTTGCAATATACTATCTAAATGAAGTTTTTCCAAACATACATAACAAATATCTGTTTGTTTTGTTGCAGCTAAAGCAATCTACGACAACAAATTGCTAGAATGCTACTTCACTCGTTCTTTTTACAAACATATCTTAGGAATTCTAGTCAAATATACGGACATGGAGAGTGAAGATTATAGTTTCTATAAGGGTCTGATCTTCCTCATGGAGAACCATGTGGACATGCTGGGCTATGAGCTAACATTCAGTACGGAGGTGAGTAACTTTGTCCTCACCACTTAACATAGCTTGCCTTACAGTTTAAGAACAGAAATCTCCTTCTGGACTGCTGGAAATTCAGGGTTAAGTAACATCTCTTTACTATATATTGGTAACTATGAATGTTACCTAGATCATAGAAATTAAGTATTCTTATAACTAACTTAAAAGTGATTTGCAATGAAGCAGCCATTCATAACGGAATAGTTCATTTTTGACAATTAATTGTATTTTTAATTTAGGTTAGAATTTGGTAGCCACACTTCTTTGCATACTGTTCATTATGGAGTAGCTACAGTTTTTTCATACCTGTATATGTTTGTGACCCACCTATAATATTGCAGTTGAATTCTGACATGGATTTTTTTTTTGTTTATAAAAAATCATCTAGAAAAACAACCATGAATAAGAGTTAAGAGTGTGACAAACAGTGTGTTTTTAAAAGAATGCCGGGATTTTAAATGGTAATTGCTTGGATACTATTCAAGGTAACTAAACGTTTTATACGTCAAATTAAAGCTAAAATAACTAAGTTTTGTTTCCTGTGTTGCAAGGGAGGAAATGTTGACCTTGGTATGCGTAAAACAGGTGCGGGGTGATAGGCCGCTATTGTGACTCATACGCCTGACGCCAGTCGCCAGTACGACGTTTATGGCGCAACAGAAGGCACAGATTGTAATCTGTAGTTCACAGAGTTTATATCCATTGCTAAATTAAACTAAATTTAAATCTACTTGATGATAAAGAAACTTGAAGCTGGTTTAATGAGTTTTGTGGCACCGAAATGTTTTGAAAAGACATTCACCTGGCCGGCTAAAAACAAGCGATGACATAGCCGAAGAAATCCGACAATTCTGCATCAGAAGCCCGAAAAGTTTGCCCGACGAAGTCTTCGGTTTAACGAACATAAATTGGTAACTTTATGATGCTACTATAAAATATAGAGTCTTTGTACCGAAAAAGATTCAGTTAAGACAACAGATAAACCTGCCAATCGCCCTACGCGTACAGACTTTGCCAGTTTTACGCTCATATAAGATTGATTAAAATTTCAATTTTAATTAATCATTCCGAATTGTATGAAAGAATGAGAAAAAAACTGTATTCTATTCCCTCCAATTCGACGTTTAAATCGTTTAATTATCTTGAATAGTCCCCGAGCAACGATCGTTTGAAATCCCGGTATTCTTTTAAAAACACCCTGTATTGTTCATTCCTATAGCAAAAACTAAATGTTATATGTAACAAGATTTTTTCTTTGGAAAGGGATTGAGTTGAGCTAGCTTACCTGAGAAAATATCAGTTCAGGAGCTTATAGATAATATATATTGTACGATAAAATGTCACAAAACATAACACTTGATATGTAGTCCTAATAAAGGACCTGTTCAGACAGTAGATAGTAGAAGTGTAACCTGATGCTCATCACAACACATTGTCATTATAGGTGCAAGAGTTTGGTGTTACTGACGTCAGAGACCTACTACCAAATGGTCGTAACATTATTGTTACAGAAGACAACAAAATGGATTACATACGACTAGTCTGCCAGATGAAGATGACTGGAGCCATCCGAAAACAGTATGTTCTTTAGATCAATCTGTAATTTGTAATGTAAATTATGTTGATACTAGTGATGTGTTTGTGCCACTTGAACCCGTTCTGTAAAAGTAATGTTGCGGTTTTTTACATGATATATTTATGTCATAAAAAAATGTTAGTTGCACAAATAGTTGTCAATTTTTGCTTAATTAAGGGTGTCAGTTATAATATTAACTCTGTAATAAAATGCTAAACCAAGTTCAAAGAATTTAGGACTTAATAGCTTACTTTGTAAGTATTGTAGTTTATAATCACAAATTCAATAAATTTATTACTATACAGGGTGTCCAGCCAACCATGAAACCAGGGAAACCATGAATTGTACATGAATTTTGATGACCCGAAAAACACCTGTGATTTAGGGATGGACGAGATTGGATTTTTAGTTTGAGACAATACGGGATTTTTTATTTTTCATAAAATTTTAAGACGGGATTTCCCTTCTCATACATATGGGAAATGTACGTTTGACATTTTGACCTTATTTTAACATTGTTAAATACCTACTGATTTATGACAGATGACTGGTTATATTAATGTTAAAAGGCTAAAATATTTCAAATCTTTTATTAAAAAACCTCAATAAAAATCAACATTATAAAAAAATATATTAAATTAGGCCTACCTTATAAAAAATAACTCTTACGCAATGAAAACATGGTGATATCAGTTATGATATGGTTCAACTTTGAAAAAAAAAATTATCAGTCTGAAACATCTGTTAGTAAAGTACATTTTTTTTGTCTTTTGCTATAGAATGATTTTGGATTAACTTGTTTTGGCTATATTTGCATAGTAAAACATGTCTCACACTGCTTACACTTAACAAAACTTCTCATCATTTGCAATGTCAAAACAAAAAATTATAAAACAATTTAAGCAATATTTGCATACAAAGAATTAATTAAATAAGTACGCCTTCGCTAAGGAAACTCAACAACACGCTCCTGTATTGGGGGTATTGCATTGACTTTCTGCAGATGTAATTTTACATTAATAAAATCTCATCTCGTAGGACAATAATTAAAATTTCTAAAAAAATTCAAGATCTGTCCATCCCTACTATGAAATAAAAGAATTTTGTATAGTTTGGATTTATTAGTCAGCCTATGGTTGCTGCCATTGGTCCATCTGTAGCCGTTCTCAGTCTCCGCTACCACAATACCAAGCCACAATACCAAGCGATCAATATGCCCAAGCTCATTTGGCACCAAAGTAGCAGTACCGATATTTAAACATCAATTTAAAAAAAGACAGAAAACACCAATAATTGATCAAGAATTATTCTTGGTATCTGTAATTTTTCCAACAACCGTTGAAACCAAAAATTGCCTTCTTGTATCGACACATCACTAGTTAGTATTGATCAAATTAGAGTTTCCAGTTGTTTTTTTACTAGAGTTATGAGCAAATATTTTTTGTACCTTCCAATACTTCTGATTGAATGACCTCACTTGGTGGGATTAAAAATAGTAAAGATGGCAGTGGCTCAGTTGGCAGTCCACGCCTTAATTTTTGTTTTAAAAAATACTATGCACAAGTACATAAGCAGTTAAAAATGTTTCCAGTAGTTTAAAAATGGGAAGTTTTTAATTTAGGCGCTGTTAGGGTGATGAAATAAATATTCTATATCCTAGAATTAAGGGTAATACAATTAAAATTTTGAAATTTTATATGTCTATCACATATTGTCTTAGACTTTTTATTAATGAAAAACATAATTTCCAGGCTAAACTCTTTCTTGGAGGGATTCTACGACATAATCCCCAAGAGGTTGATCAGCATATTCAACGAGCAGGAGCTTGAGCTGTTAATATCAGGGCTTCCTAATGTTGACATAGAGGACCTGAAGGCAAATACAGAGTACTACAAGTATCAGCCAAACTCACTGCAGGTAACAACAAGAACAACAGTTGCCTTTTTTCTGTTTTTTTAATATTTATTGAAAGTGTGTCTTGATTTTTAATATTTAGTTTAGAACAAGGTTCAATCAACTCATTGATTAGTGCAAGTTAGCGATGTCTGATTGTTTGTTTAAAATATGGCAATAAAAGCCAGAATCTCTAAAATTGGCCATTTGATATGATTTGCTATAAAAATTATGCTTTTCTAACCAAATCTGCAATAAGCCGATGTTCTAATAATAGGAATGGGTTGTTTAATTCTATGTGCTCACCTACTAATCTGAAAGTCAATTCAGGGCCTAGGTGCTAAATTACATGCTCTTGGAATCAACTGTTAAAAAAAGGCCAAGTTAGATAGTAGGGGAGTGAAATGCATCGAAAATTCATTGAAATTCCGATTTGTTTCGATTTGATGCATCGAATCTCGCTTCGATTCAGTGGTGGTCAAAAAACGATTCGATTCATGGGGGATTCAGTATCCATATACGAAAAAACGCCTTCAGAAAGTAAATGCAATACAGGAGCTTGTTGATGTTGCGTTTCCTTTTCTTATTTAATGAATCTGTTGCATGAACTATTGCATTAATTGTTTTATAATTTTCTGTTTTGACAAATTGCAAATAATTGGAAGTTTTGTTAAGCATAAAATTAGCTGTGTGAGACATGTTTTACTACTGTAAGCATAGCCAAAACAAGTCGCTCCAAAATCATTCTAAAATAACACAAGTCTGAAAAATTGTATACTGAACTAGTAAGACTGATGTTTTAGACTGATAAATTTGGTATTTGTGTGGGTCTGAAGCTATGTATACCTTGTGAAGTTTGTAGGTCTGATTCCATTTTATTTATCAGGTTTACATTGATAAAACTCTTCAGAATTTATCAATGTAAATCATTGAAAGTTTCTGTATAAATCTTAAAAATGTTTTAATTTGTTTACACTTAGACATCTTCATTTCTAAAATCAATATTATGAAATAGGCTAGGCAAGCAGCTCACTGACATTTCCAGCAATACAGGTTCTTCTAATATATGATTGAAAATAAATTATTTGTTCACCTAAAATTCATATATGTCTTATGTATGAATAGGCCTAATCTCACATGAACAAAAATTTGCGTTACAAAAATGTGGTAAATTCTAATTATTGTTATTTCACTCTATTGACATGAATAGAAAAGTGCCGTATTGCTTTGAATCAAGTTGCATCGATTCAAATTGAAAATCTTTTGAATCGAATCAAACATTTTTTGCTGCATCGCACACCCCTTAGATAATAACAAGACCATAGTAACATAGTAACATGAGTGTAGATAAATTTGAAAATAAAATAATAACATAAAACACCATATTATTTGTGATCAAAAGATCAATGCAGAATGTAAGCGTAAGTTAAATATGGCTGGAATGCATTCATTGCACATCTGAGATGTATTGATTTTTGTTTGTAATGTATGTATATGTTGTTATATTGTTTCACTTGTTTCGCTATTGTATTAACGTCTTGCCATAATTTCCAGATCCAATGGTTCTGGCGAGCACTGCGGGAGTTTGATCACGCTGACAGAGCAAAATTCCTACAATTTGTCACAGGGACATCCAAAGTTCCACTTCAAGGGTTTGCTGCCCTTGAAGGCATGAATGGTGTTCAAAAGTTCCAGATCCATCGTGATGAACGGTCCACAGATCGTCTACCCTCAGCCCATACTTGGTACGTACCTAACAAAATGGGTTAATGAAAAAGAAACCTTTCCTTAATAGATGCTCAAATACAAATAGTAAATAAGTGTAAAATATTTGTAAAACTGGTTTACACAACATCATTTATAGCTTTGGCTGCAAGTTGGAGCCAACAATATTTTTTCAGTATAATTAAACTGTCTTCTGGTCATATTGTACTAGTAGTCATTTGTGGAGGTAAAATTATAGGGATTTTTTACAGGTTAAATTGTAGTTTGAAGAAAATGTTATATTCAATAATAGTTGCTTTCAGAACCGTGGAAAAAATATCTTAACACGTTCACTGCAAAAGACGAGTAATCTTGTCACCGCTGGCCTTTTCTAGTGGCGTGCAACGAGTATACTCGTCAAAGTGCCGTTTACAAACAATTGTTCTAGTGTGAGGTTAGCCTCTGTCGTGAGACGTTGTTTCGCTTGCCGCTTGTTGTGCCAGTTTTATACTTCAAACTGGTATAGTTCGTTTTCAGATTTGACTAATTTATCGGTGGTAGGGATTGTTTAAAAAAAATATTGTAGTATGGGCTTAAATCTAATGACATGCAATAGAACAACGATAATGTATGTACTGTAGCATTGTGGAAGGAACCTAACATTGCTTGGCCATTTTCTTGCGGTATTTTTTTATGGTGTATCCGGGTAATTCACCCGTGCTTTTTCCTTCCATTTGGCCATACTGAGGACCGCATAGCAGGATTGTTTAGAGCTGCTATCTGTTGGGTTCTTGTAAAACTACGTCCTCAACAACTGGTACGCAGTATATGTCTCTTATTTACATTAAACTAAATTTAAACGTTTTCGCGCACTCATCCACGCAGCGCATTAGCTGTTCACACCACCGGCAGTGGCCGGCCATCGCGCAGCCATTGAACGTGTTAAATGTATAGTACTGCACTCAATGAAACTAGTATAACATGGATCAATGTTTAATAGAATTACCTCTTTCATCTAGAATTTTGAGCTATTCCTCAAAACTTGTTGTATAAGCAGTTGGAGACTATTTTCTTGATTTTGCATTGTCTGTCTGTGTTTCAGCTTTAACCAGTTAGATTTACCTGTCTACGAGACTTATACGAAGCTAAGGACCTATCTTTTGAAAGCCATCCATGAGTGTTCAGAAGGCTTCGGATTTGCCTAAACAAGATCGCAAGTTAGGGTTAAAATTTGAGACTGAGAAAACATTTTGGAAAAAAAATCCTTGCTGAATTAATTATTACTATTTTGTGCCCAAAAGAGCTTGTTATAACTTCAGTGATAGTTACAATACAATACAAATATTTTTTGTTTAAAGCTTAGCGCCTTGTTTTTTCACCTTCATTGTTAATAGTTAATACTATCCATTCATGTGATGTTATTCACTGTCCGTATTTTTTCTTTGAATCATCATAATGAAAATTTGTAATGTATTGTTTATATATTGAAGTAAATAAAGTAATAAAAACGTTGGAGATTAAACTTTAAGTGCTCCATACTGGTTTCCATGTTACATCATTCGCATTGTTAAGGCATGATTGCAACACATTTCTGTAACATCGGAATGTCCAAATGTCACGAAGTTAGCATAATTTGTTTATTATATGTAAAAAGTTACGTTTTGTATTTTGATGTTTATTTGATTAATTTAAACTAATACTTTATTTTCATATGATTTAAGTAATTGAAAGTTGTTGACAAACTATATAGAAATTAAAGTTTTTTAAATGGTGTCTTTCTATTTTATTGCCTTTTTACATTGATTTATTTAATTGCTATCTCTATGTTATATTTTAAGTCCATGCCATGTGGACTTATATGAGTCCAGGGACATGTACATGTAAAAAGGCACATAGAACACTGATACTTGGATACTTACTTTACTTGGATACTTGGAGAATTCCCACTGGTATCGCATCAGCGACGTGGTCGTCAGGTTTTTATACATTTCTTCATATTTACTTATATAGATGGATTCATTTCCTCTTCAAGATTGTACATGGCCTAGACATATATCTCATCAACACTGTAGTAGGCCTCTTGACTTAAGAATGTTTTTAGCAGGTTCTTGAATTTGCTGACAGAGGGCTCTTGTGTGATGTACTGAGGCAATTTATTGTAAATTTTTATACTATTGAAGTAAGGGCTCTTGCTTGCAAGGGTGGAATTTACTTGAGGTACATGTGGATTTGTTGCTCTTCTTGTATTGTAATTGTGGACCATGCTGTTTGTTACAAAAATATTGGGGTTCTTCTTAACAAGCAATGCGGATTCCAATATAAAGAGGGACGGAAGTGTGAGGATGTTCAGTTCTTGGAACAAAGGTTTACAGTGTGTCCGTCTATGAACTCCACATATTCTTCTAATTGCACGCTTTTGAAGGATGAAGATGCGTTTTGCCTCACTACAACCACCCCAAAATACCAAACCATATGAGATTATGCTATGAAAACAGCCATAATAAACCTTAAGGAGAATCTCGATGTCAACCAGCTTTTGAAGTCTAAACAGCAGGTAGGTGACAGATGACAGTCTGGGCGCTATTGCATCGACATGTGTTCCCCAATTAAGGTTCTCCGTAATGTGTAGGCCCAAGTATTTGGTTTCACTACAGGTTTCAAGTAGCACCCCGTCCAAGGTCAATATCGGAGGTGGTTCAGGCTTCTTCCTGTTATAAAATTCCATTAATTTAGTTTTACTAGAATTAAGGACCAGATGATTTTCGCTACACCAAGTAGACATTTCAAGCAAGCCAGTTTGGGCGTTTTCAATCGTGATGTTCCGATTTGGGCTTGGGACTAGGTGACAGGCGTCATCGGCAAAAAGCCATAAATTTCCAGATGATATGGAGCCAGGCAAGTCATTCACGTATAACAGGAATAGGATGGGCCCAAGGTTTGATCCCTGGGGGACACCGATGTTCAGAGCTGGTGATGGAGACGATTTATATGTCCGAAGGATGTTGTCAGGGCCTCTGTGCTTCAAGGATACAATCATGTGCCGATCTTTAAGATACGATGAAATCCATCGCAGTGGGTTTCCAGAAATGCCAAGCATTCGCAGCTTATCCAGAAGGATCCTGTGGTCAAGAAGATCAAAAGCCTTTGTCATGTCGTAAAAGAGACATAGTAAGCTGTCAGATATGTCAAGGTGGTTATATACTTCCTTTAAAAGGGCAAAAATGGCATCACAGGTAGACATGTTTTTTCTGAACCCAAATTGGTTATTTGACAAGATGTTATTTGTTTCAATAAAACTTAGCAATCTTTTAAGGAAAATAATCTCAAAGATTTTACCAAAACAAGGCTGGACAGAAATAGGCCGGTAGTTACTTGCGTTAAGAGGATCATTTTTCTTAAATACAGGGACAACCTTTGAAGTTTTCAACGAATCAGGAAAGCAACCAGTTTCAAACGACTTGTTAATAGCGCAGGCCAATGCTTCAAAGATGTTTTCATTGCAAAGTTTGAGAAGGCTGCATGGGACTTCATCAATGCCAGAACTTTTTTTTGATCCTATTAATAAGACGACTTCACGAACCTCAGACGCAGAAGTAGGAGACAGTACAAAGCGACTCGCTTCGAGATCAGTGGGCAACACAGGGGCTACATTATCTTTAGCCAACGTACATATTTCCTGGTGAAAAGATTTACAGAAATAGTCTACTATTGTCTGAGGATTTTTGACTTCCACGTCATCGATCATAAGAATCAGGTTTGATTGGGTCTGATACTTTTCATCGCACAGTGTACGGACCACTGCCCAAGATTCCTTGCTTGTGTTTTTGGAATTTAATATTTTGTTACCAAAAAAGGCCTTTTTTGTTTTGTTAACAAGTGCAGAGTGGTGACGTTTAGCTGCGCGATAAGCATTTTTTCCATCGACAGAACAGTGAGGCGACCTATTCCAGTACAGGTCCAAGAGTGCTTCATGCGACTGCGATACCTCATGACTGACCCAAGAAGGGCTATGTTCATTCTTTGTATTTGAAGTAGACACAGGGAAACTTACATTAAAAACATACATAAACGAATCGTAGAACTGGTCAAATAAATCATTAGAGGTAATATTTCTTAAATTAGGTTCTGGCATCCAAGCTTCATTGCTAGATAAAATTTTGAAGGCTTCAAAAGTCGAGGCCGTAAATTTCCTCTTCACTGTCTTATTTACATTTTCCTCTCCAAAACGTTCACACAACAAGTGTACTGATAACAAATGGTGGTCAGAAAAAAAGACAGGTTTGGCACTGGGGGCACGAAACATATGTGCAACACACGAGTCAACAATAAAATAGTCAAGCTGAGTTATACAATCAGGTGTTACTCTCGTTGGACCTTTAAATATAATGTTCAGGTTATTACATTCTAACAAATCCTGAAGCAGCTGACTTTCCCAGGATCTCTCAAGATTGTTTATATTTAAGTCAGCGCAAATAAGAAGCGGGATATTAAACTTATCTCTGAGGGTAGAAATCAACAAGTCAAAACGATCAATAAAATCAATCACATCAGCGCTGTTGGCAGTCCCAGGCCGATACAATACCACAACAATAATTTGGAACTTGTCTAGCTGCATTAGTCCCAAACAGAACTCAAATACACCTTCAGAACAAATGTCTTCGTCAATAGATAATGTCATCGGCTTAAATTTAAGCCTAGAGTCGGTTTTAAGCAACAGAGCAACTCCACCCCCTACTCGGTTAGGTCTAGAATATTCAGAAATGGTTTTGTATCCATTTACATTAAAACAATTCAGCTTAGATTCATTAAGCCACGTTTCGGCAACACACAATACTTCAGGGTTCTCATTATGTAACAAAACTTCAAGGTCTTCTATCTTGTTAAAAATAGACCTAATATTTAAGAAATCAAACCTAAGACTAATATCACAGTTTTTTTCCGCCCCAAGACAATGTGGGTTGGGGCTTACGTCCCGTTTTTTGGACCATCAGAAGTCTTAGAAGTAGGCCTAGGCCTATCATGTTGTTCAAGGTTAGGCCTAGTACTGGTCCTGTGACTATTAGTTCTAGGAGTCAAAAATTTACATATAAGTATTCCCTCAGGCCAGAGATTGCTATCCAACAGCTTGTCAATAGAGTCAGAAGGTACACCTACCTTAAAAGATGAGTAACCCTGGTACTTAGTGGGAAGTTGTTCACACTGGATTTGAGAGTGTTCAATAGGACACAAGTTCCTTATATACTCAACTAGGCTTTCAGGTTTCACACATGGGTCAAATCTTGATAAAAACACCCAGGATTTCCTCTGCGCCACAACAAGAGGTCCAGTTTGTTTGGCTTTGCCTATTATAGCTCGGTTTCGTTGCACTTTAGATTGAGGACGAACTGGATTTGACTTCTCTCTATCACCACGACTATTTACATTAATCCTTTTCTTCCTAGTCACTTGATTCCAATTGCCATCATCACCAGGAGACATACATAACTGAGGCGATACAACAACACTGGTAGTGATATTGGAAGTGTTTTTACCACGTTTCAGTACCTCACTATAACATTCACTTCTAGAGGGGTTAGCAAAATTACTAATAACGTCAGCGTCATCGCCACGGCCATCTTGATGAGGCGTGACGTCATCGTCAGTGCTGCCAGTCTTACAGCAATTTTTAAAACTAAGTTCATCATCTCCATGCAGTGGAGAGTACGTCACAGAATTATTTCCATTATTTCCAACTACTTGAGTCAAAGTAGAGTCAGAATCAGCAATATGTACTTCGTCATTGATTTGAACTTCCGGTGGGCTCACATTGCCTTTTAACCTACAAACGTCACTGGAAATATTATCTAGCTTTGCTTTAATCAAACAATTGTCAGTTACTATATCATTCACTAATTTAAATAGCTTTCCAACATTCTGAAGTAGGTTACAGTTGTCATCAAAGCTCAGAGCATAATCCTTAAGCCTAGCTAACCTGACTTCGCAGCCTGCACAAAACCATTTGACTGAATCTCCCAGCTCTTTTATAGATTGGTATTTATCACTTTCAAATGACACACAATCGGTATGGAACGATTTACAACAAAATCCGTCACATGTAACTCCAGGATTTCCTTTATTCACGGTTTTTTCACAGACGCCACAGGGATAACGAACTGTACGACCCGACATCTTGACCGGAAGTCTCCAACTGCACTGATATTTTGTTTAGTGATAAGGAACAACTCCATGGCCCTTTACGAAAACTTTTCCAGGGAAACCCTTGCTTTTAGTCAAGAAGTTCTTTAAAATTTTTAAAGAATTTAATTAACTTGTCCAATTTTTGTAACTTGGCCTATTGCTCATTTTGTTTAACGTCTTAATGAAGGAACTGATATGATAATGATGAATAATCTCTACTATTATATAAAAATCTAATGGTGAATTGTCTGCATGTGTGTATTACTCAATCACGTAAAACAACTGAACCGACTGGGCATATATTTTACAAAGCTACAATCCTAAGGATTATCTTAAGACCATTCCCGCTTCAATGCTGACCAGAAGCTCTGCACCAATGGCTTTCAAAGTTCTGAGGTGAGGCTTTTAAAAATAATTATTGATTGGTCTCCATCTCCATGCCATCAAAGAGAAAATTCACAATAGTTTACATTGTATCTCAGTATAAGCAAGCCAATTTGTCAAATGCATTTATTTTGCAATCCACTCAGCTATTTAATAAGTTAGTTTAATTTGTTGCACATGTGGCAGGTTTATTTATTTTTACAATGTGGACCAATATTTGGTGGACACCATCGTACCTATTTATAGCATACTACTCCCTATACCTTAGTCATCTTACATGTGGTATTGTGTTTTGGGGACATTCATCCAGTTGCCATATAGTTCTCTTGCAACAGAAGATTGCTGTAAGAACTTTAACATCTAATGACTCCAGAGAGCACTGTTGACCTCTGTTTGCTGAACTTGGCATACTTACCGTCCACGGTCAGTTTGTTTTGAATTCTCTGCTGCTGGTCAAAGAGAATCTTGAAAACTACACAACAAGAGACCAGGTCCACCAGTACAACATTCGTGACATAGCCAATATTCATATTCCTCGATGTCGCCTTTTGACAAAACAATAGCTACCCAGTGCTTGCCCTCAAGATGTTTAATGTGTAATCAAATTTTACTTTTAGACTACTACCACAAATCCTGATGGATTTACTCAGAGATGCTAATTATCTTTTCATCTGTAATTGATCTTGAATACTAATACAGTAGCAAGGAGTCTGCACTTAGCTCCCTATTGTAAAATCTAAAACCTTTTTATAAAAAGAGGATATAGAATTTTGGCAGTAGCCTACTCTGTGAGTTGCTCAATCAATTACTTTTGAATATATATAGGCCCAGCAAACCTGCTGACAATTGAATTGATTTCCAATTGAATCTATAGGGAAATTCGCTAATAACTAAGGTTAGGCAACATAAAGAAAGACGTTACTTGTTGTTACTTGACAAAGAGGTATGATGAATATAATCAGCTGTTTATTGTAAACACTATGATTTTAAATGAGTCAACCACTTTCATGTAAAAACGAATTACTTCTTTCTAAAATAAAATTAAACTAAGCAATGCATAGAACAGCTGTTACTCAATTACTATAGTGTTTACAATAAACAGCTGATTCTTTTCATCATATGCCTTTATGTAATCTATATTTGTTTTTCTCTATTATTGTTTCAAGTAACTTTGGCAGATGAATTACCTAATTAATTATTGACTTTAATAGGGGGAGGTAGAAAACAAGTTATTTTTTAATTACAAAAGTTATGTATTTTTAACGTAGAATCCGATTCTGTGATCAAATTTGGTACAGTAGTTTACATTTAAAAAAGTTTACTTCCTGTTTGAAAAAGCCACTTCCGCTGTGATTGTGCTTTGAAATTATCACCATTTGGTAAACTGTGTCCAATTTATCTAGTTCTGTATTATTTGTTGTTTGTAAGAAAAGGTTTCCGATTCCCTCGTTTTTAAAGGGGTGTACGGGTGGTTTCGGACACCCGGTACATACATATAAATTTGAACGAATGGTGTTTTTGGCCTCTGGGGACATCAAAATGTAAAAGTAAATTGGTGTCTTACCGTGCCACATACGGTAATAGCTACTTCTCTATAGGCAAATTCGCTAAAATAGGCTGCATCAGTCTAAACAGATGGGACATCTACTACAGTATCCAAAAACCAATAGTATAATGTTCAATGTGAACCTCACAAGTTCCATGAAAAATATGTCGTTAGTTGATGTTTGATTTATATCAATGAATTATTTTACAATAGAGATATGTTTCAAAGTTTCATCAGTGTTAGATAGTGAAAGTTTTGTATTATTTTTCTACAGCCTATTGACTTTGGTAGGTTTTTCAAATTACAGTAATTATTGTTTAAGTAAGCACATCGTTTAAAAATTATATAGTTTCGGTTTTTTTATACATCAGCTATACATTTCTTACTAAGTAGGCAAATAAGTTTTCACTGCTTACTTGAATTAAAAGACACTTGAAAAAAAGTAAACTATACAATTGAATTTTAAATCTAAATTCAGTGGTAGATTTGTAACTTATTCATTCAGTATCTCAGAATTTCAGTATCTTCTGATTACAGATAGGGGTAGCCAAAGGGTTTTCTTTGATACAGTGCACAGTCATATCATACAGAGATTGTGTGTGGTTTCTGGTTTCTCGGTACAGCAAGGCAAAGCAAGGGCAGCAAGGGTCAAATAACCGAAGATCGGGTATTCAAATCTACTTTTTTTATACATATATAGTATTTATATATACACACATTGGGCCACCTTAACTCTCAATAATTAAACATACCAATTTTGTTTTGGGGGATTAGAAAAGAAATGTTATTAGTATATACATTTTTATTTCATAATAGGGAATGTGTAAAACATTGTTATTACACACCTGTGAAATATTTAAAACATAAATAAATATTATCTTTATCATCAAACAAAAAATATTTAACACACAATGCAAATAAAATATCCATGTTCTTTCTAAAGTAAGGAGTCACTTTTTGCGGCATATACTGTAAATATACATAACATCATATCTAAAAAATATGTTATGCTGTCTATATTAACATTGTTAAATGTATTATAAAAAAAGAATCACTATAAAGGCAACTTAACATCAAATGAAGCCTTGGATATACTTAAACATAAAGCATTTCTTAGAACTAAATTATAATACTTGTTATTAAAATGAAATTGTACCATGTAAACAAGTTTTGAAAAACTTATCAGCTATTAAATCATTAAGTCAAGAGTTTATTCCATTCTTTAAAAATGTTATAGGTAGCACTATGCAATAAATACTAGAAAAGAAAACATTTATTTTTAAAGCTTAATAACAACTAAAATACTTCTTGAATCAATATAAAAAGCTTTTGTTTCATTTCATACTTTCATTTTTTTACATTTTACTAAAATATAAAATGTATTTTTATTTTCAAAATTTGTTTTAACAGCTGTTATTATTGTAAGATTGTTCTTATCCTTAGGATTAGTTTACACAACAGCTACTTGTTGGGTCATGGGTGGTTGGTTGATCTCATTTGTGGTAGTTACCTTAAGATCTTGAACCTGAGTAGACTTCTCATGTTTCTTACCTTCTTCAGTTTTCTTGCCAGGAAGAGGTTTGGCTCCATTTTTTGTTGTTCCCTTCAATTCAATCTTGACATTAGAAGCCTTAGCCGCAGCAGGTTTCCCAATTACAGCTGATTTTACTCCTGCAGGGTCTTTGCTGCTTTTCTCTGCTGATTTTGCCACTATTGTAGCTGTTGACTTCTTTGCCCCGGTAGAGACAGAAACATTTGGATTTTCATTTGAACCTCCTGGTTTCGGTTTGGCTGCAGAGGAAATATCGGGTTTCACTGATGTGGTTTTATTTGGTGTTGTTATTTGGGGTTTCGGAGAGGTGGCAGTTTTTGGTGCCGGTACACTAGATTTTGTTGAAGCTGCAGGTTTTACTGTTGCTGCGGCTGAGCTTTTTGGTGCTTCAGGTTTTTTAGCCAATGATTTACTATCAGTTGTAGTAAGAGGTTTCTTTTCTAAAGGTTTATCCTTGATAGGTTTGGAAGCAGGCGGTGATTTGGCAGGCGATGTTGTCTTTTCTCCAGCACTTGTCTTCAATGCTGGAGATTTGGGAGGAATGGCAGACTTTGGTATAGTTGGAGATTTGGGTGTGATTGGAGATTTTGGTATAGTTGGCGATTTAGGTGTGGTTGGGGAAGAAGGATTGCTTGTAGGACTTGAAGATTTTAAGGCTGATGGTTCACCGACAGGAAGCTGTTTTGGAACTGGTTTAGAAGAGACGGTGCTTGTAACTGCAGGTTTGGTTGAAGATGGGGTTGGTGTCTTACTAAGAGTTGGTTTCGATGCTGGTGCTACCGGTTTCTTAACAGGGGTCGTAGTTGCTGTCACTTTCATTGGTGTTGAACCACTAGAAGCAGATTTCGAAGCTACTGAAGATTTTGGAGGAGCAATATTGGAAGTGCCTGGTTTTGTTGAAGATGCACTAGAAACAGTAGACTTTTGTGTTGTTGCACTTGTAGTTTTTGCTGTGGTAGAGGTAGAAGTGGAAGATTTTGCAGCAGCTCCACTGGTACTATTAGATTTGGAGGAGCCCACTGAACTAGCAGGCTTTGAAGGTGTCACACTAGAACTTGTGGACTTAGTAGAGGCTACATTTGATGGAGTGTTCAACTTTGAAGCTGTCACACCAGGAGCAGCAGGTTTTGAAGAAGTTGTACTAGAAGTAGATTTTGAAGAGGCACTATTTGAAGCAGTAGATTTTGGTGAAGTTGTAGACGAAGCAGTGGATTTTATAGCAGATACGCTGGATTTTGAAGGTGCAACATTATTTTTTGTATTTTTAGCTGATTCAGTAACGGAAGTAGCAGGTTTAACAGTTGTGGATTTAGTCGTAGATGGTTTACCTGTTGTGGCCTGAACTGAAGGTGAATTCACTACTGTAGTTTCTGTTTCAGTTCTTGTCATAGAAGTATGTTCATCTTCAGTTTGAGGCTGTGTTGTTTGGATTTCAGAAGTAGTATTAGCAACTTCAGAAAATTCGGTATCTTCATCAGGTTCCTTTTCACTGGACTGGTCTGTCACATCAGTCCCTGCTTCTGAAACATGAGATGCAGTTGTTTAGAAGTAAATAGCTAATTATTACATGGTTAGCTCTCATGAGTCTTGTAATATTTAAGTCCCATATTGTAATTGTTCAAAACTACTTTTTGTCAAAATCATAGGTTTAAAATGATGCAAGAGAACTGATTAGTCACATAATATCTAGAATATTACAAAAACTAATATATTACAACAGTCTTAAATTATGATGAAAGAACAGCTGTGGCTCAAGCAAACAGACCACAGACCCGACGGTTGCGAGGTTATTTTAATTCAATAGACCTGTAAATTTAATAACCATGGTCTTCTAGCTGTCTTCTATACTTGATTCATAATAAACATGAGTTGCTGAATGACACAGAACTAATTTACTTCACTTTTCAGAGTTGTTCATTTTAACATTTTTGTACGTCTAATTCAATAGGGAAACAAACTGTGTGGCGATCGTAGCCAAATAAACTGGAATCCAAAAAAATAATAGAACAATAAATTATTGACTTCCTAATAACCTATATTGGTCTAGCTTAAAGTTTGTTTCTGACCCAAAAAGTTAGATTCACATTGCTCACTCATACTTTCATGTTCTAACAGTATAACCCTTTACCTTTTACACAATTAAAATTGAACCCCTATCTTTACTAAAATAAATTTACACTGTAATATAACATCACTTTGCTGGTCTTGGACATTTGAAACACCCCCACAGACTCACACTTTCAAATGACAAACATGAACTTGTGGGATGAAAAATATGAAACTGTTCTAGCTACTGAACCGTTCTGACAAAAATTTTGATTTATAGTAAAAAAAAAAAACTTAACGAAAATTCTTTTTGAATAAATTATACTATAATGTATATTTCCTCTGCCATCAAATTTTTTTTAAATTAATTAGGTAATGTGAATCTATTAGAGCTCATATTTTATAAAGGCTATGTAGGGGCTTATAAGTTATTCAAAACATGGAAAATTCAGTCCAATATTTTTACTTAAGACTAAAACTTTCGAAATCCCAAAATAATTTTAGATTTTTTTAAACCCTTTGGCTAAATTAGCCAAAACACAATAACCAATTACACTTTTTTGGTAATAAAAAACAATCTTTTTTTATGCTTACAGAAAACACATTAAAACTAACCATAAATAAACAAACTTATTCAAAATGGTTACATAATGTTTACAATTGTTTTGGTTCAAACGCCAATTTACCTGTTTTACATTTAAAGTAAAAATGTGTACTTTTATGTGTTTGGTAAAGTATAAAGAGAAATAGTTTTAGATAGGCAGAGAAAATTTTAGGGCAAAGGAAAATCTCCCGATAATGGGTAAAAACTAGTAATTGGACAAATCTAGCACCTCGTTAGAATTTAAAAAAAGAAAAACTCTGGGGAGGAGTGTACCAACATGCTTGCTTTTTGTGGTTGTCTTAAATAATGCTCTGGGCTAATAGAAATGCTAATTATAGAAACTCTTAGGACTTGGATATAAAATAGTGGGTTTAAAAACAAAACAACTCATTCATCTACTTAAATTTAATAATCAGATAGGAAACACATTTTTGTAATTTTTGAAAGATTTTTTTATATTCTTTGAAGCCACATAGGCCTAGTTATATGGTTGTTTGGTTGGGTTTATTTTCTCCATAAAAAAAAAACTTGTTAAGTGTTTGCATTCAAATTTTATATAAGTTTTTCTTTATGAAAAACAAAGTGTAACTTAACCAATATGTTTAATAAAGAACTATTACCTAGTCCGTGGATTAAGGTCTAAAAGCAAGCTGGTTATATCTGACTCCAGTGATGTACCAGTAATGTGTACTTTATCCACAACTATTGGGGTTTTATAGGGTGGAAGTGAGTTTTCCCCATGTTTACCCTCAAAACAAAAACGTTCGCAGTCTCTCCAAGGGGATTTTGAAGAGGTAAAAAAACAACTCATTACATCGACATATGATTTTACGCCTAATGGTTACGGAGAAAATTCCATTAAACTGTAAATTTAAAATTTCCATGTAATTCTTATAGAATGATTAAATTTTGTAGTTTGCTGATTTATGGATATATTTTGATCAAATTTGGCAAATTTATGTATTTTATCCCAAGCTCTATTAGTCCGGTGGCTTAGTGTTATTACCGTTACATGGCGGATAAAAGCATCAAATTTGGTATGAAGGTACCTTAGGGTATACTAATAAGTTTTAGCCTAGGAGCCCTTTTGAAATTTTAAATATTTCCACACACGGCACCAAAATCCAAAATGGCCGACAAATACAACAAAAACTACCTTAAAAACAATCCATTCTCCTTAATATAACTTAAACTCCAAAATATAACTTAAATCCAACCAAGACTCTACAATACAAACCGGAGACATACTAAATTATATGAAAGAAATCTTATGTGTGTCTGTGTGTGAGTGGGTGGGGGTATGTGTGTGAGGATTTAGGTAACGAAACCTGTACTGGACATTGCGCAAAAATGGTCAAACCAATTTACTGGAAATTTGGTGTGGACTTTGTTAGTATCATATGTCAATATTTGGATCTGTTTCCTTTTATTTATCTATTTTTATAACTTTCTTTTGTTTATTTTTACAATTTTCATCTATTTTTTTTAGATCTACGGGGTTAGGCAAAAGTATGGAAACCCACCAGTTAACTTTTTAACGCGTTGCAGTAGGAAAACCAAACTCGGCATATATTTACAAAATAAAAAATTGCACTTTTTATCAAAGTTACAACTTTGCCTCAGCCCCAAAAATGGGGTATTTTGGGGGCCACCCCAAATTTTCAAACTTAAAAACCTATCATGTGACCACTCATTTTAAAGGGTTTATCAAGATAAATTGAATGGTGAAAACCAGAGGTCGATATCCCACTCCAAATCGAAATGGCAGCCATTTTAATTATTTAAGATGAGCAAGAGCAAAAGATAAAGTCTTGATAATCCCAGTTAACTTTAAAAATTTAATATTTTAATACTGGCCAAAAGGTGAGTTATCTTTTTTTATAATGGTATGTAGAGTTTAGTGTTTCAGCTATAACCTGTTACAAAGTTAATAAGGTATATTTCAAAATGACTGCCATTTTGATTAGGGGGGAATATCTTGGTGTCATACTGGACCGCACACTGGCATTTAAGGCGCATTGTATTGCGACAAGAGGTAAAGTCTCAGCGAGGAATAATATCATCAGGAAGCTCACCAGCAGATGCTAGGGGTGCTAACCCTGATGTCCTCAGAACCTCAGCTTTAGCGCTCAGTGTGTCGGCTGCGGAGTACGCTGCACCAGTATGGAATGCATCGTCACATGCAAAAAAGGTTGACATAGCAGTCAATGACATGGCTCGGATTGTAACTGGGTCTTTGAAACCAACCCCAGTACACAAACTATCCTATCATAGGGATCGCCCCTCCATCAATCCGACGTGATGTCGCTGCCGACGCAGAAAGGACTAAGCAAGAGACAGACCCTCGTCACCCATTACACGGCCACCAACCTGCAGAGTGACGGCTTCGGTCCAGAAAGAGCTTTTTATCACGGACACGAGTCCTGGATGGATCACTCTCAATCAATCGGGTGGCAAGGTGGGAGGCCACGTTGACTAACCCTTCCTTACCAGCCAGGGAGGAACTGGCTCCTGATGGAGGCCTTCATTACACGGTGTGAAAGACCCTAAATCGAATTAGGGTCGAGGTGCCAAAATGCAGGACAAACATGCAGAAATGGGGTCTCTTACCAGACAAAGAAAACATCTTGTGCGCGTGTGGTGCTGTCCAGGATCCTGGCCATCTGCTGATCTACCCACGGCTAGACCAGTCTTGCACATTTGATGATCTTTTACATGCGAATGACAAAGCCATATCGGTAGCTAATTTTTGGAAATGCGAAGTCTGATTTCCGGGCACGGAAAGTAAGTAAGTAGTATTAGGGGGGCGATATTGACTTCTAGTTTGCGCCATTTAATTTGTCTTGAGAAACCATTTAAAATGAGGGGTCACATGATAGGTGTTTACATTTGAAAATTTGGGACTGTCCCCAAATACCCCATTTTGGGAGCCGGGTACAAGTTCTAACTGTAATGAAAAAGTGATTTTTTTTATTTTTGTAAACATGTGCCAAGTTTGGTTTTCCCCTGCCACACGTTATAAAGTTAACTGGAGGTGTCCAGACTTTATCTTTTGCTTGCTCATCTTAAATTAAAATGGATGCCATTTTGATTAGGGGTGCGATATCGACCTCTGGTTTTCACCATTCAATTTATCTTGATAAACCCTTTAAAATGAGTGGTCACATGATAGGTTTTTAAGTTTGAAAATTTGGGGTGGCCCCCAAAATACCCCATTTTTGGGGCTGAGGCAAAGTTGTAACTTTGATAAAAAGTGCAATTTTTATTTTGTAAATATATGCCGAGTTTGGTTTTCCTACTGCAACGCGTTAAAAAGTTAACTGGGGCGTTCCATACTTTTGCCTAACCCCGTAGATCTAAAAAAAAAATAGTTAAAAATTGTATAAAAAACTAAATAAAATTATAAAAATAGATAAATAAAAGGAAACAGATCTAAATGTTGACATATGATACTAACAAAGTCCACACTAAATTTGCAGTAAATTGGGTTGCCCATTTTTGTGCAATGTCCAGTATAGGTTTCGTTACATAAATACTCACACACATACCCCCACCCACTCACACACAGACACACATAAGATTTCTTTCATATAATTTAGTATGTCTCCGGTTTGTATTGTAGAGTCTTGGTTGGATTAAAGTTATATTTTAGAGTTAACAGGAGAATGGATTGTTTTAAAGGTAGTTTTTGTCGTATTTGTCGGCCATTTTGAATTTTGGTGCCGTGTGTGGAAATATTTAAAATTTCAAAAGGGCTCCTAGGCTAAAATTTATTAGTATACCCTAAGGTACCTTCATACCAAATTTGGTGCTTTTATCCACCAGGTAACGGTATTCGTAAATTAAAGCCCTAAGCCACCGGACTATATATACATTTCACTAAAAAGTTCATTTTATTACCTTCCCTGTAGCGTAGCAGCAAACCTAAGTACTCGTTTAACCTGCTTTTGTTATTTAAATAGGAAATGAATCAGTGCCGCTTTAATTAATGGGCCTGGGCCTAGGGGCGCAGGAGGGTTAAGTTTTTTGGTGGCGCAATAGCACATGACATGCAAACTGAGGGCCTGGAATGAATCTAACATATTTAAGGAAATATTTGTTTAAAAATCCAATCAGGCAAACAGAAATTTGCTCTCCCGCAGGTTTGCTGCAGAGGGGTTATTTATATTTAAATGCAAATAATTGTCCATAGGTACGCAAATAATTTTGTTTTAGCTAATTTCCCATATAGGGAACGAGCTATTTAAAAACCATGCCTGTTTGAGAATTGGAGTAAAATATATATTGGGCAACATAATACATTAATGTATATGATAAACATCTAATTATAGTATTGATTGCATGGACTTATTACAGTTGAGTCCCGCAAACTCGGCGTAATGTGGACTATAAGGGTGCTGAGTTTGTGAAATGCTGGGTTATCGGAAACTAGGGTTAAAAATAAGAACAATAAAATTTTTAAGCTTATTAACTGCCTCTTATTTATATACAAGTTAGTATTAAGTCATCAGATATAGTACAACAAATCCTTGGTACGAGCTGCGAATGATTTGACTTGAGCTGGATTGACTTGGTCCATGTTTAACTCAGACTCAAAAAATCACAAATTTTCTGAGCCAGGTGTTGGCCGAGTTATCCAGACTGCCGGGTTATCAAAAGCCAAGTTTGCAGGATTCTACTGTATTATTTAATTGCTCAGAAAATCTAGGAAGGTTGAAATTCTAGATTTTTTAAAGCTTAATAACTCAAGATCGAATTAAAAAGTTAGGTATATCTAAAAATTTTGAAAATAGAAGCATACGGAATGAAATATTACGTTTTTGAAACCATTTACACTACGTTATACGATATTATTTTTATATAATAAAAGTGTAAACCCCAGATATAGAGTAAAAGAGCTTAAAACATGATTGAAATTTATTACATTTTGAACTACTTGTTTATTATCTTATGTGAATTTATAAAATTTTATCATCAATTGTAAGTTTTAGATACAAATATGTTTCTAGAGATAAAAAGATTTTACTAAAAATTGCCTAAACCTTTTTATTTTAGAACAAAAATACACCTAGAGTAAAACAAATTATGAGTAATGACAGTGTCTCACATGTAGTGACAGCTCGAGGGTAGAATACTGCCTACCGGTACCTGAATCATGGCTGGTGCACCCTTGCCTTCTCTAGGTAATAAATTAATGAAGTATTTTTTGTAATTAATAAAAATTATTAAATGCAATTTTGACAGTTTGTTCATTTACATCAAAGTTGTGAAATAACATATTACTCATTGGTTTATTGTTTTGTTTATGTTTTTACTTCTACTAACCAACAGCATACCGTACTTTAGTCTTTAGTCAGTTTACCAACACATTGGTAAGATATATCCTGTCTCAGGTGGCAGGTAAAGTAGGCCCATTGGTGTTTAAAAAGTAGAAGTTTATCTAAATAATTTTAAAATAAAAACTCTGATACAGTTTTGCATATAAAGTAAAGTCCCTCAAACATGGCTCTCAATAACTCAGAAGCATATAACAGAAAAATAAAAAAATTCTCATGTCCATGCAAAATCAAAATCCTACGTGAATGCAATTAGTCGGATGCGGTAAAAAATAAACACTGTGATGACCAATTTTGAGAGGGCTCTGCTCGTATAAATATATCAATATCACAATTTCTTCCTGTACCAATCAACAAAAACATAAAAAAACCTTCAACAATCTTTAAACCTTTTTTTATGTTTTCATAACATTTCTCTATGTAACTAATCTGATGATTTAAACTTGCAATTCAAACTTAAAGGAAAGCACATGTTGCATTGCTTATGATGGCGATCATTTTGTGGAGTATTTAATATCTTTTAATTCCTTACTTATATTGTTCATGTTGTTATATTGTTGTGTAAAAAAGAAACATTAATTTATCTAATTGTACTGTACCTGGTTCAGTTTTGAGGGGTTGCTGGTCAGAGAGGCTAAGTTGGTCCTGGGCATCCTTCAGATCTTGCTGGAGTGAAGGATGAGCAGGCTCTTCTATTGGCAACTCTTCTGAGGTCTCGGTGAGTGGAACTTCGTCGAAATCATCATTGGATGCTTGAATTTTCTCCTCTTCAACTTGACCTGTAGTATCATCACTTTCCATATGTTCTTGATCAACAGGCTCTGCGAGTGGTTCCATACTTTTGTTTTCAACTATTTTATTTCCTGCAGTATCTGAAGAAGGATTTTCAATGACATTTTTTACTTCTGCAATCAAATCCTCTGAAACCTGTTGAGCTACTTCATCTGCATCGCTGTTCTCAACTGTTTCCCTGTTGAATTGGGGGAAATAGTTAGAATCTATCTTTAAAAGACTATTTTCTTTTTCAAAGTTTTCAGAGGCTTTACATTTACCGATGGCGATGAGGCCTTTTTTATGTTTTGTAACAATAGAACAAAACTTCTTACCCTCATCTATTTCGTGAATATCAGCTTTTGATTGACAATCAGTTGTTGAGCTGTTTTCAAAATTTTCAGCTTTGTTTGATTCCATAGTAGGATACTTTTCTTGTTTTATCTCATCTGGGTTGATGAGTTCTAGCTCATCTTTGTCAATAACTTCAAAACCTCTAACAATATTTCTTAACTCTTCCGGTGTACTCTGTGAACTGGTAACCTGAGCCTCAAGTTCTAACGTCATCTCCTTTAATTCCTCTCTAATAGTAGATTCAATGTTATCATTTGAAACTTGTGTTTCTTCTTTGTTCACATTTGTATTTTTTTCTAGCGTTGGTGTTTGATCCTGCTCTAATAAGGGCATGTCCATTAATGATTCCTTATTATCAGTTTTCTCAGTAGTAAAGCTGGTTTCCTGCATCTCAACGTTTAAATCATCATCAATTTTTTCTTGCTTAATGTCATTAACATGAGCTTCATCTACTTCAGTAAATTCTGATCTAGTTAAGAAGTTGGATTCACTGGTAATTGTTGTAAGATCATCATGTTTATGTGGCAATTGTTCATCCACATTCTTTTTCGATGAATCAGCTTCAAACGCCTCTCTGTCAAGTTTTGTTTCAACATTATTTTGTTTGAACCTAGATTTACGTTCTTTTTTTGAATGTTTCATTGTGTATTCAGGTCTCAAAAAGTTTTCTCCAGAATCCAGTTCATGATTTAATAATGATTTATCGCTTGTTTTTTTCTCGGAATAGAAACGATTTTTCTTCTTCTTGTTATTTTCAGTCTGGCCACTCAGGTCATGCTTTGTTCCACATAAATCACTCTTCTTGTTAACTTTGTTACTATCCTCAATGTTTTCTAGTCTTTCCTCAATTTCAGGAGATTTTGGCAATTCAGTAGACAAAATTACTCTATTTGCATTTGGAGGATGCATGAAAGGAGGGACCTCGTTGGGAGATTCAAGCTTTTCAAATGGAACTACGTCATCATTTACAGGTGTTCTCCTCAGTATGAAAGAAGGGGGTGTGTTTGTTTTGATGTTCTTTTCATTTATTTCATCTTCAAATGATACTTCTCTCTTTGGAGATGTTGGTGGTGTTTTGTACAATTCAGCAAGATTGTAACAGTCATCAATAGGAGTGGTATTAGGTGTGGTAATGGTAGGTGTTTGAAGAGTGACAAAAGGATTTTCATCACCAAAGTTCTGGATTGGCTTAAAAGTCAGGTCAATTGGAGGAGTTTTCCTAAGCTCTGTTATGAATCCTTCATTTTCCACAGTGTTAGGTTCAAATTTCTTGTATCTTCTCTTGTTTCTACTCTTAGACTTATGTTTCTTTTTTTGTGGTGCCCCCCCTTCATTGGGTAAAACTACATCAGATACAATCTGATCATTTTCAAAATTTTGTGGCCGATGGCTAAGAATGAGAGATATTATCTGAGCGGGACTATTATCAGCGATTGTTGGATCAGTTGGCCCAACAATATCGAGGCCTTCGAGATCAATCCTATTGCACTCCAATCCTGAAGTTTTGTCAACCCCTTGTTGTTTCATGTGCTCGATCACGTGACTTAGCTCCTTGATTTTATTAGGAACTGTAGAGAAGTTGTCTCTCATGAAGTAATCAACTTGTTTTGGACAACCTAAAATAAAATAAAAACTTGTATGATATTTACGCCTATTTATGAGGAACAAACCTTGAAAAAAGAACAATCAATATAATATATTAATAAGATACAACGAATACAAATCCTGTTCAAAATATATACCGTAGGGGAAAATTACCAAGGGGAAAATTTGTGAGACAGATAGATATAAAAAAAATAATGTCAGAGCTACAACACTTGGACGAAAATTGCTCGGCATAAAAGTTATTTGAACACATTATTCAGTAACACCCTACCTTCTCAAGCCCCCCCCCCCCTAGGAGTAAGAAGAAAATGTTTAAAATAAGCATAGGTTAATTTTGCTAATCAAATTATTAGTCTTTATTAGTAGAATACAATGACACTAACCCAAACTCAAACAAACAATCGAGCCAAAAATGGCAGCCGAAATATATCTTGATTTGTTTGAAAGTACATACTGTTATGTCAACTGTCCAACAAAGTAATGGCCAAAATCACTAAACGTGTTTCACCTATTCAGGCATTGTCAAGTGATATTTCAAGAATCAAGAATGATTCATCCAGACTTGTCAATAGCATTAAAATAAAAACAAATCACATATAAGATTTTACTCACGAAAAAACATTAGAAATAGGCCTACTTGTTATTTGATTTAGAATCCAGCAATCACATGAAAGGAAATTCACTTACTCTACAGGTTTGCTGCAGGAGGTTATATTCAGCTCCATCTTATGTTTTATACTTTTTGATAATTGAGCGGAGCGAGCGAAGCGAGCGAAGCTCTTTGAGATCGGACCTTATGCAAACTATGTAATCAATTAACTCAATAACGGCTGAACATTTTGAATCCAAACTTACCAGGGGTATTTCGACAAATATTTTTGATGTTTCGAAACAAACAAATTTCAATTTGATGATACCTGTACAATTTAAGACTGACATAAAATTTGCAATGTTTAACATGAGTCTTATGAGTTGCCATGATGGTTACGAGATAACAACGTTGATGAAAACAAAGAATCGTAGCGTATGCGACTCGACATTCTGTACCCACGGGCACCTCAGCTTGCACATGCACATATGGCCTATTTACAAAAGACAGTACAAAAGAAAAGGAGTCCGATGAATACCGTTAAGCGTTGATTAACAATACACCGATTCGAATAATTTTTGGCGGCCTTACTGAATTATTCCAAGCAGATTATTACTTTTAATTGTTGTTATTGCTATTAGTTTTGTGGTAAATATTAGTCCGGAGTGTGGTAACTGTTTATGACGATTAGCTTAAGGTATCTGTTATCCTAAAATGCTATGGGAAGGGAGGGAAACAGGTCCGCGACGTAGGAAGTCGTGAAGGTAGCAGTAAAGGTGAGCGGTCCGGAGTGTGGGAACTGTTTATGACGACTAGATTAAGGAATATGTTATCCTAAAATGCTATGGGAAGGGAGGGAAACAGGTCCGCGACGTAGAAAATGGTGAGTAGTCCGGAGTGTGGGAACTGTTTATGACGATTAGATTAAGGAATATGTTATGCTAAAATGCTATGGGAAGGGAGGGAAACAGGTCCGTGACGTAGGAAGTCGTGATGGAAGCAGTAAAGGTGAGTAGTCCGGAGTGTGGGAACTGTTTATGACGATTAGATTAAGGTATCTACAATCCTAAAATGCTATGGGAAGGGAGGAAAACAGGTCCGCGGCGTAGGAAGTGGTGAAGGAAGTAGTAAAGGCGAGTAGTCCGGAGTGTGGGAACTATTAATGACGATTAGATTAAGATATCTGTTATCCTAACATGCTATGGGAAGGGAGGGAAACAGGTCCGCGGCGTAGTAAGTGGTGAAGGAAGTAGTAAAGGCGAGTAGTCCGGAGTGTGGGAACTATTAATGACGATTAGATTAAGGTATCTGTTATCCTAAAATGCTATGGGAAGGGAGGGAAACGGGTCCGCGACGTAGGAAGTCGTGAAGGAAGTTGTAGAAGTGAGTAGTCCGGAGTGTGGGAACTGTTTATGACGATTAGATTAAGGTATCTACAATTCTAAAATGCTATGGGAAGGGAGGAAACAGGTCTGCGGCGTAGGAAGTGGTGAAGGAAGCAGTAAAGGCGAATAGTCCGGAGTGTGGGAACTGTTAATGACGATTAGATTAAGGTATCTGTTATCCTAAAATGCTATGGGAAGGGAGGGAAACAGGTCCGCGACGTAGGAAGTCGTGAAGGTAGCAGTAAAGGTGAGCGGTCCGGAGTGTGGGAACTGTTTATGACGACTAGATTAAGGAATATGTTATCCTAAAATGCTATGGGAAGGGGAAACAGGTCCGCGACGTAGAAAATGGTGAGTAGTCCGGAGTGTGGGAACTGTTTATGACGATTAGATTAAGGAATATGTTATGCTAAAATGCTATGGGAAGGGAGGGAAACAGGTCCGTGACGTAGGAAGTCGTGATGGAAGCAGTAAAGGTGAGTAGTCCGGAGTGTGGGAACTGTTTATGACGATTAGATTAAGGTATCTACAATCCTAAAATGCTATGGGAAGGGAGGAAAACAGGTCCGCGGCGTAGGAAGTGGTGAAGGAAGTAGTAAAGGCGAGTAGTCCGGAGTGTGGGAACTATTAATGACGATTAGATTAAGATATCTGTTATCCTAACATGCTATGGGAAGGGAGGGAAACAGGTCCGCGGCGTAGTAAGTGGTGAAGGAAGTAGTAAAGGCGAGTAGTCCGGAGTGTGGGAACTATTAATGACGATTAGATTAAGGTATCTGTTATCCTAAAATGCTATGGGAAGGGAGGGAAACGGGTCCGCGACGTAGGAAGTCGTGAAGGAAGTTGTAGAAGTGAGTAGTCCGGAGTGTGGGAACTGTTTATGACGATTAGATTAAGGTATCTACAATTCTAAAATGCTATGGGAAGGGAGGAAACAGGTCTGCGGCGTAGGATGTGGTGAAGGAAGCAGTAAAGGCGAATAGTCCGGAGTGTGGGAACTGTTAATGACGATTAGATTAAGGTATCTGTTATCCTAAAATGCTATGGGAAGGGAGGGAAACAGGTCCGTGACGTAGGAAGTCGTGATGGAAGCAGTAAAGGTGAGCGGTCCGGAGTGTGTGAACTGTTTATGACGATTAGAATAATGTATCCACAATCTTAAATTGCTATGGGAAGGGAGGGAAATAGGTCCGCGGCGTAGGAAGTGGTGAAGGAAGTAGTAAAGGCGAGTAGTCTGGAGTGTGGGAACTGTTAACGACGATTAGATTAAGGTATCTACAATCTTAAAATGCTATGGGAAGGGAGGAAAACAGGTCTGAAACGTAGGAAGTGGTAAAGGAAGTAGTCAAGGTGAGCAGTTTGGAGTGTGGAATCTGTTTATAAGGATTATATAAAGGTATCTGCAATCTTAAAATGCAATGGGAAGGGAGGAAAACAGGTCCGCGACGTAGGAAGAGGTGAAGGAAGTAGTAAATGCGAGCACTGTGGAGTCTGGGAACTGGAAACCAATTGTAACAGTTCGATTTCTGTATCAGAAATTGAAATACTGAAATACTATATGAGATGGGATGGAAAGATGTCCAAGACATAGGAAATGGTTAAAGAATTAGTAAATGCTAGCAGTGTGGAGTGTGGGAAATGTTGTTGGCAATTAGATTAATGTATTTAAAATACTAAAATGCAATTGAAAGAGATGACAACATGTCCACGACGTAGGAAGTAGCAAAGTTTAGCATCGCAGAGTGTGGTAACCGTTTGTGGCAGTTAGATTAATGTATCTGTAATATTTAAATGCTATAAGAAGGGAAGGAAACAATGACGTAGGAAATGGTGAAGGAAGTAGTGAAGGCTGGCATCGCAGAGTGGGGGAATGATTTTCCCCGAGCAAAGCTCGGTCTCCAGGTACTTAGTTTATAAACAGTAAAAGAGAGTATTCAAATTGAGAACTATAGAAACTGTATTTTCGAAGCAGGAATTCAGTATTTACAAATATTATTAACGGTTGCCTATCCTAAATAAATACATTGATTTGCTGGTCTTGCACTCTAAAGTCCAGTTGCGGCTACAATAAATAAATAATTACCTAGAATTTTATAGAAGTCCACTTTAACTAAATCGTGTAAATAATTGGTTAGGCTTGTACAGTTACGATTACGATGCGTAGGCCTAATGCCTAGACTGCTAGGCCTATACAGTTCAGTTATAGCTATTTATTATAATTAAATATTTAACTAAACTTGTTAACTTGTGTTGTCCAATTTATAACTTATAAGTGTGGAAATAATTTTCTCTGTGCAGATATACAGACACAGTTATAATTACACATGCCAATGTTGTAAATATATGTTCAGTAATTTATGTCTGTTTGTTATATATATTTTTATTTGAAAGTCTGATGCCATCAATCCCTTTTGGGTAAAAGATGAAGATAATAAGGTAATAATTCCAAAAAGTAGAGCCTAGACTGCTTGGCCTGTACGGGAGTCCAGTTATAAAATAAGCGTGATATAATATTCCAATTTTTTCCGTAATACTATAAGATGAATTAATACAGCTAACAGAACAGCACGTTGGCATTTTAATGTCAGGTTGAAAATTTAGTACAACCCAATAAATAGGCTTTACATCAACAAAGTGCAGGTTCTCAAATTAAATTGCCATAGCCTAATATAAAAACGTCTTTTATATTTGATTTTAATAATTTTGTACAGTAGTTTATTATGCATATACAGTATTTCCCTTAATCATGCTGTAATTTAGCATGAGGAATAAATATATTCGGGTTTAATTCATCAATTCTCTATCCAGTGCCGTCTTTAAAATCTAATCTATTTATTGAGTACAGTAGGCCTATTTTGGCATCGGGGCGGAGCTAGCGCAAACGTCACCAATTCAATGCCACTAGCGTCGCGGCAACCACCATCTTTTTCAGGGTATCATCAGCTCGTGAAATTAGCCACGCCTTATTTCCTGTGGTGACCATTGACTATGGTATTGATATATATAGTCACCTTCTTCTGTCATTCTGTTCGCTGAGCAAAGTTTACTAATTGGCTAAATGTTTTAGTTGGAGAAAATGAGAAGGAAGTCTATAGGCCTATTACATAAATGGGAGCTAAACAAACATTATGATATTGACAAAATAATACTTATCTTTATGCTATTACAAACACACAGTTTTACTATTACTCATATATACAAGTAAAAATCAATGACCTAATAGAAACAGCTGACTGGATTCATATTTCCTTCAACTCTTCCAACCAACCACGAGAATTCAATTGGATTGTTGCTATGGTGACGTCATCATGTATTCAATTTGAATCATGTAAACAAATTAAAGTTATTTGTTTATATCAAAGCTTGCTTACTCCGCTCAATTGGCGGACCTGAGGCCGCATGCCTAGTGTTATTTTTGGGACTTACTTGAATATTCAATATTCACAGGGGGTAAAATGTCTTCTTCAATCTGTACACCAGGAGATGCAGTGATTATAGCCTCATCCATCATAATCAATTTAGTCGGTGAAACTGGAACAAATACAGCTGCTTCAGGATTCAGCCGAGAGAACATGGGTTCAACTGAAAAGAAAAATAAAACAAGATCCATTAGTATTGAAAAACGTAAAGTCATAGTTTATTTTTATAGGTTGTACACAAATCAACTCCATTTTAAGTGTTGACAGTTTTGAATATTATATTTATGTTTCATTGTGTGCTTTTCTTCTATTCTTTACGATGTATTATGTCTAATGTAGTGTATGTTATTTGCTGTTGACAGCTGAGTATCCCTAACACATTAGATTCATTATCAGAGCAAACCTGATTTATGATCCACCTATTGTGTTATTTATTAATATAGGCTCTACTGCAAAAATCAGTAATTACCGATCCTTGATAGAGTTTAATAGGCCTATGTTTTGGTGGTCCAAAGAATCTAAAACAAACACATGAATGATTTCCTACAAAATTTGGTTTTACAGTATTACTACTGTTTTAACTGTTTTAAATACTGTTTAAAATGTCCGATAACACAAATAGAATTAAAGAAATCATTATACTCAAGTATTAGAGCCAATTATAAACATTTTTTCCCACGTCATTAAAAGCCAGAAAAATTACTCTTTAGAGATGAAGAAAAACACACCAAGTTAAAAATTCAAACTTAAATCTGCACTTGTAAACATAGTAAACCAAAAGGAACATTTTGCAAAATGACTGTCTTTCGTTATCATTGTTGACATGGTCACAGGGCCCGGATGTTTAATTTTTGTTTGTTTATTGAAGAATATTTTACAGCGGATCATAGATTTAAAATTAAAATAGCCTACATATAGTTATTAGAAAATTAAATTGAAAAAATACTGTAATATTAATTCTAGATTTTAGGTTTAGTTATGAATTGGCGAAACTCACTTGACTTTTCAGACGTTATTAATGATTTTATTGAAAATAATGTTAAAAAAGCTATGATTATATTGACCATAGACTATCATACATCAAGGTAAGGTTTTTGTAATCTATGACAGTCGATGAAGGCTAAGTTATCAATGACGAAGGTGAACGAACATGGACAACCTAATGCGGCTATGAGTGGGAAAAATTTGTAGAAAACGCTAAAAAAACAAGATCAGTATTTTTGTAACCATACAATATTTACAAGACATTTTGATTATATGGAACTGTTCTACTTTTGTAATAACTATTTATTGTGCGTATTTCCATTAGTTGCATAATCTTTGAGTTGTATCTTTTACGGAATGTAAATAAAAGAAACGTCTTATAACACTTAAAGTTAAAACATATATTTACACTTATATTTTTACTTACAAGACAGTAAATATACAAAAAACATGGTAAGTGGGGATCAATTTTGATTGGACCCTCCAATCATCATCAGACCCAATAGGCGAATGAATTAAATCTTTTAAACTCATCGGAAACTATGACTGTTATTCGTTATTAAATAACTCCTGTAATACTTTGCAATTGCTTGATTTCGAGCAACATAAAATACACTAGTCAGAGTATTAAACACGCCAAAAATATTTTAATTGCTTAGCTCCCAAGTTATAGTCATAATCTTATTATTTTCATAACTTCAATTTTATTCCTGGTCAGTACAAGAAATCAAACACAAAATGGAAATTTACTTTTAGTAGCTTAAAATAAAAGTGGATGATTTACTTTAATTTACATTTGCAATAATTTAGCAAATACGGTTTTTTTATTGCTTTGATATAGTCTCAATACTTACATTGAAAAAATTTGTAAATGGTTGAAACATTGCCATGTACAATAGCATACTACGCGAACATAGTCATAGTGGAAGGGGGCCCGAGCTCCGATTCTAGTTACACAATCGAATGTGGGGGCCATGATTGTTGACTGTTGTATGTGTTATTGTGTGTCAACAGCAACGGTCTTGCCACAGTAAGTGGGGGCCATGATTGTTGTATGTGTTATTGTGTATCAACAACGGTCTTGCCACAGTATGTGGGGGCCATGATTGTTGTATGTGTGTTATTGTGTGCCAACAACGGTCTTGCCACAGTATGTGGGGCCATGATTGTTGTATGTGTTATTGTGTGCCAACAACGGTCTTGCCACAGTATGTGGGGCCATGATTTTTGTATGTGTTATTGTGTGTCAACGACGGTCATGCCACAGTATGTGGGGGCCATGATTGTTGTATGTGTTATTGTGGGTCAACAACGGTCTTGCCACAGTATGTGGGGGCCATGATTGTTGTATGTGTTATTGTGTGCCAACAACGGTCTTGCCACAGTATGTGGGGCCATGATTGTTGTATGTGTTATTGTGTGCCAACAACGGTCTTGCCACAGTATGTGGGGCCATGATTGTTGTATGTGTTATTGTGTGCCAACAACGGTCTTGCCACAGTATGTGGGGGCCATGATTGTTGTATGTGTTGTTGTGTGCCAACAACGGTCTTGCCACAGTAATACTTGTCATTTTTTCGTTGCAATGGTTAGGTGCACAAATAACAATATCACTTAATGGAGCAGACTAGGTGAAACCATTCCTACAAAAGTTAATACAGTTGTCTTTCCTAGTTTTAGCACTTAAGACTCCCAGCTCCACGTGTTTGATAAGCTACAAGCCACCAATCCTCTATCTTTCCGCACGTATCCAATTGACATGGATATAAGTTTAACTAATATTTCGGTTTCGATGAACGAAAAAAGGGGAAGATGTGTCTGATACACAAGTGTTGAATGTTTAGTTGGTAATAAACAATTAGTAGGAAAATTGCAACATTCCGGTAAGACTGAGGCACTTCATATCTACTGAAACCTACAATTGAACGAAGTAGGTGCTCAATCTTGTAAATATGTTTATGTAAAAAAATACAAAATGGTGTATATCTGGTTAAAAAAGCGATTTTGGGAAAAGTTTTATATTTGATTTTCCCATATAAAATGCATGGTAATTTTAAAAGCATAAAGCTAAAAAAAACTTTAAAAATACTCTATTGTTGGGTAACACAGTTAACATGCATTTAAATATGAGAAAATTTAGTTTTTTGTTTATTACTCAAATACTAAAAGAAATAGACACTAGGTGTAAATTGGAAAGTTGTGCATCTTAAGAAGACGCTTACATTTATATGCAATTTGACATATGTTGCCATGTTATTTATTTTTTAAATACAGGGCTACTAATATTACAATAAAATAAAGTTTTGGTAAAAAATTATAATTTTGATAATTATTACATGTGACACATCATTGTGAAGCTGTGTTCACCAGGATTACGAATTTTCAATCAGAACGGATATATTTTTTATGTTTAGCGGTTTCGAAAATACAGGGTATTACCTTACGTAAATATGGGAAAATTTCACAAAAATGACCGCCATTTTGAAACTAAATGAGATAATTAAGTTATTTTTTCACCAAAATGTTGCTTTAAGCAAGCCCTTTCTAAAAACATATAATAAGATACTGGTTGACATAAGGAAATTTTGAGATTCAAATCCGTGACCTCCATTTCTGGAACACCCTGTGATAGGATCGTATTCTAAATATTTTATACAAATTCTTCGTAGGGGATTTAGGGGGGAATAATTTTTTTCACATCTCTAGGTGAAAACGTAATTCTGTAAAAGTATGCATACGAGTGGTCTGCATCACCCTGTATAGACTTACTCTAAGTCTTTGCTCAATAGTATCATAGATAAAACATACTCCCTTAGTAGATTTCCCATCCTTATGGAACAGCTGAAGCCAATTTTATTGTTAGTTCTGTCCGGTTTTCTGTAGAGGTCGTGTTTTGTTTACAATTTGTTTCCCGTTATTACAGCCATTTAAAACCTCGTTTAACCAAATAATACGATCTAATCATAAACAATAACTTGTCCCCTAGTTATATAACCAAACAGTAAAGCACAAATCAAGAAATTAACCCTAAAATAATAGAAACAAAGTTTCGTCGAAACTAGCGCCTTTGTGTCACTTACATGAACTAGACAGGAAAAACGTGCTTCAAAATTTACAATGGGATGAGAAGTCTACTTGTGTTGGTTAGTCTATGATAGTATTTATCCAAATATTTTCTGTCTATGTTCTGTTCCACCCTTATACTTGGCTGGTTAAACTTGTTTATGTATGCAGCTGCAATGATTCTTTATTTTAGCTTTTGTTGTTATTTTTTAAATCAACACATTACAACCCATATGGAAATATTGATAAATAAATCAATACCTAAATAAAAGCTTCAAGAAAAATTCATAATTCAAATGGAGTTTTATGTAAACAATGATGGAGATATTGTTATGTGTTTTATTCAGTTTAAGTCTTGTTTTTTTCTATTTTTACTCAAATAAATCCATTGCCAAGTAAAACCATAGATAAAACATACTCCCTCATATACCCTCTTTTGTAGATATATATCAATCATCTTTACTTTATGGATCAGGTGTAGGCAATTTATAGGATTATTTGTACGGTTTGTGCAGGCACTTGTATTTTACTTATCATTTAATTCTTGTTATTTTACCAACTTAAAGATATAAAAAAGTATATTTTTTATATTTACCTTAAAAGTGAGGGTTTGAAATTCCTTGTCTGAATTTGTCACCCCAACCTCTCCCAAACAGGTTTCTTTAGCATGCTTTGCCTCTGTAATAAAACCAAAATTTTCACCATAGAAATTGTTCACAAAATGTACAAAACTGAAAAGAAAAGACTAACCAGATTTCTGTAAAACAAAATATATTGACAAAATAATATTTTAGACAAAAACCAGCTGAACCCTTAAATAATAGTGTAAAATGTAATAGGCCTAGTATTCATCTGTTCAAATGTGAACAACAATGTGAACAAATCTTTTCTCCACAACAAAGATAACAAGGGAACTTTAAAGGCCACTGGGGCAGAGCCCTGATGGGATTTCTTGAAAACACACACCTTAATTGGAACCTCCATTATAATTCCTGAGTTCTAATGGCTTGTAGTTTTTGAGGTATTTTTTTAGAGTGATCAGTGAGTGTGGTATAGGTAAAATATCAATATTTTACGAACCACAAAAGATATTTCTTTAGCTGAAAGATAAATCAAGGACATTATAATATCTTATATAAAATATTTGTCTTATCATATAACTTATTCTGATTCAACTATTTTAAGATACAATTTTTAATTTTTATTTATATGCAATTTTAATGAACGGATATTGAAGTTATATATTGGTAACAGGAATGTATACTCTACCAAATAATTACTTATTAAGTGATAGCTTAAAAAAAACAAACACTATTTGTTCAGATTGTTATATGTATATTTTTTATATACAGGGTGGGAAAAAGCCCCAGGACGGTTAAATATTTCAAAAAGTAATAAAGATAGAGTTTCAAAACTTGGTAGACAGCTACTGGTAATTAAAATTATTTTAACTACCGGTACCTCTTCAGGGGGAGGGCCCGCTAACAGTCAGAAGAAAATCTTAAATGTAAGCATAGGTTGATATGCACATCAAATTAAAGGTCTTTATTAGTAGAATACAATGCCTTACGTGAACAGTTTGCAGAAAATTTTATTCCTGATCATAAAAAATATTTTAAATCTTTGCCTAGCTTTTACCGTGTTTAAGTTATATAGCTATTTTGTCTGTGAACATTTATAAGTGTGAACAACTTGTCAATAAAGTAAACAACTTGAGTAATTTTTGTAAGATTTTGATGAAAATTTGCTTGAAAGTTTAAGGCAGGATAAACTTGAATGAGTTCACAAACCAACATGATTGGACCATGGAACAGGGTTTTAGGGGAGATTTTAAGGGGTAAAAATTAGTTTCTCATTTTCAACCATTAAAACATAAAATTTCCTAATTTATCTCTAAACTATTTTGAAGAGCTTAAGAAACAAACAATTTAGTATATTTAAGTGTTTATGTACGGTTATTTGTTAGGGAGAAAAACCGTTCTAAACATAAAATTCCAATGTTATTCTTGTGTAGAATAAGTAAACTGTTGTAGTTTGCTTGATTATGCATCAATTATTATCAAACTATGCACATTGAATTACTTTATACTAAGCTACTAATATTTTACTAAAAAGCACACTTCATTACCCTCTCTGTACCAGCGAGCCTAGATACTCATTAAACCTAATGTGTTAGTTAAATAGATTTAAGTGAAAAAATCAGACCAGGAAAATGGATATTTGCTTAGTCTGCAGGTTTGCTGCTGCGGGGTATTTTGGAAATAGTTATGTAGTCAAAACATTTAAAAAGTATTATTTATATAGCAAATGTGTCAATATAGGGTGTTTGGTAGTTAGAGTCAAATATTTAAAGGCATTATTATGCACGCAAATTGCAATAAAAATCAACAATTTGGATGGTTGTATCTCACTACTTCCGGCAACAGCCATTTTGAAAATTTTCTAAATTTCTTGACACTGTCTTATAAAATCTCATTTTTATTAGCCTTTAGCCTACATAATGATATTTCCAATAGTATTTTTTGAATCTTCATTAAATTTTCTATCAGAAAACGTATAATATGGTAGACAGCTAAACCCATTTAAAATCTTGTAAATTCTACTAAATAACAAATTTTGAACAATAAATAAAAAGGTGGGGGAGTTATGGATAAGGTTCCTAAATTTTAAAGTTGCTTGGGATTTCCATACCTTAAAAATGATTTGCTGTTTGACATTATGCTATTCAAAATATTTGAGTTTTGTGTATATAAATATTAAAGTTTTTTTTATATTATTGTAATATTGCATTTCAAATTAAAACCCTAGCTCATAATGAATTCAAAATATTAACTAGAGTAGAGATATTTGGAATTTCAAAAAGAATATAGGGCAGGCCTATTCAAAATGTTTCACATAAATAGCCGCCATTTTGTAACGAATACAAATATTAAAATTCTGATTCCACCAAAATGTTTTATTAACAAGAGCTTTAAAATTATACATAGGCCATAATGAAATTTTTTTGTACTTGACAATTATTGTGAGATTTGAACTAGCGAACCTCTGGTTTTGGTACATTCTGTATTCGGAAAACATTAAAAATATTCCTTAGCCTTGCTTTAGTGGGAAAAGCTTTTATTTTATCATTGTGGGACAAACCGGTTGTCCGATATCAATAGAGGACACCTTGCTTACATGATTCACTCTGTATATACAGTAATATGTTACAGGTTACAGGCAAAGTACCTATATAATGCAGGCATTCTATGCAATGCCTGAAAATTTTAGGCAAAGTATGAAATATAATAATGATAGGGTTTAATAGGGCCCGTAGATGTGTTTAGACAAATTACCTATAACATAAAAATATTTGTAAAAAAATTATTTATTTAACAGGATTAATTTAGTGATTTTAGTATGGATAGGTTAGGTTGGTTAATTTTAGTTATAATTTTACATTAGGTTGGTTAATGCCAAAAAAGGAATAAATAGTCAAAAGACATAATATTTTGAATAATATAACATTGTGTATATGGTTAGGTTGGGTTAGGTTAGTTTAGTTTGGAGAAGATAAATGCCTAACAAGGGTACAAATGTATTTAAAAAATCATAAAACAGCGTACTTTGCCTACAGTATGCCGACTGGTTTCTAGAATGACTGGGCAAAGTATACAGTGTGATTGAAAAGTCCCAGAGCGGTGTAATATATGTCTAACATCATAGATAAAGTAATAAAACTTGGTTCAACAATAATAACTATAAATGTCTACTCTTTCTAGCTATTATTACTTTTTGACCTCTAAAGGGGGACCCCACGTAGAGTAAGACAAAATTCTTGAATAGCAGTATAGGTTTAGTATCAAAAGTTATAGGTCTTATTTAGTAAAACACATTGCCGCAAACCCAAAAAACTCACCTGGCAAAAAACCTGGCAAACTCAAACGGAAAACCGAGTCAAAAATGCCAGCCGTTCAAATATTTCTTGAATCTGCATTTTGAATCTTTGAACAGCTGCTATTTTTTACCCAGCTGTTATTTTAAGCTCATATTTGCGGCATTGTATTCTACTAATGTGATGTGCATATCGACCTATGCTTACGTTTACGATTTTCTTTCGACTTTTAGCGGGCGGGCGCCCTAAATACCTTTCAATGTTTCTGTTTAAAATTTTAAAACTTGTTACATTTTTTCGAAGTTATCTTGAACATTTTACTGTGGTAAAATCAAAGATTACTGTGGTAGTAATCTTTGATGGAAGGTATCTTTCAACATCTTGTCATTTTTTACTCCATTGTCCTATTGAGTTCGGGGTTGTGACATTGTGTTTTACTAACGGAGGTCTTTAATTTTATACAAAACTCGATCTATGCTGCTATTCAAGAACTTCGTCTGACTCCTCAAGCCCCCCCCCCCCTAAGGGATAAAAGTCATAAATTTCTTTAGTTATAAATTATTCATAAGTTTGTCTAAACAATATTTTCCTGATGTGGGTTTAGTACAATCACTCGTTTTTAGCTATTTAAGGTATACAATTTTAGATGGCCGTCATTTTGAATTGGTACTAATTGTATAACAATTAGACTTATCTGTCACCAGTTATGTTCTAATTTTGAAGTAAATCACAAAATGACTTCAACATTTATTTATACGAGATATTGTAAAAATTGCGTAAAATATATAGACAGAACATCATAAATCTTAATCCCGTATTTACACTAAGTTGTTTTATTGTCTAGACTATGGAACAAAACACAGTTTTTACCGGGAGTTTATACACCCTGTATATTACTATTGCTGATCAACTAATAGCTTGCAAAACTGACCTACAAATATGTTTCTTTTACTCGGTCCATGTTTTATTTAATGATATTCTGATGTTACAAACAGCTGCTGTCCAATTACAGTATCTGCTTTTATAAACTAGTATTTAATAAAATTCTAAAATTCTACCGTCTTCTTTAAAAGTTGGTCCTTACTATCTTTCAATGTTTTTGTTTAAAATTTTAAAACTTGTTACTTTTTTCGAAGTTTTCTTGAACATTTTACTACCATAGGAAATGTTATCAAAACTAGTTTTAATATTATATATTAAAACTAAATATTCTTATTCTTAAATATTAAAAAGTTGAACCTTTTTATATAAAAATAAGTGTTTTATACATTGTTACTAACAGGATTTGGAACCCCACAAGAAACTGCAGAAGGGCTCGGTTCATTAATAAATTTATAATTTGTTCTTACAATGTATATTCTAAATAAATATTATAGTTTAAATCCTTTCAGAAACCTAGTTAGTTTTATTTCCCCCCAGGAAATGTAGTTGAGAAGCAACAAATCACGGATTTATTAATAATTTAATAAGAGTAATATTTGTCATAAAAATACGTTAATATGTGTTTCTCAGTTAATGATTCAAAATTATGACTTTTATCTAAGAGAAAAATAATCAACACGTTGGTTAACCTCAATATTTCATGCCTAGAAATTGTTTGATCTTGATTGAACTTGTTTAATTAGAAGAGACATGTGAAGAAAAACAAGCTTAGCTTAACATTCAGAATCTACATTTTGTTTGTGATATTATTGAAACTTAACTAAAATCTCACTCTTTAAATCCAACAATTTCAGATTGAATGATTAGCTTCAAATATAAAGTCAACAACGTGATTTACAAGACACCACATGAATTTCATGTATCAAACTCCAACGATTTCTGAGGAATGATTCTGTAATTAATAAATTTGACCATTCAAAAAACTGAATACAAAAAGAATATATGTGATTATCAGCATTAAATAAATAAGTAACACAGGTGAAGTTACTAACCTGAAAATGTCCACGAAGTGGAAGAACTCCTATAGATGCACGCCCTACCAAAGCTCACAGGGAAATGGGATGTTAGTGGGAAAACGTGGCTTCTAGAACGTGCACTTGAATGGACATGTTCACTGATAAGAGGGAATTGGAGTTTGACCGAGCTAAGATAGGAATAACCTGGAAATTGTGCATAAAGAGAAATAAAGACCAACTATCTCCCTTGCCTGTTGTACAATGGAATTGCAGAAAAACGTCAATCGGGTGAAAGAAACTTGGTACGGAAATCAACGTTTGAAAAATTAATGTCTATGTACTTGAACAAAACTAGTATTAATACCTTCAATAGTCCTAGCTTGACTGCTATTGAACATTTTGCATAGGCTAAGCATTAGATTAAACAATACACTAATAATGTAACAATTAAGATAACAAAGTTAGTATCTTAAAATCTTAAACTTAAACTTGAGGTACCTACAAAAAAAATATTTATTATTCCTATCAAACTTGCAATATTTCTAAACTTACAGCCATGGAATATGTTGGATTGTATCGATAATAAATCAAGCAATACGATAATAATATGTGAATTATATAGTTAGAAATTTAATATCCTTAAGAAAATGATGACTACAGTACCAAGTCTACAATATCCCAACCTAACTGCTATGACACGTATTGCATTGTTTCAGTAAATTAAAAGATGTAATATGAATATTAATTATCATGTGTGTCAAATTAACAACTCAAACCCTCAAAAATTAAAGATCTATGACTACAAAATCTGCAATATTCCTAACCTGAATGCTATGGTACTTGTTTCATTGATAAACTAACTAAACAATGCCTTTTAATAAAATATCTTAGATACTGAAAACAATTTTTATGACTACAGGACCAAGTCTAAATACTACTAGTCCTAACACAACTGCTATTGAACGCGTTGCATTTTTTAGTGACTAACGAGTCACTAAAAGATGTACGCAAAACCCATTAATGATAGAGTTGTAAAAAAATCGATCTTTTCTTTTACTATGCTTATTTATGATTTTTTATAAAGTAGGGAATTTTCTAGAAATAAACCTGGGAACCGGCCAATGGTTTACTGTCCGGGCGGGCTCTCCACACTTGCACCATTCTACCTGTGTAATATGATCGGTACAAACACTCCACTAGTGCGCCACAAGCTTAGAGCCACCCCACACTTGCGCCACCTATTCAACCACTCAGGCAGAAAGTTTCTATACTTACTAGAACATGTACATCCAAAAAGTAGGTAACTAATTTAACACTACATCATTTGTTATTAATTACACACTACATACCATGCCGTGGCTCCTGTCATTCATTTGTATTTTATATATCGTGTGACTAATATTGTGACACGGCTTTACCGAGCAACGCCACCGTTCTCAATCTGTTGTTTTAAGTTTCGTCATGAGATGGAAGGTAAATCCGTTCTTAACTAAACGTGTAAATCCACGTAACAAAAATATGTCCATGATAAAACTGATGCTATAAACACTGTTTTGATGGTGATATGTTATTAGAGAGATACTGACAAATTGACCAATGTGAGGGTAGGTTTGTACATAAAAAATAGGTGAGGTTATTCAAACAAATATTGTGGATTTACTGCTGCCTCGAAACTCTGCACCGCATATCAACTGGGGTTGGTCACCCTAAAAATATGCATGCATACGAGGAATTGTATTAGGTATTCAAAACAGAATTGTAAAATCACATAACCGGCTAATTCCTAGCGACGTGTATGTTGTAGTAATTCAAAGTTGTGATTGGAAATTGGTTTAGCAAAGCTAAATGTTTGTAAACATTAGTTATCTGAAATTTAAAATTGGAATTAAAAATGTTAGCTTCAACTACTGGAGTAAAAAAAATAAAGTTACATTTCGAAATAAACTGATATCTATTTTATCTTAGATTAAAACAAACTGATTTATTCTTGGCTCCACTGGTAAAGCGTAAAAAACAGTCATTTAGTATTTTGTAGCGTTGTTGTATGACTATCGATGGGTTAAACTTACTACGGGGAAAATTAAAAAAGTGTAAATTTAAAAGTCCCATGTTATTCTTATCAAGAATAAATAAACGGTTGTAGTTTGCTTGTTTGTGGATATATTTTAATCAATTTTGGCAATTTTGTTTATTTCATAATAATCTATCAACACCTTTCCTGTAGCAGCAAACCTATATAAGAACTAATTAAAGTCAATCTATACAAGCAAAGTTTGCACACAATAATTTCAAAAAATGGCTCCTATGATTTCCTCTAAAGTTTTAGGAATATCTTAGTTTCAGGCTAAAAATGATATCCACGCTAGCCACTGTTCTGGGAAAATTAATTCGTTCTGTAGTTTTTGAGGACGCGCCACCAGAATGGGCGTGATCTTTAACGATCCCACGAATTGTAAAACAGAAACGATATGGATCGTAACCGAACAAATGACCCGAAAATTAAAATATGCTTATTATTATTTCAATGCAACTGTCAAAAACGTCCAAACATAAGGAGGGATTATTAGTATTAGATCCATCCAATTACGCCATTCTTTTATGTTTTAACGAGGACGTTTTGAGCAGTTGCTCGACGAATGGATCCCATACAGCAAGATGTTTGATGTTTCAAGGAGCAAAACGTTCTGCGCATGCGCCAAATTCCTTCTAACTAGTAAAGGCTTAGTGGCTCACGAAATTCAATTGACCTTTGGTTGTTTAAAAAATAACTCTTCTTTGAAAAAATAATTTTGAAGTGTTGTTAAACTTAATAATTATATTTTGAATTTCCATTGGACAATATTGTTGTGTAATTTCCCTGCTACCAATGCAACAGTCAATAAACATTGACAGTCATACAGCCCATTCAAAGAAATTTCGAACGATATCCTATACGGCATTTAACCCAGTAAATCCTACTGATGAGGTATTTTACCTCAGTAATTTTGAGGGGTTGTAGAGACCCTTCCAATAAAATATCATAGCAATTATTCGACAATAATTGTAAAATTTCCCTGGGTCTGATTTCATTTCTGAGAGGAAATCCTTAATGTATATTATCTGATTGATTCTGTGAACCCAGTGTTTTCTGTCTATTTAGTCCAGCATTTGCAAAAACTGACATAGAACCGCAATAGCAATATTGACTTCCTATCAATTAATATTCACACATATTAAAACAATACTGTAGAGGACTAGTAAAAATAGTACTTATATTTGCTTATTTTTGCTTGAAACCAAATGCTGAATCATGCTTGAACCTCCCGCACACTGGAGAAGCAAAGAAACAATACGCTTCAAGCAAATCGTTGTGCAACATTTTGCTTCAGGTGAAATGCTGGATCAGTGTGCGCCCACCCTAAGTGGAAATCTGCCCATGTAAATAGAAGTCTGCAGGTTTGGACGGGTACAGCAGCTAGTATTCTTTTAAAACATGTAGAGCCCAGTAAGCCCATTATGTTTGTCTGATTACACAATTATCACGCCTGACTGGAGATGGTGCACTAGTGAAGTGGGATTAGGTGACATTTTATGACCCCCTTACTAAATGACCTGGGGAGTGGCGCACTTCGGATGTACCCGTCCGGGCCAGTCCCAGGACGACAAAGGGTCGGGAGACATGTCCCATCCTACAGGGGATCCACAAACATTTCAGAGGTTGAGCAGCTTTCACTTTAAATTCTTTAGTATATTCCTTCACAAGATAACACTGGCGTAGATACCAGCAGAGATAAGACATAGACGTATTTCATTTGTGTGTGGTAGCTACTAGTCAGTAAAAGACAAAAGGTAAGATAATTAATTGTAATCTATCTAAGTGCCTAGATGAACTTCATCAGTTTTGTAATTAAGTTTTTTTAGTTATAATTCCAAATAAATCGTTTTCGGGGGGTTTGCTTCCCTTTGGATCTGGAAATAAGGTTAGCGGTTAACAAATAACAAGTGATATCATTTGTGATAGGTTACCCGGGAATCTTTTTTAAGGACAATGATATTCAACTCTACCAGTTATTTTAAAGTGCTAGAGCCAAAGTCAAAGGAGTTACTTATTGGTTATATCTACATCGTATTTGTAATATATTGGCTACTATTTGAGAGCTACGTAGAAATGCGTTGGGCACCTACTATGAAGTTGGTAGGAAACTAAAACATTATGATTCGTTAAAAGTATAACAATTAATAATAATTGTATATAAGTATAGCATCTGCATCGAAACTATCCGACGGTAAAGTTACGATATCGATGTCGATTGTGGGGCTTAAAAAGGCTATCCCAACTCCGCGCGGCGGTCAGAAATCTGTGAAAACCGACTGTCCAACTCCGTGCAGTGGTTACTTCGGGTCCCTCGCGGCCCATGTCCAACTCCGCGCGGTGGTCAATTTTGGCTCTCACAGCCCTGACGGCTGAGAGTGTATTTGAAGTTTGAATTTGTTATTAAATGTATATCATTTAGAACTGTACGATACCCCAGCAACTAAGAATATAAAGTTAATCAGTACAAAAAAGTGAATACTTATGTTTCATTTGAATTTACCTATCATTAACCTAACCTACCCTAAACTAACCAAACCTAACCTGTAACGCGAATAAAGTATCTATGAACAAATAAAAGCGTAAAATTACTTTTGGGACACACGGTGTATATAAAATGGTAACACATCTATTTATTCTAAGGCCGAATCCAAAAAACCATAGCCTACAAGAACGGTTTCCACCATCAATGACACGGTTTTTAAAATTGGAATACAACATATTGAAACTCTTATTTTAATTACTGCCATGGTTAATGTTGTGGCAATGATTCGAGTTACTCTAAATAAACAAGTAAACCTGATCTTGATTTACTCAAAATAGTCAAAAACAATAATAGTTGGAGAACCTTCGTGAATCCAATTTTTATTAGCCTAGTTATGCGTTTACGTTTTTAATAAAATCCGTAGCATTCGGTACCTATACAGTAGAGGCCTGTAAATTGCGAATCAATGTTTATCAATCAAAACACAAGATCTTTTTACTAACTGCAAAGCCTACAAAGTAATTTTTAAACATGTAATGCAATTGGGATTTTTTTACGATTTCCATTTATTAGAGATTAGGTATTTCAAGGTTTCAAACGGTGATAGAACACTTAAACGTAAATACAACAATTAAATAATATGCTGGAAGAATTATATTTCGTTGTACTTTCTATAATTTAATTTTTTTTTTTTCAACGGAATATCTAGTAAAAAGATGAGGATTTGACATAAATATAAGCAGCGGTAAATATTACTTAACTGTTAGAGGTCTTCCCCTAAAAGAAGCCCGTTATGTACAAAATTAATTATTCACACAAAATTCTATATCTGGACAGGGGGTAAAATTGTACTCGGATAGTTTTACGTTGGGGTAAAATTCCGGGCCGTACATCTACAGTCTTCTGAAAACTTAGTTATATTGGGAGGGGTTAAATTCCGTCTTTTACTGCTAATCTAATCTATCACGCTCTGCCAATGTTCATTAGACAATATAACTAGGGGTAAATTTGGCTCGCAAACATACTTGAGAGGTACTACGTTATAGTGACGTCGGTTTTGTTAAGGGGGTAACATTAAAATTGCCATCAATAAGTTGCACGATCACAAAGTTGTTGCGTTGGCAGTGGCAATGCAGTTTAGTATCCATGTGTCTGTTGTAGTGTTCGTGCAATATGGCCAACAATCTGTACTATTTCTCCTACGAGGAAGACGAGAAACTCGTAAATGCAATTTCTCAACATCCCAATATTTACGACGTACTGCACCCTCAGTACAAAAACAAAGAAGACAAGGTCGGTGTTTGGGCAATGGTATCTGAAGAGGTGGGAAGATCAGGTATGTTAAGCTTAATTGTTCATGACACGACTAGTGAGTTAAGTTTTGACCATGTAGTAATTAGACGAATCTTGTTTTGTAAATATTAAAATCCAACAAATCAGGTTTTTTGTTTTTTCGATCTAAATAGAGGCGATTGATTATATCCAGGTGTTATAAAGACCATAAACGTGCAAACTATATACGAGCTGGTCTATTAGAGCGTGGGGGCTTTGGTTCCCGAGGTCCCAGGTTCAAATCCCACCGATCACCAATGTCCCATAGTACTGTATATGTTACGATGCCGCAACCATTTGCCCTGAAGTAGTAAAACGAGCCTAACGTCATTTGATGTAAAGGTGGGACATAACAAATGACCAAAACCAATATTGGCCTGCGCAATTTGACTTCTCACAGTGTACAACCCCCCTCATCCCCTATCAGTAAAGCAACTGTTACTTATAGTAAAATTAGTTAGGAAAAAACTTTTAAATTCCCTATCTCCATGAGTTCCTAAATACCACAATATAATGAATTTAACTTTAAATAGTTTACTGTTTTTACTTTGTAAAAAGGTGAAGTATTAGATACGCAGATGGAAAAAAAATTAGTAAGTGAAATTTTTCTATTTTTGGATTGGAAAATGACGTATTTAATTTACCAGATATATTGGACTAAATGTACATATCATTCTGAATAACTCACGGCCACGCCAAGAGCTATAGCCATTGTTGCCTTGCTCCATGTTGGTTTGTACTACTTACATTAAACTACAGTACTACCTGCTCCACATTACTCAGTAACTCATTCGGTTTATAAATGTATGCCATATGAGAAGTTTAGTTGAATTTTAAGGCAGAAGACAATACAGAATCGCAGGCCTCCTGATAAAATCTCGCGACAGTCTCTGCTTCTGTATTCATAGCAAACTCTGTATTTTTAGCACAAGAACATGACGAAAACTGTATTTATTTTCTATTTTACTTAGTTAAAACTTTAGCTCGATAAAATGATTTGATTTGAATCGGTTCATTTGTGATAACGACGACTGTTCTTGTAGATATGGGAACTTGTACTTTCTTGGACGTTATGATACTTATCCAGAGTTTTGGTTTTTGACCTATCAAACTATTCGGTTACTTTGATAGAGTTTGTGTAATCCCATTGAACTAAAATCTAAGTCGTGAACTACTGAACTGAAGTACTTAGTTGTAAAACAGAATAAGCTGTATTTATATATTTGAATTTTAATTAGAGTTAAATTTTAAATAGAATGTAGTAGGTTATAAATGCAACTTAACCCAGAGATATTACAATAAATGTTGTAATCTCTAGTTGCAGACTGCAAAAGTCGATGGAGGAATATAAGAAATAATTATCGCAGAAGGATCCGAAAACAAGTTGGAACTGGTTCTGTGACCTGTGCTCGCAAGAGAGTGAAGACGTGGCTGTTAGAGGGAAAACTCGCGTTTTTAAGAACTTGTACTCCAGATAGAAATAGAAGGTAAAGATATAATTAGTTTGTATTTATTAGTAGGTCCAGGATTTAAAAAGTTAACTATGTTTTGTTATCATTTTTTTGTAGAGTGAAGAGGAAAATGTAATCATTTAACACATAAAAACATTAAGCGTAGACAAGAGTTAGTAAGTCTAATTAGCACTCTCTTTCCTGAAACAAGTTTACATTTCAGTACAGATTAAGGCGTTATATTTCACCTTAAGCTGCCTAAGCTAAACCCTAAACCTATTGTAAAACTGCGATAAATTTAAAAGACATTGGTACAAATGCGCACAGGCTAATCAATATTGATTTTTTGGGGACAGTGAACTACGTTAAACATGTTACAAATAATCATTGACTGAACCTGCTGAAAAGTCAACATTAAAACCGTGTAGTTTGCCATGAGTACATTTATAAACCTAACCTTCCTTGATCAACAGTTTTAAGCTTACTTCATGCTTTTGTATGAGCGATGTTTGAAGATGAACCAAGTTGTATAAGTTGTGAATGATTGGTATTGATCGTTAATTATTTGAGTCGACGGCTACATGGTCGGTTCCACGACACAAATATCGCAACGATGTGTTCGGGCCATGTCTTGTTACGATGTAATAAATAGGTGCAAGATACGAGTTGGCGTCAGTTGGGAGACTTTTATCCTGATTTGTGTTAATTAATTCTGAGTTGCAATTTCCTCAAATTTTGTAAAATCGTAGATAATTGCTTACTTAATCTACTGGCTTACACGCTTATGCTTAGAACACAGAAAGATAGTTCGGCAGTTACTTTAAAGCTTTTAAGTAATCTCTTTCAAGCCCAATTTATCCTAAAGCCAACTTTCCCTTCCATTCCTGTGCCGTTATTATTTTTGTTTGTATCCAAATCTACAATATTTTACGATTATTTTCAGGTGTCTCTGCAATATGAACGGTGGCAACGAAGAAAACTCCTTAAACGGTCAAGATGATTTTGCCGGTTTCGATAACTCTGAAGCTAGGCAAGAAAATCCTGAAATTACAGAAACAGATTTCTTGCCTGAAACTCATCTACCACAACAAACATTTGCCAATGACAGCTCAGTACAACAAAGACAATCCCCTAAATCTAATAGAAAAAGAATTATTTCAAAACACAAACATAGGTTGACAACGAAGAAACGATCAACAAAAAGAGCTATTAAGAATCTTTTTGGGAAATCCCATGAAAATGACGATATTAGTTTGTTCTTTAGAAGTGTCGCCAAAAGTGTACGTAAAATGTCTCTTGACCTACAGCAGCAAGCTAAGGTCAAGACGTTGAAATTGGTCTGTGATTTAGAATCTGAAATGTGGACACAACGTCAGGGAACCTCTACGATGAACCAAACGTCTGTCTCTTCGCTTTACGTAACTGCCTCTTCTAGCAACAACGCTGGGTCGTCACCATCGTCGTCGTCCAATGAGCAACCATAGACATGACCGTGCATATCAACATCTTTCGCCCAACTCCAGGATACAAGGTTGGTTGGCGAGAAGAATCCGACATGACCATGATAATCAACACTTTTCACGTTCACACATTGACAGTTATTTGATTTGAAAATCTCTTCTGTGATTATTGTCATTCCCATGGAATTTTGTACAATAGCCAGTGATCTTAAACCTTATAGATGAATTATGAATTTGATATTCAAAGTGTTTTCTTCCGTTTCCAGAAGCTTTAACTGTTCTTTAGTTACTTTTTTAGTTGCCAGAAATAAATGTCAACATGTTTTCACGATTTTTACATATGTCATTTTTAACAAAGTGTGTATTTTTTAAGACGACTGGTAGATTTACGCTACAAAACAAAATAAAATTTGATTTATTGTTCTGTTTACAACCTATTGTCTCTTGTACCATCCAAAGATTGTTATGATGTCAGCACCTAGCAGGGAGAAAAACTATGGCCTTCCATACTGAAACCAAACTGGTAATAAAAAACTCTGCACTTATATGGTTACGCGTTTCGAGGGGTTGGCGTTAATTGGCGTCCAGTTAACTGGTTAAAAACTAAACCTTTTTGGGTCCTACCAAATTTAATATATCTTTGCTTCTCGAGAAATTTCCTCTTTCGTATAAGTTAATCTTAACTACCCTTTGCTAAGTTATTCCATTTTAACTTTTTGTATTCCTTTGTTTCTTATTTTGATCAAGCCTGAAGGAGATTTGCTTCTATTAGAATGGTGCCGTGGTCCGTTAATTTGTTGCAATTCAACCCCTACTTAGACATATTTTGTATATTTATCATTAATTATGTATAAGTGTAGTAAGATCACGTTTTCTCCCAGTGTAGTTTGCTATTCCATAATTACTATGATTTTAAAAATAATTAAAAATACAACCTGTCAATCTCTTTAGTTAATTAATTATACTTCAGCTCGGAAATCTCAGCTCGGGCTTCAGTTAATATGTTGCACCATTGGACAGTGCCGCGAGAAGCGCTTGCAGAGGTTTCCAAGATTATTGTTTTCGAATTAACCAATAATGATAGCTACGCACTGTAAACGGCTTATAGTAGTGCAAATACCAATCTATAGTTCTGCGTTTTTCAAATTTTCAAATAACGTTTTTTCAATAAGTTAGGGCTAGTTGAAAAGACCTTTTTTCTTCTCCTACAAATCAAGTTTATAAGGTGTGTATTAAAAATAAATGAAATAATGAAACGCAGAACTATAGAAAATTTCATCCTCTTTAATATGAGACCATAACTTTGATTCTACCTTCAATGTAGCAGGTGAAAACAGTAATCTTGTAACCCCTTGCATTCGGTTGCGCGTCAGGGGTAGAGCGCGCCCTTAAGAGCCTACAGCAGGCCCTCTCGGATTTGTCCCCTGCTCCCTCACCATAAGTCAAGATGGTATTAGTTAAGTATAGTTTTAAAATACACCTTTGAGCGTTTTTAAATATTGCACAAGTGTAGCTTGAACCCCCTTATCTTTACTTATAGAACCTTCAGACTACGTCTAGGAGTATGGAGTTTTTGTGGTAAATATATATACATTAACTGGAGTTACTCCTCAAAAACAGCTGATCAGCTTATTAATGGGGGTTTATTTATGTTTCTAAAAGCCGCAGTAGAGCAGATTCTTGTTTTCAAACAAGGTACTGATAACTCTTTGCAAATATTCAGGGTAATTTTCAACTAACACCGATCTACAGCATGTAAACATAAGGGTTTAAGCTTGCCAATACGTGAATGGTTCGGTGCTTGGTGCGTTTCTCGAAAGCTGTGAATGCACCAACAAAATACAGTACTGTACTTCATGGAGTAAACGACTGAGATAAGATAATATTGATAACAGCACAGTAGTAATTAATTGTTACAACTGGAGTTTGTGTAAAGTGGTTGTTGTGTGTGGTGTCTATGTTTTACTAGTTGAAACAGCTGATTAATTCGATTGTTGACAACCGACATTGTGTTAGTATTGGATTGTTGAAAACGTGTTCAACTACCGGAAGTCATCGATATGTTATCCTGATTTGGGATATTTTTATCTTGTTAAGTGTAAATTTATTATTCTTGATACAGTTAACATTCATATTGTTCTTTTACTCGCAAATGTGATGTTTGTTTTATTTAACATATGAGCGTAAAAGACTCATTTCAGTGTTGTTACGTATCTGATATATAACAAAAACCGTGTAGGAATTAAGCACCTACAGAGTTTGTAAAACAAACAAAAGTAAGTAAAAATAATGTCTTGAAATTGTGTCTAAAATATAAGTTAGAAAAACTAATACACGCTAAGAATTAGAAGTAATGGTCAGCTCTAAACCCACAGTTAATAAGTTTTCGTTGTTCAAATTGTCTCTGTAACAATAGACATTTTTAATTACCATTTTATAATTTTATTCCTTATTTAGCACCCAACCTGATTTGAAAAATACTAACACTAACAAACTTTAACACTATTTATCTTTTTATAAGAAAGAATCCCATGAAACAAAAATCTATGTGTGTCTGAGAAGGTCAATAACCTACGGAATCACTATCACCATAGAATCAATATTTATTTATCGCAATGTTAATGTTTTCTTTCCGACATCACAATATATTTTATTTTAACAAAAAATTAATACGACAAAGTATTGAATAGAATGAAAGAAAGTTTTAATTAATTATTCTCTCGAAACATAATTCTTTTGGTACATCAAAATTTTCAAGCTCTTGATCTTTATGTTCTCGGCTATGTCAATTTCAAATACGGTTTTGTGCCTATAACTCAATTCAATTGAAAAAATCTTTATTCATTGAGTAGCCTTTACAAATATGCTATATTGAAGATACATTTTTTAAATAAGACATCTAAATAAATTAAAAAATAAAACAACAAAAGTACCTTCAATCGGAGGGTTTAAATTTAACTATAGGTGAAAAATGTATTTTATACATAAATTTAATTTCGTCATGTTGTTAGTTTCGGCTCCTAGCTTAAGGTTAACAATAGTTCTGAGAAAGGTTGCTATAGCGCATTTGGGTTTTCTTTTTGACAATTCCAAGATACGAGAATTGCGACATTGTTCTAATTACTAGTATTATATTATTGTATTTCCCAGCTCTGAAGTATGTTTCTTTTTACCCACCTCATTTTCGGCTCTTAGTACTGTGTAAGTTTTTTTTATAAATAATTCCAAGTTATAAATATTGCGACATCGTTGAAATTTCCATAATTCCCAAGTAGTTACCAACAGCTTCCAATTATGGCTGAATTGTATAAAGTTTGGTTTTTGTACATTTCATAAAATGTCATTAATTTGTGGAATATAAAACTATAAAAACACATAAAATTACCGCATGAAACACTTGATTTTCGCCCATTTATGCGAAATAGTTTATTTTCAGAAGGTTAAACAGTGCAATTACAGGATCAACGTTATCAAACAACAGGCGTGGTGGGGAAACTATCAGGTGTTTGTGATAGATGAGACAGTGTCGCTGCGGCGGCAGAGGACAGCATCAGCATCCATCTCCACCATGTCCTACGCTCAGCTGTCCAGCTGCTCGACCAGCGTATCCTCCGAACTGAACGCATCTCTAGATGGTCTCCAGAAGGTCCTTCTCAAACTTGAAGGTGGAGTCGAGCCTCAGAAAATATGTACCCAAGGTAACCAGAACTGAAACCGCATGTTCAATTGTTTATGTAATTTTACCTACGACCGTTTATTAAAGTAGCCGTTTCAGTACAGTTATTAGAATTGAAAAGTGTCTCATAACAGCATTATTTACTTTCATAACAGTTACTCATAACAACACGGGTAACGGACCAATGAGGTTCAAGGATTGAGAGCGCAGAAGTAAAATTGTAATGATTCGAAATTCAACTAATCAGCTGTTCAGGCCAATTTAATTGTTGATTGGTGCAATTAATGTTTGATACAATGTTTCGTTGCATCACTGTCACTGGCAATGAGAGGTTATAAACGAAAATATAACCTCTTTTAGAAGTTATGAGTAGTGAGTTTTAGTAATTAAAACAATGTCGTAGGTAAAGTAGTGTACGCACCTCCGTAAATAATGTTAACGACACTCGTAGAAGTTTTTAAGGCACTCGCCAAGGCTCGTACCTTAAATTTTCTACTCGTGTCGTTAACACTATCTTTACGCAATCGTTGCGTAAACTACTATATCATATTTATTTGTATGTTCAATTGTTGTCCAGAGCTTGTACCATTAACCATCTCGTTTTAAAGATGTAGTAAGCTACAAAATGGAATTGAACAAACGTCAGAGTGCTTTACCGTCAAATCAATGATAAATTAATGATGAAAAGTGAATTTATGTGCATTGTACCCTATAGCATCTTTTGTATCACATCAATACCTCTGTGACAAAGTCAAAGGGAGAAAACACAATTTTATACTAAAGCATTCTATGTAAGGGCCTAATTCAATTATGTGGGTTTTAATAAAAATGAGGCTACAGCTGGTCCATATAGTTGGGATATCTACTTTAGTATCAAAAAATGAATGGTTACAACTTCCCGGTTGGTATGAGTGCCTTTACGTCGAACCTGTGATATATTGGTACATTCCAAACAGAGTGAGGTCTTCCTTTGGAACCTGTGGTAAGCTGATAAGAGCAATTTTAAAATTCCGACTCAGTTTTCATAATTTTATAGATAACCTCTCTTACTTAACATGGTATAAATCAAGTTTAAAGAGTGATAAGTTGTTTATGTTACATGCTATCGCATATACACAATAAGAGTATCCCTAATTGCAAAATGTTTTTTCCAATGTTAATATTACCTATGTTTGGGAGATCCGCTAAGATGATACAGGGTGTCTCACCTAAAGTGAACCAATAGCTAACTTTTTTATTATGAGAAGGGTAGTTTATTTCTTATAGGGCCCTCCCCTTTATATGGAAGATGTATTTTGGGATGGTTTGGAATTGTTAAAATATGACGTCTATTTTCCGTTATGGCCTGCAACTTTAATATTTCTCATGGGACTGGGTATTTGGTGATTGTTTTATAATATAAATGGAATTTAAAAACTTTTTATTCGTTATGTGTTGTCTAAAACTACTCGTCCAGGATTTACACCGTGAATTGCTTACTGTGTACATTCTGCATCCTACAGCTCCTAAACAAGTAACGAGTTCTTGAGTCTTACGAGTTTGATAATGTCAAATAGTTGACCAAACTACGGCTCTTTCCCGATAAGATATTCTTTGTATGTTATGATACCTTAAAACAATTG